GGATACGACTTGAACAGATCTCTCTTCGAGAGGCTCGTGCTTGAAGGCTTCCCACACCAGGTCCTCGTTGAACAACATCGGATGCGTCCAGAGTTATCTGCTATCCTCAAAGAGCTCACGTATCCTGAGCTTTGCGACGCCCCCAACACCAAAGGACGCCCTGATCTACGCGGATGTACCGACAACCTGGTTTTCTTGGACCATCGCCATCCAGAAGTGGAACTCGCAGATGTACGGGAGTGGAGAGACGGCTACACTCCTTCTTCCAGGAAAAATCTTTTCGAGGGCGAGATGACATGGAAGTGTGTACGCTATCTGGGTCAGCAGGGCTACAGAACCGACAATATTGTCGTCATAACTCCGTACCTCGGCCAACTGAGACTGCTGATGGATCTTTTGAGTCAATCGACAGACCCTGTCCTCAACGATCTCGACTCCCATGATTTGGTCCGCGCTGGATTAATGCCAGAAGCATCGGCGGCTTATGAAAAACCCAAAATCAGGTTGTCAACAATCGGTAAGTGGCAAACTAGACAACATCACCCTAAGCATTTCTGTGCAATTGGTTTGATTAACGAGTGACAGACAACTTCCAAGGCGACGAAAGTGACATAGTGATCGTCTCCTTGACTCGGAGCAATACCAAAAATGACATCGGCTTCCTCTTTTCCCCAGAGCGGGTGAATGTGCTTCTCTCTCGAGCTCGCAACGCTCTTATCATCATTGGAAACTCTGAGACATTCATGGGATCTGCAAAGGGTGGAGAACTATGGCGCAAAGTTCTGGGGATATTCAAAAAGGGCATGCATATTTACGAAGGTCTGCCTGTTCGGTGCCAGCAGCATCCAGCTCACAAAGCCGTCCTCAAACTGCCAGAAGAATTTGACGAAAAATGCCCAGATGGTGGCTGCAACAAGCCATGGTGAGTCTGGCTCTGGTGCGAGTACCTCCCAGTTGATTGACTCCATCTAGTGAAACCATCTTGAATTGCGGAGTCCATAAGTGTCCGCAACGCTGCCATCAGCTGTTTGATCATTCGAAAATTCCGTGCGAACAGATCTTGGAGATCAGGTGCAAGAATGATCATCTTGAACTGAGAAAATGTCATCAGTTGACGAGAGGGAAGTGCAGCCAGTGTAAAGATGGCGAAGAACGGGAACAGCGAAGACTGAAGCACGACCTCGACATCCAGGAGCGGCGAACCCGGCTTGATGCGCTGCATGCTGGCAGGATGGAGAAGATCGACCAGCAGATCCAGTCTGCTCGAGACGTGGAAGAGGAGAGACAGCTACAAGAGGACCGAGAAAAGGCTCTGCAACAGAGACAGCGAGACCTGGAAGATTTGCAACAGTCTCTATCTCAAGAGCCTCCATCTCATGTCGCGGAACCAACAACTTCAGCCACAGTAGAGACGCCCAAGGCTCCGCGAACTCCGCTTCCTAAAGATCAAGTACGCCCATCACAATCTCCCAACATTACTTGGCCTGAGCCACCGCCCACTCCCGAAGACTCCCCAGAATTTGAGTGGCAACGCCAAAAGCGAGTCGAAAATGCAACGAATGACGCTATTGATGCCATCATGGCAATGGCGGGGTTGAAAGAAGTCAAAACAAAGATTTTGACGATCAAGGCAAAGACAGATGTCGTTAAAAGGCAGAACACCGACATGAGGAAGGAAAGGCTTGGAATGGTCATGCTCGGAAATCCTGGCACAGGTAACTCTGAATTCCTAGGCCGAGGAACCTTAACTGATAAACGAAAGGTAAAACGACTGTGGCAAGATATTACGCGAAGTTTTTGACCAGCATCGGCGCACTGCGCGGGTCGGGATTTGTCGAAGTTACAGGCTCGAGCCTGGCTAACGAAGGTGTGGCTGGGACGAAAAAGCACATTGAGAGCCTCATAAAGTTGGGCGGAGGCGTGTTCTTCCTCGATGAAGCATACCAGCTCACGTCGGGAAATTCCTTTGGCGGTGGAGTTGTGCTCGACTTTCTCCTGGCGGAGATCGAGGAGAAGATTGGTTCAATTGTGTTCATCTTTGCAGGCTACACGAAAGAGATGGAGAAGTTCTTTGAGCACAACCCTGGCCTTGATAGCCGCTTGCCCCATCGAATGGCCTTTGCGGATTATTCGAATGCCGAACTGTTGACTATGTTGGAAAAATACGTCGACCAAAAATACGCCACCCGTGCGACTTTTGAAGATGGTCCACGGGGTCTCTATGCGAAGATATTAGTCGACCGTCTGGGCGTAAATCGAGGCAGGCTAGGTTTTGGAAACGCCAGATCTCTGCACAATACCTGGTCGAGGGTGTCAGAACGGCAAGCTCAACGGCTGGTGAAGGGGCGCAAAGATGGACTTTCCCCTGATGACCTTTTCTTTTCGAAAGACGACCTCATTGGACCGCAACCCAAAGGAGTCCTTCAGACCAGTGCAGCTTGGAGAGAGCTACAGAGCATGATTGGGCTGAAGCAGGTCAAGGAGAGCATCAATACTCTAGTGGGTGGCGTGGAAAAGAACTATCATCGAGAGCTTGCTGGAAAGCCTCCCATTCAAGTGTCGCTCAACCGGATTTTCATTGGGAACCCAGGAACTGGAAAGACGTCGGTAGGAAAGCTCTATGCTGCTATTCTCGCAGAATTGGGATTACTTTCGAAGAACGAGGGTAAGTTTTATGACCAATTCACGATTCCCGTAGGTTCCAAGGCACCAAGAATTCTTGCTCATTCATTTGTGTTTAGTTGTGTTCAAAACTCCGAGCGATTTTGTCGGTGCACATCTCGGAGAATCCGAAAAGAACACCAAGGCAATCCTGAGAGCTAGCGAGGGCAAGGTCCTCCTCATAGATGAGGCGTACGGTCTCTTTGCAGGCGGTGGAGTTGGAAAAGGCCAGGCCGACATCTACAAGGCAGCGGTCATCGACACAATTGTTGGCGAAGTTCAAAACACCCCAGGTGAAGACCGCTGTGTGCTACTTCTTGGGTACGAGGACCAGATGAAGGAGATGCTGGATAACTCGAACCCAGGCCTCGCGAGACGGTTTCCCATCAGCGAAGCATTCCACTTTGACGATTTCGGAGACGAAGAACTTCGACAAATCCTCGATTTCAAGCTGAAAAAGCAGGGCCTTGATGCCACAGACGAGGCGAAAGACGTCGTTATCGGGATCCTATCCAAAACTCGAGATCGTCCCAATTTCGGAAACGCAGGCGAAGTCGAGAACTTGATCGGCCGAGCAAAGGCACATCATCAAGCGCGATCGCAATCCTCGTCGATGGACAACGAGAATCCCGACGTGATATTCCTGCCACAAGATTTTGATCCCGACTTCGACCGAGCATCGCGATCAGGTAGCATTTGTTCCAAGATCTTCGGCAACCTTGTTGGCACTCAGGAGTGGACCGGGAAGTTCGAGAGACTTCAGAGAATGGCTCTCAATATGAAAGGTCGAGGCAAGGATCCAAAGCAGCATATCGCCTTCAATTGGCTTTTCAAGGGCCCTCCAGGTAAAGATCGAATGAATCCATATGTACCAAGATGGCATCACTGACGGATTTGCAGGAACCGGAAAGACTACTGTAGCTCGAAAAGTGGCAGAATTTTACTACGAAATCGGCATCTTGTCAACGAAAGAGTACGTCGAGTGCTCCGCGTCCGATCTCATCGCCCAATACGTCGGCCAGAGCGGCCCCAAAGCGAGAGAAGTGCTCACCAAAGCGCTTGGAAAGGTCCTTTTCGTCGACGAAGCATACCGTCTGTCCGACGGCCCTTTCGGCAAGGAAGCTGTCGACGAATTGGTCGACTGTGTAACGAAACCCCAGTTCAAAGGGAAAGTCGTCGTCATTCTCGCCGGGTATTCGAATGATATCGACAGACTGCTCAGCGTGAATCGCGGGCTGGCGAGCCGGTTTCCTGAGGAGCTGATCTTCGAGAACCTGAAGTCAGATTCGTGTCTAGAGCTACTGGAGAAAGAACTCGGCAGGCTCGGAGTCATGATGAGTCCGGCCTGTCGAGTCACGTCCTCGGACATTCATATTCAACTGGCGCAAGTGATTGACGAGTTAACCAAGTTGCCATCATGGGGAAATGGGCGGGACATCATCACAATATCTAAAAAGCTGATTACATTAGCTTTCGAGCGAGCCGAGGATTCGTTCGAGCCGCTGGTGGCAACAGAAGTCGACATCCTGAAAGAGCTTTCTGAGCTGCTTACAATACGGAAACACCGTGAAGCCAACAAGGCGACATGTGACCCAAATCCGGTCTTCCAGATGCAAGACGACCATTTTGCCTCCAGGCCCAGCTTTTCACAGAATATCAACATGTCAGGAAACGCTGCGATATCAGAAAACGTCATCAGTGCTGATCATGCGGGTCCGACAGAGGAGTCTGAGACGCCCAACGCCAACCATCGCGACCCAGGTGTATCAGATGCAACGTGGACACAGCTTCAAAGGGACATCGAAACGCAATCTGCCGCTGAGGCCGCCTTTCAAGCGACGGTCCTTGACCATGAACGCCTCATCATGGAACTCGAGACCTCGTCAAATGAGCGTTCGTCGAAGATTGCAGAGCTTGAACAGGATACTACTGCTTTCCAGACAGATCAAGAGACAGCTAATGAGCTCAAGCGTAAGCGAGAAGAGGAACGTATACAGCAGCTCGAAATCAAACGTAGGAAAAGTGAGAAGGAAGAGACGTTGAGACGTATCAAGAATGCGGAAGAGGCTAGAAAGAAGTGTGAAGCGGAAGCACAAAAGAAATTGAAAATGATGGGCGTCTGTTGTGCAGGCTTTAGATGGATAAAGCAAAATGGAGGGTACAGGTGTGCTGGGGGATCTCATTTTGTGACGGATTCACAGCTTGGACTCTAGTGATGAAATAGATATTATCATGGTAGTAGTACTTACGTATTCTGAAATCTCAATGAATATCCACGCTTTTTCCGAAAGAAACATTTAACCATAGCAGCAATTTTGGAGTTTAACTAACCTCTCCCCTTACACGTAGAACATCGAATTTTGCACATTCGGATGCAATCTGACCGCACTTTGATCCGGTAATTGCGTCGACTGAGTGCTTGTTGAGCCACTTTCTGAGACCTCCGGATCAAACAGGCCGCTGAGATAACATCTCGCCCGCTCGCATAATAGGTCGGCGTAGTAGGCAGGCGGGCAGATGCTGACGGCTTTGGTTGCGCGTCCGAAGAGATAGCAGAGATTGTGCGTCAGGTCTTCCAGCATATCAGCGGGATTGCCAAAGGGCGGCTTGACAGGCAGTCGCCGAAATATCTCGTCCAGCACAATGTAGTAATGCGCAGGACGAGCGGTTCCTTGCAAAGCGGTGTGGGCTTGTAAAAAGAAGTCCCAGTTTCGAGCTTCGGTGATGCCGCGATCGACAATCGTCCCGTTTGGTGGGTTCGACGATCTATCTGCGTCGGTTTCTTTGGTCGGGTAGAAGCGAGTGTTGTGCCGCTTGCCAACGATGATGATGGTGATGCTAGGAAACCCGCTTTTAGTCTTGTCGGGGGGGTATAACTCCTTGCAAGCGGCTCGGAACGATGGAAGTTCTTTCTCGAGAACCAAGTTGTATAGACCTTCGGAGACACCGTCACGGTAAACGAGAATATTATCGGGAAGGGACTTGTTGACCTTTTGCCACAGCTGAAGTCGTGATTGAATCAGTGGCTGAAGGCCCGTAATCATCTCCTGACCAGGAGGTTGAATGAGGAGCTCTGCTGGCCATTGTCCGAGCCAATTGTCGACTGATGCCACGATGCCACTAACGCTGGGTGCCGTTTTCGCAGAACTTGGGGACGGATGTGTAACATCCAAGCCGACGATCATGGTTTTTCCTTCGGCCACAATGCCGAGCTTCTGGTTGTCGAGTGAATGATTCCTGCCTCCAAGCTTTAAATTGACCTTTAAAGCAAGATTGGCGAAATATTGGTCGTTGTAAGGTTTGACAAACTTCGAAGCCACAGCGCAAACGTTGAGGAGTCCTTCTTTGACGTCGCAGGCAGTTTTGACACGATTGTAGATTCTGGTGTCCTTCGAGGGAAGTATGACGAGCAGGAAGCCTGGTGGCTTCCTCCTTTCACTATGCATGAATAAGTGGATAGAATTGTCGATCTGTCTCTCCATTGTGGAGTGGTCGAGAGTCAGATTCATCCCTGGGGTGTGATTGACGGCGGTAATACCAAGCTCTTGCAATTTCTGGGTAAAACCATCCAGCGCGGTTAGCAGGCTTTGTTCAGAGCCCCATGGTGAGGCAGAACCACGCATCGAGATTGCGAGGTAAGTCCAGTAAGGCAAGTTTGATCGCGTCGAAAAACGCACGTTTTGCAAATTCCAGCTCGCTGCACGAGGGTTGGTGACACCTTTTCCCTGATAAAGGATCCTTGGGGTGTCCAAAACACGACCGGGCACGCAGACAAAATTGGGCTTGATCCCAAGACCAAAGTTATTCTGCTCCGTCATTTGTGAGTGATCATGACGCCAAGGAAATGGAGGGACTGACCAGTGTAGCATTCATCGGTGATATCCCTAGTAAGCTCACCCCAGAAGTTGCAATGAAGCGGGCGTTTTGGTCTGGTGAACGCACCGCATATTTAATCATGTTTTGCGTTTGAGGCGGGCTCAGTTTCGTTAATGTGTGCTGGCCCCCGATGACATGACAGACTTGAGCCGGGAGGTAAGATGGATTTTGTTTGTTTCCAACATTGACTATTGGCAAGCTAATGTCCCGAATGACCAGGTTGTATGCTGTTGGGGGTAAGTTACGACTATCATCATCTTTTTGGAGGGGGCTCACTTTGCTTGAAGAAGTCGTAGACGCTGACATATCTCCCCTGAGTTGCACCGCTGCTGCTGTTGCTGCCTCCTCCAGGTCTCTGCCTCTGTGTTTGAGAACCAGGATCGGCAGCTGCCAGGAAGAACTTCACTTCCTTCGGACCGGCACCGAAACTGTGTACCACAGGCTTGTGTACCTGCTGTTGACCATCACCTTCCGATGCAAGGCCAAATATTTGTTTGATGCGAGGAATGACCTTTCTGCTCCTGTCCCTTCGCTGGATGTGTGTGACGCTCACCGACAATCGCCTCAGAAAAGTTTCCAGCTTCCGCTTATTGTTCCCATTCTGAGTTACGAAGACATTTATGAGCCCTTCCAATGATCCTTCTTGGAAAAACGCGCCGTACTTGACCTGCACGTTGACAAGAATCCGCGCTGTGGCCGCTCGAGCACTCATAAAGAACCCTCGGATTGCCTGTAGCCCTTCTCCCAAGTTGACCTTCTCTGTTGTAGCTGTGTTGGGGTAGTGTTTATGTGCTCCAACGCTTGCAATGTCAGATGCCGCTTTTGGATGATGTCCCATTACAATGTTGAGAGCTTGGATCAGCTCATCTTTGGAGCCGAAAAGTGCGGCGCTTTTTGTGGAGGTTACATAATCCAGCAATTCTGAAGTCGACAGAGCGGCGTTTTGACGAAGCGTGATCTGGAATACAGGAGCATTAGCGCTCGGGTCTTGTTGGTGTTCTTGACGATATGGCACCCGATAGTGATCCCTGAGATTCAATTCCACTTTGCTGAGCATGTTCGATCTGAAATCCGTAACGATATCAAGTTCGTGGTCGCTGAAATGATCCTCAAGCAGCAAGTGCACCAAACGTCTCGTCCTTTTGGCACCTGGACCTTTGCCGCTGGCAGTAGGAGTGATATTGATTGAATAACGGTGGAGGAGGAGATTCCCGTATCCTGTCAATTCGAAGTAGTTTGTCCACAGCAGTATCTCTTTCCCCTTGGTTCCGAAACCTGGACGTTCCGGGAAGACGTTTGTGAGGGTAGAAGAGCTTTTCGATCGCTGGATATTTGCTTGTATCTCCTCCTCAATTTGCTTCACCGTTGAGTCATATGCTGTCACAGAGCCTCCATCCGGGCTGAGAATTGTCAGCGTCTGTCAGGAAAGCCAATGTTTGATCCCGTACCGATAAACGCTGACCTGAGTTGGCAGGCCTCTGCCTCTACCTCTGCCTGAACCTCGATCTCCTCTGCTATGCCCTCGAGGGTGGAATGGCTGTCCTCTGTCCCCACCTCCACCTCTGCCTGCACCTTGATCTCCTCTGCCACGGCCTCGAGGATTGAATGGGAAACCCTTTTCCGCACCTCCACCTCTAGGTACTCTTCCAGACATTTTGTAGAAAGAGTGCCGTAAAAGTTTAGAGTTAGAGGGATGAACAGCTGGCAATGTTGAAGCTGGAGTGAGAAAGATGAAGAGTTGCCAATGTTGAGGTTTAGGGTAGTCAAGAATCAGGATCCTGCCCAGCCACTATCGTCGTGTATTGCTAATAAGAACCATGTAATACAAGGCACAAGGATGCTCTTGTCACTTGCCGGGGGAAATATTTCCAAGTTGATAACTGGTAGATGGGTGAGACTTCACCCGGACCTTTGACGTCCCAATCAGAATCAGATGTGGGGTCGTGACTGCCAGATGCCTCAGCGGGATTACGAAAGGTGTGATGACCGTCCCGAGACCCCTCCTGAATCCGACTTGTCCTCGAAATTGAGTCACCTAGGTTAATTGAAATCTATCTTTGCAAATCATTGTAACGATTTTGTCGAACCCCTGATTCGAGAGAGGTCGATCGACAAGCCACGCACAAGACACTGTGTTGGGTTGAGGGTACACGCTAGATCAACCTCTCATGTTTGCTACAATTTTCCACTGGAATTTTCAGAGATGCAAGGGATGAATCAACGAGCTTGCAGAAACTGTACTTGGCTTTACTCAAACACACTTGTACCATCCTCGTTAGAGCTTGAGAGCCACTTTCCCATGTACCTTTTTTTCTCGCGGCCGGGTTTCTAGAACCTCACCATGGACCAAATCACCGCGCGCACCCGCAGCTACCAACTAGAGATGTTCGAAAGAAGCATGCAGGAGAATATTATAGTGGCGGTAATCAATCCTCGAGAATACAAGATTCCGCGCTGACCCAAAGTTCATAGATGGACACAGGGAGCGGGAAAACGCATATGTAAGAGCGCGATCGAAACATCTAACTTCGACTCATACATTTCAGTGCATTGCTTCGAATAATGGCTGAGCTAGAGCGCTGCCCATTGCACAAGGTCGGTTACCAGCCAGGTAGGAAGATTGGGATATAATATGCTGACCATCACACTGCTTGTCTGGTTTCTTGCGCCTCATGTTGCTCTATGTGAGCAACAATATAATGCCCTTCGAATTGGCCTTCCCTCAGTGAGAATCAAACTCCTTATCGGCAACGATAATGTGGATCGGTGGAGCGAGCAGCGCATCTGGAATGCGGCACTAGATGGCGTCCGTGTGATGGTGTCAACCCACAAAATCCTCGAGGAAGCTCTCGCACATTCATTTGTGAAGATCGAAAACCTAGCTCTCTTGGTCTTCGACGAAGGTACACAAAATTCTTTGTCCTGGGACTGACCTGAGACTGACTGAGGTATCAACAAGCGCATCACTGTATTCGAAAACATCCTGCAAACAAGATCATGGCCAATTTCTACTATCCCAAGAAAAGCGAACATCCTGATCAAGTTCCACATGTATTGGGTCTCACCGCAACGCCCATTGTGCGGTCAAAGCTCCATGAAATGAAGTCTGTCTCCCTGATGGTAATATATTCGTTGACTAAACCTTTTTTCAGCACGGTCGAACGCAATCTTGACGCCATTGCAGTGACAACAAAACTCCATCGTGACGAGTTGTTTCACTTTGTTCATCGACCAGACTTGGTCCCTCTGGTATACAAAATCGACTGCCCGGCCAATGCCAGCACTACTCTAGAGAGGCTACGACAAATATGCTCAGCTCAGGCTGTCTCTCCGGCGCCTACTGACGCTTCACAATCTAAAAGTATACCCCAGTCTCCGTGGAAAGAGCAACTTGCCAAGTTTCGAACCAAGGCACACCACGTTTTGAACGAGTTGGGGCCTTGGGCCACCGACTTTTTCATTCTGGAATCGATCAAAGTCTTAGACAAGTCGGGTGGGGACAACACTGGCCTCTTATTCAGCTGGACGGATCAGGAGCATCGAGTTCTCACGAAACTCCTCTGCAAAGATCCTGTGCTCTCGCAGCTTCAGTACAATATTGCACCGAGTCATGACAACGTCTCAAAGAAAGTGGCCTGTCTACTATCCTTCCTTGGATCAAGAGACGCGAGCCAAAGCACTGCTATAATATTTGTTCAACAGCGAGTGATAACTGGTCTCCTAAGCCAGCTCCTTTCGGCCTATCCTTCCACCAGGGGAAGTTTTCAGTGTGCGGCATTTGTTGGCATGTCTCAGAATCGGAGTAAAAAGTACAATTTGCCTGAACTCCTCGACATGAAGGAACAGCGGCAAACCCTCGCCAGTTTCCGTGCGCGAGCCAAAAATGTGATTGTTGCAACCAATGCCTTGGAGGAAGGGATAGATGTACAAGCATGCAACCTTGTCATCTGCTTTGACCTCCCACAAAACTTGAAGTCTTTCATTCAACGGCGGGGCCGGGCCCGACAAGAAAAATCCGTGTTCGCGCTGATGTTTTCGGAAGAGGAATCCCAAGATAGGCTGGCAGAGTGGAAAACACTCGAGGACGGCTTACAGCGCTTGTATCAGGATGCCTCAAGATTGAGAGTAACAGCACTAGATCTAGAGCAAAGTGAGCGGGTAGATTACTCACTCAAATCATCAACGACCGGGTAAGTCTATCCTCTTATCGGAATATCTCTCTAACAACAGGACAGTGCAACGCTCACTGCCGAGGACACTATGGCCCATTTACACCACTTCTGCGCTAAGCTGCCCGTCGAACCGTTCTCCGATATGCGACCAATGTTCTCATACAAGCAAGAGCCGCCTGGATCAGAGGAGATCACTGCAATCGTCACCCTCCCAAACTGTGTAGACGCCTCGGTTCGCGTGGCAACAAGTCTCCATAAATGGAAGACGGAGAAAAATGCAGCGAAAGATGCCGCGTTTCAAGCTTACGCCGGGCTGTACTCTGCCGGCCTTCTCAACGAGAACTTGTTGCCACTCTCCCATGATTTTGAGATGCAGCTGGACGTCTTGGACAAGCTTGGATCCCAAGTCGATATAGACCTGGAATACAATCCGTGGCAGCTTGTCGCTCAAGCCTGGTCATCGACGTATATATACGATCTTGCGGTGCAGTTCAATTTCCATGAACGCACCGAGCGGCCGCCTGTCAGAATGAAACTCGCATTTCCCTGTGAGTTGCCTGATCTACAGCCACTGAGGGTGCAGTTGACCGCGGATGTGACTGTCTATATAACATTTCAACACGATCGCAGACGAAGATTCATCACTCCGACTGACAGGGATCTCATGAGGAAGGCGACGCATATCATTAGCCGCTCGACGCATTCTGACTACAGCTCGGACGACAGAATTGATTTCCTAGCTCTTTTTACACCAGTCATGGAAGACATGATGCTGCAGACTTGGCTTAATGCTAACAAAGGGAGAATTGAGGCATTTGAGCTTGTGAGCGTCTCTCGCAGCCTGATCCCTCGGGGATTCGTCCGGCACACGACAGAAGGACGACAGCCCCAGATTTTCAACTCGTGGACGGTAAATGATGATACTGCAACCTCAAATTTGCACCAAATTACATGCACTCCACTTCCAAGCAGAAGAAATTTCATGATTTCTCCCCCTGAGAATTCTGGCGCGGGAAAACTGAAGATCAGGAGCGACAACAAGGAAGAACACCCGAAGCTCAACTACTATCCCCTCGAGGAATGCACTATAGACCGTCTCCCCGTGGGAATCGCACGGCTCAACCTTCTGCTCCCCACGATTTTCCAACATATCGCGAACGCGTGGGTTGCGGACCGGATGTGCCAAACAGTTCTGAAAGAAATCCCGTTCCGATCCCTAGATCTCGTCATCACCGCCATCACCCCACCGAGCGTGCAGTGGTGTACGAATTACGAAACGCTCGAATTTCTCGGAGATTCGATCCTAAAGCTAGTCGTGTCTATACAGCTGTATGAACGCCACAAGAATTGGCCTGAAGGGTACCTCACGCTGAAAAGGGCCGTGTTGGTGTCCAACCAGTATCTGGCCAAGGCTGGGTTGAAAGCAGGTTTGTCAGCATTTATCAGGACGACTCCTATATCTTGGAAGAGGTGGTCGCCAATATTCATATCGGACATGGTGGCCAAATCGTCATGTGCCGCTCGAACGGTCCGCATGAAAGTCCTAGCGGACGTTGTCGAAGCCCTCATTGGGGCTGCGTTTGTCGATGGAGGTTTTGGCTCAGCGGAAACCTGCATTCGCCATCTGCTCCCTGGTCTGGACAATGAAAAGCTCTCCTTCGCAGTCCAGGCAGACAAGGAGCAAGTGATCGCCAGCCAAGACAGGTTTGAAAGCGTTATCGGATACGAGTTCCGCCATCCTTGTCTGTTGGTCGAGGCGTTAACGCACCCTTCCTGCGAAAGAGATCGATTCTCCCAATCATATCAGCGACTTGAGTTCCTTGGAGACGCGGTACTCGATTCAATCATCGCCTCGCAGCTCATGACGCATAAGGTGTCATCGCGGTCACCAGGAGTGATGACCCGCGTCAAATCAGCGATGGTAAATGCCCATTTGCTTGGATTCTTCTGCATGGAATTCTATCGTACCGAAGAATTTGAATTCGTGCAACAACAACAACCTAACGGGAAGTTTAAGATTGAGACAGAAACGACCAACATTTATCTGTGGCAACTCATGCGCAGTCACAATGACGTGGTCCGGGACCGTCGAATTGATAGCCTCGATCGATTCGAGAAACTAGGTGGAAGCATCCGACGGCAGCTCGACGGCAGCTCGGAATATCCCTGGCTTGACTTGTCTATGTTGCGGCCTGAGAAATTCTTCTCTGACATTATCGAGAGCCTGGTTGGAGCCATATACGTAGACTCCAAGGGGTCTCTCGAAAGATGTTCAACTTGGCTCGACTACATTGGCCTCATCAAATATCTCCGGCGCGTCTTGGATGAAAATATTGATGTTGTTCATCCAAGGACGAAAGTGGATTGGAAGACAGGTGCACAAACTACTGAGTATAAAGTCAGCAAGATGGCTGATCCCGCGGAGAAATTTCAGTGCATCTTGTTAGTTGGTGAGAAGACTTGTGTTCAAGTTGACGGCTACGATACTTCTGATGTTGCGATTGTTGCTGCTGCTCAGAAAGCGCTCAGTATCCTTCCGTGATGTTTCCGCAGTTTATAGCGATTCGAAGAGATTGGTACAATTTCCAATTCAAGAGCACTCAATTACCAGGGCCAGAAGCTGATGACACTCTCCTGCCTCAGCACTTGAGTCACAGAAGTCTTCCGATACAGTAAAACTATCTACTTCTCTCCTAGCCATTTGGCACGCAGCTCCGGGGGAATAACATGACTGCCTGACGTATCAGATCAAACTGCCAAGTTGCCTTTTGCAACCCTGCGAATTTCGATTCTCCAGTTCACCTGCTTCTGGGCGAGGACATCCAGCAGGGTCAATACTTCCTTCAAACGCTCCAAAGTCTCTTTGTTGTTATCCTCCCAGTCCTCCACACCTGCTCGAACATCCTTGTTTTGGACGTCCATGAAAATACCTCGATCGTGGTAAGCGACGATGAAGTTTGGGACCTGATTAACCCATAGTCGGACATGCATTTCATTCATATCCATACGGTTATGGGATGCTCTTGTCTTCAGATCGAAAATGGACTCTTGTGGGCAGCCATTTCCCCCTTGACAAACTTTCAGTGCTTTGGAGTCGGTGAGGTCTGAAGCGACGTCATCCGGGAAAACTTTAGTTCGAGCAAATGCAGAGGCAACGTCCTTACTGTCCCCAGAGGCGGCGTAACTTCAAGGCGTTTGGCCTGATAGTCATCTTCCAGCTTCCGTGGGAGATATCCGTCTATCTCAAATCTGACCACAAGATTCAGTCCCCCGAACGAATATGACACCAATCGTTGGTGAGACTGGGATCCAATACAAGCTGGGTTCCGGTTGGTATAGGCTTCAGGAAACGTATGCCCATTGCCCCGAACGTCTGGAATCGTGTCACGAGGATTGTTTTCCTTCCTGATCAGGAACAACGTGCTTCCCACCTTCTCAGCCACGAATCTGAAAGTCCTGTCTCGCTCCCCAACGAAGGCAAGCAAAGAACCCATCGTGTTGCCGCACGCAAATACATCAACCTCTTGTCCATCGAAGTCAGGTTTCATCGTGAATATGGCGCGAACGCCAGGCTCCGTTGGATATGGGGCATATTGAGAGGCATTCTTGTCTCTGAAATATGTGCCTCTGTCCTGCTTTAGGGCTGGAGCATGGACTGGAGGTGCCCATCTTGGAGGGCTGCCTGGAAGGAATCAGACGAAGCCGTTCGTGAGGAAGTTCACATACCTGGAACCAGGATTGTCGGTTTGTCTCTTGCCAACCAATTGTACGAAGCTACATAGGAGGCATCAATAATCTTGAGGATGTCGTCGTCCTCACCGGCCTTGAGAGCGGAGGCGCGGATGGCCAGCAAATGCTTCTGGGATGGGAGTATCGGAAGGAATTCCGGAAGAGGGCGTGTGCCTCCACTTTTGGCAAGAAGAATAAGTCGCTGCCATCTTTGAATCTGAGCAGCGAGGTAGGTGGTCGCGAAATAGAGACAGAGGGATGGGAAGATTCCAAGCGCAAGCGATCGAGGTGCAGCTTTTGCAAGTGTTTTTAAGGTACCATCTTGCTGACGAGGCGAGACTAGATTGGGTGCGCTCTGCATCCAATCACCTCCTTAATCTGTATGTGAGCTGGCTACAGAAAGTAACTCTTGCCGTCCTCATCGCTAGCTTCCACTGTTTCCAAGTATTCTGTGCTGCAGATTTTATTGTGGGGGTGAATTCCCCCGAGGCAAATCTCTTACTACCTGACTGCCGTATGTTAATTGGGACATCGAGGAACTCCTGGCTAGACTGGAGAGAATCGTGCCGAGGACCTCTTGACTCCCGGACTGCGAGGATGGGATTCAACTGCCATATAGCTGATACATAGAACGATGGTTCGTTGGACCCGTGCCTTCTCCGCCTGAATACGGGTATGCTCTTCCTGCCAGACGCGTTGTGCCTCCAGTCGCGCTCATTCTCGCTGCTGGGGCTTCCTCGGCCGCTCGCGCTCGCGCTTCGAGGGCTCGCCGTTCCTCGATCTGTACTCGTTGTCGTGTTCGAGCCTGCCGAAAGACCGAGGGAGCGGCGACGAGACAATTGGGAGGCAGCTTGAGTGTGTCGTCTTCGTTCCTCCTCAATGTGGGTCAGTCTCTCATCGTGTCGTCGCATCATCTCAGCGACCTGCAATTCGCATAAAGAGGGCTGGGGGCTCCTGACTTCCCATTGTCGTATATGATGAGTCGCTTCGCCGAATCGCTTCCGCAAGATTGCATTTTCTACCCGAGAAAGGAGAAGGCGACCCTTTAGACAATAAGATCTTATGTCCGCAGTCATTCTACTGTCCAAGGCAGCTTATATCAGCGCATCAGATTCATCATCACTCGGGGACACTAAAGGACATCGGCTCTAGCTCTGCTCCTCAGCTCGAGCTATCAATCTGATCTGACATTTAGCCTTCTCTACGAAACATCCAAAACCGAGCGTCCTCGGCCGTTGCGGCAAACAGGCTATGGTACCAGTGCCCTCCCTACATACGTCTAATACCCCTATACCTGTCTGATATTTCTGTCGTAACGTCGGATTATCGCCTATATTACCATCTCCTATTTTGTATTGCATCCACTATCTATCCACTATCACTGCCTCGCACTAATTCACTCATCTCTATCCTCTACATCAAGTCTTTCGTCATCTCTTGTACCATCAACGGGAATTCGATTTGTTAGATCCACCTCGATCGGAAAGAAGCGTGGCCATACTCCTTCGCGGAAAAACCGTTGACAATGCTGATTGACTAGCCACGGATTTTCAGGTCGGTATCTCCTTTTCGACTTCACATTTCCGCCACGGCTTTGTGGATTGACCCATCCGTGTCCCTCCCTACGATGTCTTTTCATACTGTTGTCGCTGTCGTTGGAAGTGTAGTAGCGCGGCTGGCCGTCTACTTGTGACATCAAGCATACCATACCCTTGTAGAATACTGGTAAGGCTTGGATACGTCCACTCGTGATAGCTGGGCATATTACCTCTTCTGGTTGATGGGCTAAATATGATAGGGTTCCGATATACTGCACTATACTTGTACGAACGGCTGGTGGGATGTGAGGGTGGTGCTTCCTGCCGGATGCTGTAGTCCTTATGGCGATTATCGTGGAGAGAGATGCGGGTGCGATATGGGCTCTGCGTGTAGACTCGTCGTAAAATGCGGCGCTCTCGCGGGCGTCCGCCCCCGACGGCGCGAGCAGTTTGACTGAGGAGGGGGCCCACCGCCAACTCTTCCATGTCGTCGTTCTCAAAGGGCATCCGCTTACCGATGTCAACGACTTCCTTTACCGGATTGTAGTTCTGAATGTATCGGACGCCACCGCGATAGAGTCGAGGCCGTTTGGGTGGGACACTAGTGACGGAGGCCGCGTCGCGAAGCATGGATTGCGTATAGAAGTAAGTGCCGGGGCCATTGTGAGAAGGCCTTCGACATTCTTCCTCATAAAGCCAGTCAATGGAGGACTCGAGGCAACAGCGACGCCAGAGGTAGGTGGAGGGAGTAACTGGGATTCGATGGACGAGAGACACAGATTTCCTGCCCAAATCAACGTAGAGACGGTCCTGGTCGATGTAGTCCCAGCAAAGGACACGGTGCATCCAATCATCCCAGCATTGAAGCGCAAGATATACGTTTCACCCTCCTCGGAGTACCGATGTTGCTGATGGACTACCAAACTGGAAAGGCAACCAATCCGACAATGTCATTCCGCCCTTCCTCGCATTGTCATTTAGAAAGCACATGTATTCTCCACAAGGATGGGTCGCAGGTTCCTCGAATGATTCCAACATCTGTGATATTCAGCTGGCGAAAGATTATACATCCGGCCTCAGTAGAAGACACTTCAGAATCGAGGTCAGTCCAACTGCGCATCGCACTATACTCACAGTGATATCAAGGAACGCCATCCAGATCCATGGTGATGGCCACGCGGGAATTCTCTCATAAGGGGAATCCTTGTAAATCAGGACTGCAGTTACTGTTGATCTAGGAGAAGTCACCTTGAGAGCCTGGCGAACGATCTTATCACATTGGGAAGAGCTTGACTATCGCAGAAATGCTGAGGAATTCAGTAGGGTATTCCTTGATGCGGTCCCACGATTCCCGCAGTCCCAAGGTTCCTGAGGGTTCCACGTTCGATCTGAGGTTAGGAAATAACGACACAGTATATAGACGGGAAAGAGATGGACATGGAGGCGTAGGTGGGTTTGCAACGGTCCTGAAGGTCAGGCAGTTACACTCCCAAAAGATCTTCGCCGCGAAGGTGCCACACTTTAAAGCATCTGACCGCTCAAGCGTGGTTCGGAAACGTTGGGAGTCATTAATAGAAGAGTTTAGGAAAATCTCCTATCGGCGACATGTAGGTGATTCCCGGGTCTACCTACGTCCATGCCTATGATGATAACAATTCCATCCTCACATAGTACGGGCGAAGGAAGTCCTGATAGGAACGCATGTCGATGATCCCCCTTGGTTGATCATGGAGTGGATCAATGATGATCTTGGCTCAACTACACTCGATAATCGGGATATCCCTACCTTGATGACTCACCTCACCAAAGGTCTCGCCTACATGCATGCCAAACGATAGACTCATCGTGACCTGAAACCCGAGAACGTTCTTATCCTTCGAGATGGTCAGAGGTTGATCACTGCCAAGATTGCTGACCTAGGTACGACAAAATATGACCTCTCTGGGAGTATGCACACCTATACTGGGCCAAGTGTTTACATGGCCCCTGAATCCTGGGGAAAGGAGTTACATTACACCAATGCCGTTGATATATGGTCTCTGGGTATTGATTTAGCCGAACTGCTCACCCAGACAGGAACGCGATTGAAAGGATGGGATGCAAGGTTCCCCTCGAGCCAGGATATGCACCAAAGATGGATTTGTGAGGACCTACAGCCGCTTGTCCAAAGCTCACCGGAGGATTTCAAACCTCTCTTAATGGTTTTGTTATCACAGACACCGACTGATAGGTGGACAGCAGTTGAAGTCGAGGAATGGCTACAGGAAAATGTCCAGGCACACACCAGTACCAGCAGAAAGCGTAGAATGTCCTCACTTCGGGGGATGGGAGGCGAGAGGGAAGATAGGGCCGGACGGTCCGACCACAACACTTTATTCAAGGCGCGCGTCGGCTATAGTGCCTCGCCTACCACGAGTATCCCAGATACAGAACCCTTAGGCTCACTGAGCCCAGATGCGGAAATTCCGGACAAAGAGACTGGCATAACTGAGGCGGGAGGAACGAAATAATGGTATACACTCGAGGTACGAGAGCAAAGATAGAATGGCGTCAATGGATGATCAGCTATGACGCTATTCTGTCTATTAGCTCGTTGACTGTACGTACAATACAGTGCTTCTTTCCAATTCCCGGCCTGTTGGGTGCAGTCTCTCTCATGCTCTGTACTCGGAAGACTGCAGTAGCTGGCCCTCTCAGCGACCTACATGTTTGATCGCACAGAAAAGTCAGTGTAACCGGTGCCTTTGACGAACGTCGCCAGCCATGGGCCTTGGTTCTTCTCAGAAAGCTCCACATAAAATTTCCCATGTGCCTCTCCATCAATAGCACTGTACACAGCAGTGCCATCAGCGTGGCGTTCATCTGCGTAATAGAAACTAGCTCAGTTAGTTATTTAGCTACAACTAAAGAGGCAGTATGGCGTACCTGTATCCGCGGTCCGCATAGACTGACGCTGCTGTCTGTATCATGTGTGCAGTAGCACTCTTTCCCATTCCGTGACTCATTAATGCTGGGATTGGCTGACTGTTCGTGATGTTTCCAGTGAAGATAAAGGTCCTCGCAGTGTCCTTTGGCAATGCGTCGAAGGACTTGACGGCTTCCTTTGCTGCAGCGAGAGCGCTAAATGCATTGACATTCATATCACGGATGGCATCCTTGATAGAAATCTCCAATGGGTTGTCCTTGTTGACGAACGATGCCACGGCGGCTGTCTTGGTCAGTATCAAAACAATGGTAACGAACAGCTCCAGTAACGAACCATTGTAGATAACTACGCTTGGATGGCCAAGCTGCTTGCGGACGGTTTCGAAAACTGTTGACACGCTTTCGGGATACTCCAGGTCAGCCTGGATGTGGAGTCGCTTGTCGCTCGTGTCTGCTCTAGCTGTCCGCGACACTGTTGCTACCCTGTACCCTTTGGCAGAGAAGGCCTTGACGACACTAGCTCCTACGTTTTGACCGGCACCAAACACAAGGGCGATCGGCAATGGTGCAGACATGGTAACGTGTCACCTCAATAGCTTGTTGAAAATGAAGTGACGGGAGGATGACTTTGGACAGTGTACACAAGGAATCTGGAGTCCTGAAACTGTCACGACTTTATTCCACAGGGCCATGGCCCTTTTAAACTTGTTATTCCCGTCAGTCCCCAAGTGAGTCCTGATAGTTCTGATTGATGTACGCCGTGCTGAGCAATCGTGCTTCTTCCACCTTGAATATCTGCCCAAGTGTCGGAGAAAGTTGCTTCACTTTACATAATTCCACTGACGTTTCTTCGCCCAACCAGACGGGCGAAATAACCCGACCATAAATTATTAATATTCCTTCGCAAATACTTTCCAGTGATTACTGTGTACACTACCAGACACTGCAACCTTTTACTTCCCTGACACGTCGCTATGAGTCCCGCGATGAGTATAAGAGGATGCGATAGCCTCCCCTTCTGTCAAGGCATTACCACAACCCAACGGACTCAGTAAAACAATCCATATCGTCCTAAACCCTTTCATCCTTTCATACTGGTCAGGTATCGCCATCTAATATCATCGAAATTGAAAATGGTTTCCTGGGCTGTCACCGGTGCGACAAGAGGCATTGGCGTAAGCTTCCCAGAGCAACACCACAACCACATTCCCAAATGCTAACATGACCGTCTTTGCAGTTTGGCTTCATCGATAACATTGTAAGTCTATCGCTACAACTGTGGTCATGGCAAACGCGATCCACTGACTTCGCCGCCAAAGTCTGCCGATCCGAAGAACCAAGTGTTTGCCCTCATTCGAAGTCGAGCCACTGCCGGTCCGCTTGAGGCGCTTGCTGCGAAGCGCAAAAACATTCATATCATCGTGACCGATATCTCCGACCCTCAAAAACTGGACGACGCCGCCGCTCAAGTCTCCAAGTTGACAGGTGGTTCGCTTGATATCTTGATCCTCAACGCTGGTTCTGCAGTGCCAGAGACTGCCTTCATACCGCCAACTGGTTTGTAAGGCGACGGGCTCAATGCGCCTGAGAGTTCAAAGTGCTGACACTGTGTAGTCGTGGCAAGGAGGAAGCGCTGGACAAGGAGATTAATGAGAACGTCAAAAACAACCTGATCAGCAACATCTACGTCATCAACTCCTTCCTCGATCTTGTTCGTAGCGGCAAAGAGAGGAAAATCGTATTCATTTCCACCCAAAGTTGCGATGTCGAGTTCACTCGAATCACTGGCTTTGCTTCCGTCATGGGGTATTCTATCGCTAAGGCTGGCATGAACATCGTCATGACCAAGTTCGGCGCTGAATTGGCCCCAGAGGGCATCAAGACACTGTCTCTGAGTCCGGGATGGGTAGACACTGATGCTTGTCAGTCAATACCCAAATCAAATTGTGTGACCCCAGATGACTGACTAGTAACAATAGCCCGAGCCATCACAGGCGACCCGGAAACGCGCAAATTTGCGCTAAACGCATTCCGCAACTTCGATCCAAAGGTGACTGGACCGATTTCGGTCGATGAATCAGTCACCTGTATGCTGGGGGTTATTGGGGACTTGACAGAAGCGAACAGCGGAAAATTTCTGTCTCATCGTGGGACGGCGGAGCAAGGGTTCTAGTCCGGAAGCTGAATGGACCTATCTTGACAGAATATTGGAATTAAAATGACGGGGTCATGGCCTGAACTCAGGCAAATGGTGGTATGAATGGAACGCCAGCAACAACCGCATCGAAAATTGTTAGATAGTCGACTTGGTTCTCCTCATTGAGATCATGTTGGTTCCATACGGCCTCGACCATATGCTGAATGAGATGAATGTGACTTGATCTTCGTCTTCGATCTTGCCGACTTTGTTCAAAGACGTCCAGGATAGCAAGGCGCTGATCATCCCCGACTGCTTCGCACGCGATAATGAACAATGGCCACGCATTCTGACACGTTACCATCTTGTTCAGCAGTGATATACCCTCTTTCACGAGTCGCCTGTGACGGAATTCTGTTCCCGTGACACAATGGACTGCCCGATTGACATATATCAAGCACGCGAGTCGATGAAGATCGGCGACCATAGCATTGCGATCCATTGGCGTCGTAGATGGGACGTGGATTGGACCATAATCTCCTACTACCTTGGAAACGTTCTGTTCCAGCACCGTCGTGAGCTCGATACCAGTATTCGCCTGATTCATCTCGGAGTGTTTCCCCGCGAGAGCTCGTCTACATGTATGTGCAACGAGCTGGAGCACCTCAATTGGACATCCGATGCCATCTCCTACCTGCCGCAGTATTAGACGATGTCAGAGATAATGTATTGGAGTTCCATTTACCTTGGAGCTGCTTCCCTCGATGGCTCGGGGTGATCTTGCTATAGGAGGAGAGCCGCAGCCTTCATAGGGTACCTTCCAATGCCTGATTGTAAACTCTGCGAGGACTTCGTGATAATACACCCAATCAAGGAAAACTGAGTATTCTTGGCGGGCCAGTTTCTGAATTACTGGTAATGTGTGGATAGCCTTTTTCACTGCACAGAGATATGTCACCCAATTCCCTTTCGAGTTGGGTTCAAGTGAGAGCTTGTGATCATTAGCAGACCATGGTAAACCTATGCGGATCGAGTTACACTACCTCGTAATGATATAGAAGCATCGTTGCCATCAAATTCTGAAGGAGCGTCTTCTCGTCGGACCAATTGATTGACTCCTTGACCGATGATATGACAAGATGCTTGTACCGGAAGCTCTTCAAGCTACCGTGAAGCTGCAGTGATGCTAGAGCAAATATACCTTGTAGGACTGGGTTAGTTGTATCGGAAGGGCATGAGAAGGCAATTGTCAAGATGAATTGTGCCAAAATCTCCTCGTCAGTAGGTCCTAGTATCAGCGATTTGGATTCGTTGACTGGGATGTTTTGGTCAGCGTGATACTTGGGCCTGGAGAGTCAACCTACGTACAGAAGCTCAGTAAATGCGACTCGCTCCTGCTTATCACCAGGGGAGATAGATAGGTCGGACGAGGTATCTTCATGGTCCTAAGGTAATGAGCTATGACCAACTGCCATTAGTATCAAATAGCTGGATAGTGTGTCGGAAGTGGTCTTCACCAGAAATTCTTCCGTTCTCTAGCTCCTTCGACAGTGTGATGTCCCAGGAGGATATGTTCAAGAACCCCTTGGCATTTGGTTGAAAAGTTTTCACTCCATGGCGTGTATCCCGCGCGACGATTGCTCTTTTACTGTCTCCGTGTCGAGGCCAGGACAGCTGCATGCCATATCCTTGACAGACGCGACGCGCCTTCGTGCAATTGCCACACCTGGGCCAATGAGAGTCGCATCGAACTTTGCGCTCTGAGTAGAGATCAGTTCTTGCTTTTGTCTGCGGACTTGTCCACTCTTGGTTTGTTTACCTCTGCAAGTCCAACACCCTTTTATTCCCATAGCGAGATTCTTACAGGCACATGCTGAATGCCGCTAGGCTAGAGCCTTGTCTGGCTATATAATATTTGAGAAATTACCTAAGGCTACCGCCACTCGGTAGACTTCGACCGAAGATCTCCGAAGTCGTAATGGGCGCCTAGTGTGGTGGTCATTACATTACCTCAGCAACTACCTTCGCACAAGCCACAAGCACCCAGACAAGTGTATCAGACTATAGCTGGGATCCACTGAAATCTCGGAGAAAGTTGCCCATGATGATTAAGTAATAAGACACACCACCTGGGTGCCCCCCCACTATAAGGAGGAATGATGCGCCTCGTACTGCACGTGCTATTGCTAAGACAATTTTTCTGATATGTATCGTGGTCATCCTGAATTCCAAGATGACCGCTCTACTCATAGTCATTTCCCTTGTCTCTTCAGAGGGTCACTCTCTGAATTAATCTCAAGGTAGGATTTTCAGAGAAGGGTTGGGTCTGTGGACTCAGCTTACTACGAGTCATCAGTAGACATATTTATGCCCGCATTACCGAGTTGAGCCGAACAGCCGAGGCGGAGCAATAGGTTTTTGAGGTCGACTTTTCGCGAACACTGTCAAACGCGAACAGGGATCGCTTCCAGTAGATATCCAAGTCGGTAGGTTACCTCCATGATGTCTTCTCGACCCGTCAAGATTCTCATAGCCAATCGATCTGAGATTGCATGTCGCCTTATCAGGACCTACTCGCTCTACTCGAACATCCACACTGTAGCTCTATTCACTCCTTCTGAGAAGGATGCGACACACGTGCGCCTTGCAACTACAGCAGTGCAGCTACCGCGAGAAGGTCCAGGTGCATATCTGGACGCGGCTAATATCGTCGATATTGCGAAGAAAGAAGGATGCTGGGGTATCGCACCGGGCTATGGTTTCTTGTCCGAAGATGCAGGTTTGGTGAGGCTATGCGAGGAGAACGGCATTGTATTCATCGGACCATCGAGCGAGCAGTTGGCACACCTTGGAGACAAGATCAGCGCGAGGACCTTGGCGGCAAATGCACGTATACCCATTCTAGATGGCACGAAAACCCGAGTTGATGGGGGTTCTTCCATCACGGATGTACTGGCATTCGGAAAGAGCCTGGGCCCAGCAAGCAAGATCATCCTGAAGGCTGCAGCTGGTGGTGGAGGGCGCGGTATCCGCATCATTGATGACAACACGGACGAGCAAGCCATTCGCTCAGCTTACGAAGCTTGTCAGCGAGAGGCACATGCGTCCTTCGGCAATGGAAGTTTGTTCGCGGAGCGATACCTGGACGGTGCTAAACACATCGAAGTGCAGCTTCTGGGAGACGGTACTGGAGAAGTGTGCCATTTCTGGGAAAGGGAATGCTCGCTTCAGCGCAGAAACCAGAAAGTCGTGGAGATTGCGCCCTCGAACTCCATCACGCCACGGCTTAGGCGAGCCATCATTAAAGATGCTGTGAAACTGGGCAAAGCAGTGAAGTTGCGGAGTCTCGCCACAATCGAGTTCCTTGTCGACGCAGCAGCTGAGAACTATTACTTCATGGAGGCGAATCCAAGGATACAGGTCGAGCATACCATCACCGAGCAGATTACTGGTGTTGATTTAGTGGATTTACAACTTCAGGTTGCCTTGGGACGAACGCTCGCAGACCTGCACATAACCGGGGAGCCTCCGTCACCACGACTTACATCCATACAGCTACGGATCAACGCTGAAAGCTTCAAGCAAGATGGCACTGCCCAACCTGAAGCAGGGACTATTCGACAAGCACACTTCCCTACAGGAGCAGGCGTACGAGTCGAGACGGCCCTTGAAGGCGGCCGGAAATATGCCGTGAGCCCTCTGTTCGACAGCCTTTTAGCGAAACTCATTGTCACGTCGTTTTCGTATGAGTCTGCCCTGCGGCTGGCTCGTTGGGCCATCGACGAGACAAAGATCGTGGGATGCAGGACGAACCAGGCATTCTTAATGGCTTTACTGAATAGCCAACCTGTGCAAGAGGGCAAGAGCAATATCTTGACCATCCAAGAGAACTTTGAGCAGCTGTACAGCGCCACGCAACAGTTTGAAGACACGCTAAGGGCCAAAGATGACAGCAGCTCTCAAGAAGATACCTCGCAAACGGAGGTTGCAGCTAAGGTTGAGCGACCTGCAGGATCTGAAGAGCTTCCCGCGCATCTCACTGGGGTTGTCCTGTCCATGAAAGTGAGCGAAGGCGACAAAGTCACAGCTGGCCAAGAATTGGCTGTTCTTGCGGCGATGAAGATGGAACATTCCGTCCGGAGCGCGTACAATGGTGTTGTGGCGAAAGTCGCCGTTACGGAGGGACAGCAAGTAAATGCAGGCGATCCTCTTCTCTTCATCAGGGCAGATGACGACAGTTCAACCACAAATACGCACGCTCTGGCCGAGACCGAAAACCCAGAGGTGCTGCGGCCGGAGTTGACGGAGCTGAACGAACGAAAGGCTTTTCTCCGGTATGCGGCGCGCGACGAGGATGTGGCCAAGCGCCATGCAAATGGATACCTCACGGGCCGGGAGAATATCGACTTGCTGGTAGACAAAGATTCATTCGTTGAGTATGGAGACCTTGTGGTTGCGGCACAAAGGAAAAGATACCCGATGTCCCATCTCATCGCTCGAACAAGTGGAGATGGTATCATCGTGGGCTGGGCGAAGATAGACGCTCACCCAGTCGCAGTTGTCATTGGTGATTACCTGGTCCTTGCCGGCACGCAAGGATACTTTCACCATCAGAAGTTAGACCGCATCTTCCAATCGATCATTGACCATCCTGCGCCACTGGTTTTCTACGCTGAAGGAGGTGGTGGGAGACCGGGTGACACCGACCACTTGGGTATGGCGGGCTTGAAAACACCATCGTTCGCTCTGATGGGTCAGATCAAGGCAAGAGGAATACCTTCTATTGCAGTGGTGAATGGATATTGCTTTGCGGGCAACGCCGCATTCTTGGGGACGTGCGACATTGTCATAGCTACGAGAGGTGGTTCCAAAGACGCGCCGCAGAGGAAGTCGACCACGATCGGCATGGGCGGCCAAGCAATGATCGAGGGCGGTGGACTTGGCCGGTTTGAGCACGAACATATCGGTCCTGTCGATGTCCATATGCGCGCGGGTGGCATCGATGTACTTGTGGACACTGAGGTCGAAGCTGCGCCGCTGGTCCGCAAGATCGTCAATCTGTTCACACATCCGCGGCTGCCACCATCCGAGAGTCGTTACACATCAGACCCTCTTCGCCTTCGCACCGCAGTGCCGCCAGTGTCGTCCCGTCGAAGAGCATATGATGTTCGTCATGTGATCAACCTCCTCCTTGACGACGACAGCTTCATCGAGTTCTGCCCCGAGTGGGGTCTCTCTGTGATCACAGGCTTTGGCCGCATCAACGGCCACGCAATTGCAATCGTGGCTTCCAACTCTTCATCTCCCCTCGGCGGCGCAATCGATGTCGCATGCGGCGCAAAAGTCAATCGCCTTTTCCGCCTCCTCATCCGTCTCGGCGGTATGCACCTCCTCAGCCTCTGTGACACCCCTGGATTCATGGTCGGCCCGGATTTCGAACGATCGGTCGAAGCTCAAGGTGCCGGAAGCACATACCGCTGCTTCGGTGACTGGTTCGGCAACTCTCAAGAATTCGCCCTTCTCGGTGGTCGCGTCCTGGGAGTCGTGCTGCGAAATGGTTTTGGTCTAGGCGCACAAGCGATGCTCGGTGGTGGAAGTTTGAACAACAGCATGTGCGTGGCGTGGCCGAATGCCGTCTTTGGAGGTATGGGCATCGAAGGCGCAGTCAGGCTTGCGTACAAGAAAGAATTGGAAGCTATCGAAGATCTTGAAAAGAGGAAGAAAGAGGAGCAGGACATGATCGACGTCATGTACAGCGAAGGGAAGGCGATCAATATGGCTATGGCGGCTGAGATTGATAGTGTGATCGATCCGGCTACGACGAGGAAATGGCTGGAGCAGATGATCGAAGTGTTACCAGAGCGGGTGCCGAGGTTTGTCAAGGGAAGAGGACGTGCGAAGATTTGAGAAGACCAGAGTTTCATGGGTCGAGTCGAAGAATCGCTGTCGGCGGATATGTGGTGATAGACATCCACTAGAGAAAGAGTAGAATTGAAATTGCTGTGCATTTCCTGGTCATGAACAAGGACCTCCCTTGAGCCTGACTGACTGGACACACAGGCTGTGTCGAAATTATGTCGGAATCGGGAATTATTGCCAACTCGACAGATCGAAGTAGGTCTCCCTCAATGCGAACTCAGCTAAAGGAGAAGACGTACCTCGGACGAAGACGAAAAACATATCACTATAGAAACTATCGATCGCCTAAAGAGTATCTACTGGACCACGACGCTGTCCCAAGTTCCACAGTTAGCATTTCCCACACCAAATTGTGGGTTAGCCGTAGGATCACTGGTCGTTTCGATTTCGTTCCCTGCGGGTAACGGGCATGTTGTTGCGACTGATACCAAACACGATTGACTCTCAAAGACCCACGCCCACAACGCAACGTTTGGTTGATTGATCGCTGCAATACAGCATTCGGTCTCAGAGTCGGCATCAACGCTGAGGGGGCTCCCGTTACCCGCAAAACCGCTGACTGCGTTTCCATTCACAAAATTAGCCTGGTTGTTGGTCGCCTGAAGAGACCATTAGCAATATTTCCTGTATATTCCGTGGGACCATTAACCGGGCACTTACGCAGGCCGCATAGGATGTGAAGGTTGATGTGAAGGAGGTGGCCACAGTGCTGGTGGTGGCAATCGAGGTCGTGGTTATAACTGTCGTCGTTACTGAGGTAACGATGTCTGTCACTGTAGTGGTTGCCCCTGAAAAAGAAATGAGTCAGTCCAAGTACACACTGCCCCTCGAGTTGGCTCTCACCTGGTGTTGTCGTAATAGTCGATGTACTAGTGACGGTGGTACTGAATGTTGTTGTGGGTGCCGTTTTCGTTGCCGTGCTTGTGGTGGTAGAGCACAGGCTGTGATATTCTATGCACGAGACATCGCCACGGCCGCCACGGGTAAATTGAGTAATGTTGAAGTTTCCCCTCGACAAAGAGATACCTCTCTTCTCATTCTCATCTACCTCGACTCCTCTCTTGACAGGTCCGTCTAGGTCAAAGGATGCGCCAGGAACGGAGGTGGCTACAGGCACGAAACCAGAGGCGGTTGGAACCACGCTCGTGGAGTCAGTGGATGTAGTGGTAGTCGTGGTTGTTGTTGATACCGTGGTGGTGACAGAGGTCTCCGTCAAGACTTCAGTCGATACTGTAGTTGCAGTCATGGTCGACGTCGCAGCTGTGGATGTGACAGTGGTAGTGTCCGTGACGGTCGAGGTTGTGCTTGGGGTGACAGTGCTGGTGATTGTACTAGTCGAAGTACAGGATGTAGTCATGGTAGACCATTGGGTTCGTGGTCCTCTTGTCGGCCGATTGACAATCGAGGTGAAGCATTTGGTAGGGATGCGTGGTGGGAAACCTCCTCCTCTTCCTGGTGCAGCAATGACAACCGCAATGAGGGTGAATAGAAGGGAAAACTGTTGGACAAGCGAGTGTAAATGCATGACTGCGAATTAGGAAAACTATCACAAGGATTCTAAAGAGCGGACGGAGGAGATTCTCCCTGGGACAACGAAAGGGGATTCTATGGTTTCGTAACCACCCACCTTCTTACCTCTATATATGAAAGTTGATGAGGAGAAAATCCGCCGGTCGTGTAAGGGGATGTCTTCTTGTTGCATGGTCACTACTGTAGGAGCAAGTGCTTAGGTGAAGCGCTTCGATGAGGATGGAAAGGTATCTGCATTCAAGCTTGAACAAAGTAGGCAACCATGCGAGACAGCTCAACCCGATGAAGTGAAGTGCATGCATTAGGCGGGTACCAAACTAGTACCCACTCATATGCTGATGGCGCAATGTCTTTTCCAGGGGAGAGAACTTGGCCAGAGAGACATCGAGGGGGCAGTAGAAGGATCAGTAGCTAGACTGTAGCCAGCCACAGTCATCCTCGCCTGCGCTGTTGATCAACATTCCTTCATTTCCTATCATACAGAGGGTGCAGTCACTGAGCTGGAGAATGATCAAGGGGCGCATCCGCTTGGTCAGGTGTCAACAAGGTGGTCTAATTTCCCCAGATATGCCAGGTACATTTACACTATTTAGCCGATGCGAGATTAGCTTTCCCACCCCCAACGAGGAAAGTGTTTATCCCGAGCCTAGACTATAAATGCTCGGAAAGTCGATGCCGAGACCATTTGAGCTTGAGCCATTCGTTATTATAGTACCTGACAACCGCTTGCTGGGCAAATTGACTGATTTCTACCATATATTGCAATCAGCTCTCGCATCATGCCCGGGACATTGTTTTCAGTATTGACTGAATTGCAATAGTCTTGACCCAATAAGCATAGAGCCCCTGAAACCTCTGGCTTTGGTATAGATTCCTAAAATATGCTTGGCTGTTCTTGCCAGCGGCTCCTCTCAACCGCAAAAGTGGCTTCTTCTTCTTCTTCAGCACTTATTTCTGATCATTATCCTGAGCATCATAGTCGATTCTCTCCAGACCTTTGTCGTCCCAGATCTTCTTGATCACGAAAGCAAGAGCACCTGCAATAAACATAAAGCTGGTCATGACGGCAAAACCCATAATGTATCGAGGAGCATCTTCTGCAGGCCAGATGAAGGAACCATAGACAGAAGCCAGGTTACCTATTGAGCGTCAGAGAAACAACATTCGTGCGGAAGGAATGGTGACACTCACCAAACCCATTGATGATGGGGACTGAGACAGCACGACGTTCTCGCCCAGGAAACATGGTGACTTCCCAACTGATCAACAAGGGTACACACGCCTGTACCCCGGCAAATCCAAAGCAGATGAAGGCATATCGGACAGAGAAATGAGTGCTCGCCGCGCAGATGATGAACGAGACAATTGCAAGCACGGAGCAACCAACAACGTGATATGCCTTCTGTCTAGTGTGGTCGGCCGAAAACCCCGTGGCCACGGTGATAACAAAGGTGACAGCGTAGATCGGGACGGTCATGACTGCACAAGGGTGAGATGATGTACTTGACACCCAGGATGAGTGGACTTACATTGTACCATTCGACCCTTGTAGCCCAATGCTCCCATGAGGGTCGGGAAGAAGTACGACACCGTCCCAGAAGCTAAGATGGTGTTGAGCGAGACCATGAATAGCTTTTGACAGTTAGCACCCTCGTTTTCAAATGCTTGGATTGCCATGACTACTCACCCACATCTTCCAATCCTTAATGGACAAGATCAAGGCTTTCTTGTAGGGCATCTTGCTGTCCAGATCCTCTCGAATGATCAAGCGAGTGGTAGCTAGCTTCCTCTCCTGCGCAGAAAGCCACTTGGTGTTGGTGGGATAATCTGTGCTTTGTTAGTGCACAATATCAATCCCTTCTCAGCAGCATACCTGGAAGAAGGAAAAATGCAATGACACCAATAGCGACCGTTCCCAAACCCTCGATAATGAACAGCCTGGATTCAAGTAAGCAAGTGATTGTCGGCACTTTAGGTGTAGTGAATATCCCACCATTTCCAACCGCGTACACCTCCAACACCTTCCATTCCGTCAATAATGCCGCCAGCAAGGAGGCCACCGAAAGCACCAGCCAATATCGTGCCAGTATAAAATATCGCAATGCGTTTAGACAGCTCCGATGGCTAGTATGCATCAGCAGGGAGGCAAGCAAGCCCAATCAGCGCGAATAACGAACCTTATACCAACAGGACAGGACAAGCATCACACCAGGAAAGAAACCGGCCTCGAGTAAGCCAAGGGCAATGCGAAAGGCCACCAAACCTCCAAGACTGTCGATGCCCTTTATAGCAACCGAAACAGCGCCCTAGATGCGAGTTACTCTCTGACGAAATCGAGATTTTGATTCTCATGTACTGACCCACGCAATCATGATGGACGGTAAAAAGATACTTGGCTTCGTTCTAGCCAAAATCATCACGGCAGGAGGTTCGAACAACAAATAGGCCTAAGAAGGGGTTAGAAAGTCTCCTGATGAGTGTGTTCGCTGCAGGTGACTTACAACAAAGAAGATGGAGAGAACTAGAGAGTAGTCCGAGGAGCTCAGGCTGAGGTCCTTTTCCATCCCACCGACTTTAGCATTCTGCACCAGGAGGTCAGTCACAAGCCACATGTATATTGCGTTGTACAGCTCCTTGACTTACGCCGATGTTGGTTCGGTCGAGGTAATTGAAGATATACATGGCCCAGAGGATTGGGATCAACCGCACGTCGATCTTCCTGAGTAGCTTCTTCTCCTCAGGCGTGCCTTCGACATATTCTAGGTCGTCTGCTTCATTGGGGCTGTCTTGAAGGGCCAGCTCCTGGTCATAATGCTGGATGTCCACTTTGTCGTCAAGAGACATGATTGGCTAGGCGAGCGCGGCGGAATGGTCGCAGTCACTGTCGGTTTTCAATCTGGGTCGAGTGCAGATGTTGAACAAAAAACTAGACATGGACCAGTCCTAGACTTTTGTATCCCTCCATGGGGCCCCGCAGCAATTGGTAGTCACCACTTGACCCGCAGGGATAAAACTCGCCATCAGGAACGATTGGTTGGAAAGAGATATTCATGAGAAGGCGGCGCATTTCCAAGGCCAAGATCGGATAAAGGCGGTGAATATCCTGCACTACCACCATCACTGTGGATCGGACATTCCAATTCAGATTTGAATCGGGCTGAAATAGGCCGAAAGTAGCCGTAGACAGATGGCATAAAGTGCCGTTGGTCACTCGATGATTGGATGGTTGAGACAAGGGAGTCAGGAGAGCAATTGATAATTTCGTCGTGCTATGTCCTCCTATAACAGCTGGTCTTACAGTTGTAGTATTCAGACATTGTGTTTATTCAAACTTTAATCCAAGGTCGTTGGAGTGAATGCTCCCCAAAACTCCCTGTCGTCATAGTTGAAGAGCGACGTAAATATATCTGACGCAGGCACAAGCGGAGGTAGACCATGGGCGGCACTTTCGTTGCCCAAAGGCAGAGTTATGTCCAGGCTGTCCGTTTCCTGGCCGAAGCTGGCGTCGATGTCGGCCGCAAGCTCCTGCAATGGCCGCTCTGCGACAAACGGAGATTCACGATTCCCAAGAAAGGTGTGCAAGTCAGTTTCACTGGGGCGTAGCTTCGTAGTTACACCAGGAACTGTCGAGCTAGCCGCAGGACCGGATGGGGCAACACCGGGTGAGGACGGACAGGTGACCACTGGAGTTTGGATGTCATGATCGCGGTATATACGTTTCAACAGCCCGTCGAGAGCAGACGAATTGCGGATGGCGGGATGTCTGTGGTCTGACGAGACCGTCGACATACATTTGATGAGGCCTCGGATCAGGTGAAGGATCGCCCGTTTCTGCGACGGTGGTAATGGGACAATCACCGCTGCCTTGAGGAGGAATACGCCCGCATGCGTGAAGAAGTGAAAGAATCGCAAGGGAAGATATGCCAAAGCCTGGGATGTGACTTAGATTGCCGAGTGGATTACATGGGACGGATTGAGGGGATACTCTGCTTTGACGTACCCCAGATGGCTGGAACCTGCCTATGGCCAAGCGTAGCACATCAGCCTGCGAGGTCAATCTATTGCATTAGCCATCTTTAGAGTCTTCAAACCGAAAATTCACGATGGATAGATAATCTCACCCCTGCATTCATTGCCTCAACGATGAAGCGGGCGTCCACACTGCCCATCAGTCCTGTGGGAAAGTAGTCAGGTGGCCGACGACCGTCGTTACAGCTGTCTGCCCGTTGCATATGCGCCTGTAAGGAGAACGAATAAATATACAGGCGCAGATGATGCTGCGAAACGCCAGCCCTGTCAGCCCAATCCAAGTATCTGAAGTTGACGGTTGTGCACTCACAAATGATATCCAGACACATTCATTGATCGGGTATGTTCGCCATGGCCTCTTTTGCCATCGGTTGCGGAATGCAGACAGCGCTGAGACAAGGCTAAATTAGCAGTAAAATACCACACAGTTAGTATCCCTCACCTACTTTCTGTAAACTCGTCAATGTGCTTGTAGTAATGCTCCGATTTCGCGATGGCGAGTGAGTGGCTTTTCGAGGGGTATAATAGGTCGTGAGCGTTGCTCAATACCTGCGTTAGATGCATGAGACACTGCAAGTATGCTGCATGATCATCTTGGACGCCCTCGATTTCGCGCATCTGGGGAAAGTCATCGGCAGGGTCAAGGTGGAGATGTTGAATAGTCATCCCGGGACCTGTAGCGTAGTATTCACTTCAGCAAAAGATGTCCTCGCAGAGCTTCCTGTAACGTGTGGGACAATGGAGGAGTTCCCAGGAGGCTTTGACGCACTTCGATGCCAAAATGGTTTTCCGACACGAATTGATATTTGCCGATCGAGACAATAGCAATCTGGAAGTGATGTGACTGATTAGCTGGGCGAGCACTCATGGCTGGTCGCAGAATTGCCTTACAGGTCCATACAATCTTCCCTCTACCGCGGTCGTCCACAAATTTCTCCTCAATATCGTCCGGTTGCATGACCAGCTGCTCGAGGCCCCGTAGGTAACCTAGCCTGACGGCCTTGATTAAAGAGCTAGCAAGAATCGGAAACCTAGAAGAGGGAGTACCTGACTCACAGTGCCGACTGTCATCCAGCACATTCGATCTTCGAACCCCAGTCCTTTGCTGTGGCCCATATTTGGTGGGTATTCTGCACAATATCTCAGCATGTCCCTTGCTGAGATGGATTTGGAAACCAGGGTCGTTGTACCCGAAAGTAGTAACAATCCTTCGATCATCTCCAGCGATTCATTCGTCCCCATGATGGCGACTTGGGCAAAGAGCCTCTCCACTCTCTGCCACAAATGGTGATGAAGAGTGTATTCACCCAGCAGACCTGTGGTCACTACAAGAATCGCCGCCACAAAGTGTGGCTCTCGGGCTGCCATTGTGAGGATTTGCTCTGATGTTGTCGGTCTCCTTTCATAAGGAATGAGCGGCATCATGGGATGCAACGAGCCAAGGTAGAAGTTGAACAGTCTGAACAAGGTTGACTCGTCTATAAAGCCCTCTCGAAGCAGGAAAAACTGTGGCCTGGAAGTGCCGACACCCAGCACATCCACATTGTCAGATTGTTCGGAGCCGAAGGATGTTCGATCTTGGTCCAAAAGTCGTATTGCATCTGATGTATTTCTCAACGGAAAGGTCGCTAGTGTTTGACTGGCCATTTGCTGGTCATAGCTTGGTATTTGTCGGTGGCCATGACTCCCTCGAGAACTGGGCGTCGTAGTAGCTTCTTCTCTGCTTCCCGCCACGGGCTCAAACGACCCCATCAGTGACGGCCACGAAGACTGGCTTTCTTTGCTGACTGAGTATGGCAAATCAAAGCCGTAATTATCTGTGGTCGCCGCTGCTGCAGACAGATCACCATTTCCAACATTATGTCTCGGCCTTTTCGGAGGCCGGCCTCTGCGTCTTCGCACCGGGAGAACTGAGATGTCGTGAGCATGCGCATTTGATAGTAGAATCACCTGAACCAACCACACAGTAAACTGGCTCGACGACAGGCATTGCAAGGTGGTTTGGGGTTTGCTGGATCTCCTAAGCTGCACTTGTGTTTCTTCTGTCGACAACTCTCGCACGCCTGATAGACCCGTTTGAATAATGTGCCATTGCCTGATGTTTCCGGCGATGGGCCTGACCCAGGTTGTAGAGACGCCGCATTAGCTGTGCTAGACATACTGAACTGCGATCACACGCCTAGCCAATTATGTGCGACGACAGCGATATGGATAACGGACAATGCAGGCATATGGAGGCACTGGACGCACCCCTCCTCACGCAAGAACACTTGGTAAAGGCCTCGGGTGAACAGACGGCGAAGCTCGGTAGATCAAGGTCCGCTAGATGGGAAGACGAATGACCAAGATTACCTAGTGTGAGTGGGTTGAAGTCAGATAGAGGAAATGGCCGCAAATACCCGAGACGATCAAACTGAAGAATAGGGTTGAACCAGGTGATGGGAATTGTCCGCACAACCAGAATGTCAAAGTCCTAGAGAGAAAAAGGCAACTTGATTCACATGCAATTCTTTCGGTCCATGCTATCCCGTCTATGCTGTCTCCTATTCTCCCGCCTCCGGACGGATCTGTTTTAGTCCATATACGCTACCTCCAAAGCAGTCTCTCAATATCCAAGGCCGCTGGAACTATGCTGTAACCCCGAAGCCGCCAAAGTTGCATAGAGATCCCTCAACCATCCTCTAAAAGTGCTCCCCCTCCCAAGGTTTCAAGAAACTCTTGGTGATATCAAGAGCTCAAGGGCGCAGGAAAGGCTCTCAGATTCACGATTGCTTTCTTTCCCTCACCCGCATTGGAAGACCCCCTTGGATACCCTGCGGAAGTGCCAATGTCAGCATTCATGTTACATGGTTTCAGTTGTGCGGGCAAAGCAGGGAACGACAAAACATACCATGTTCATGGCAGCAAGTGGTTTATACATTCTGCTGTCGTCTGAGAGAATGATGTCAAAGCGTTGAAGGATTGCCACTGTAATAGTGATGCCCTCATACGTAGCCAGTGGCCGTCCGAGGCAACTGCGCGGCCCAGCATTCCAAGCGTGATATTCTGCAAGCGGCAAAGTCAGTAAGTGGAAATATTCCTGACTCCTTGGATGTGGCTTTCGGTACTTACTGAATGGACTGTATGAGATGCTTTCCCCGTTCTCCTTGAGCCACCGGTATGGGTTGAAAACCGCAGCGTCCTCTCCCCAGATTTCAGGCATGCGGGCCATAACATAGTTCTGATAGCTGACAACATCACCTCTGCGTGGATCGGTTAATATAAACCATCAATAGACATCCATGGAGCACGACGCTTACTTCTTAATGCGACGGGGAGGCATATTGAGCTCAGGGACCGCGGGTAGAATGTCATCCTCGGCCGCCTCCAACTGGCCAGCTGGAGAAACAGTGTTGAGTCGAGTGCATTCATCCCACATAGCATTCGTGAACCGTAATCTCTGTGCAGTATACCGTGAGCCGGAGTATCATGATGACTGAACCTAACTTTGGGATGTTGACTCACCGGCGCATCCGTGTAGTTGAGGTGGCCACTGGTGAAGCCAAGGTCCTCTGCCTCAGCACGGATCTTCTCCAAAGCATTGAGATGTTTGTTTTGCCGATGGTGAATCTCCTTCATGAACCAAGAGGTATTGTAGGTCGTTGTATCCCCTGTAATTGCATGAGATTATCAATCGATCAAAGATGACAAGGTCCAAACCTACGACCCGCTGACAGAAACGAAAACACCATTCCACCCAGAGTATATTTATCAGTTGTCGATTGCAAAAATAGGTCAAGGAGGTCAACACCAGCGTCTGGGTTGGGTTTGTAGCCATTTTTCATTAAGTTGAGACGCTTCTCGATCAGAAAATCAATCTGTTGATAAAAGAGATCCACAGCTCTTTTGGTGATGGCATCTTCTCCAGAGAGCTTCTCGGTTATTCTCCATAGAGGGTCTCGTCTTCTCCGGTCAAATACTATGAGAGAAATTCAATGAGCTACCATGTGCGAAGCACAAGGTGGTAGGCAGGCTGATACTTACAATGAGTAGCTTGATCAAATGCCTCGACAAAAGCTGGTTTTGATTCCAGGCACTTCGGATCATCAGACATGATGTCCAAAGCGAGCTTATCCTCGTGAAAGGCAATTCGCAGAAAGAGGCAGAACATGAGACGGCCCATCAGTTCCTGGAAGTCAAACTCTCTTTGCTCCTTCGCCAGGTTAGAGAGGAGGCGGGTAAAGATATCCAGCCAATAATGAACGGATTGAGTGATATGTGTCTCGAAGTTGCGCTTGCTGAATGCACGAGAGGCAGCTTTGCGTTGCGTTTGCCATTCCATGCCATCCGCAACAAAAATCCCACTTCGATGAAGCGGACCAAACATGTTCCTGGCAAATTTGCCGCGGATGTAGTTCTTGCTGTTATGCTTCTGAATATGCTCGAGATAAGTGGGATGGTTGATGATATGCATGCGAAAGAACGGAACTGTCATTTCGTAGGCAGGTCCGTATCGCTTGTACAAAGAGTACCAGGCCTCGCAGCTGGCGGCGCCATTTGTTCGGAGATCGTTCAGATTTCCTGTGAACGGCTTTCCCTTTGGACTCGCAATCCATTTTGCATTGGCCGAGGATGATGCCCAGACGCCCTTGTTACGGTAAGTCCAACAGATGCCTGTGATACCATTAAGCACTCGAAGCCGGCCAATTGATTGTGAGTCTTGCAGCCCAGTTACTTACCCGCGACTGTGAGGAGAAGGAGGATAAATCCATACTCAAGTCCTGTGACGACCGAGATTTCTGGAGGCACCAGAGAGTGCTTGAGCATGATGGACATGTTGTTCACTGATCAGAATTGGTCGCTGCTGAGACGGTAGGCCCTGTTCACGTATGCCAATTGCAGAATAGATTGTTCATCTCAGGACATCTGAGTATCGATTGGTATGGACTCCTTGGTCTTTTTGGAACGCAATGCCTTTATGTGCTAGCACCCAATTTTCCGGAAGTTCATGACCCTCAATTGTACTGATTAAACGCCGCAAGTACCCGGGAGCTCTGCGCCTTTCGACCCTTTAATTCCCCGCCGCCCCCCACGGTTGTAGTGGCTTTGATAGTGGAGTTTGGTGGAAGCGGGGTCCAGATATCAGACGTCAGTGGTCCCCTAATGGTCCCCTCTTCCCCAAGGGGCTGTTTGACGGAGCCATCCGCCTTGTGCAGGTGGCAGCCCACCAGCGAGCAAGTTATGTTTACACAGAGTGCCTTACCTAGCTGCCTAGGTAGGTATACATACCTTGTGTATGGAGTACTTAGTAAATTTAAACTGGGTTAAAGGGACCTAGTTCCAACTAGTGACTGGATCGCCTCACTTTCCTCACAGGGTAGAATCATTACCTCGATTGTCGCTGTTAGGACCGAGGTTGGATTTGTCGCCCATCTACTCCATTTGGTCGTAACCGACATCCCGAGGCGGTAATGCGCCCTCTTTATATACCCAAGCAAAGCAGCAAAGTCTCTCTACACATTCGCGTCTCGAAATCAGTGGACGAAAATCTTTGTACGCGACACCTTAGCCAGATCACTCCTGAACCAGACCGCGGCCCTTGGCACTAGACACCATGGATCTACAGGCGGATCTTCGAGCACAAAACCTCTTCAAATTCGACCACCATGTTGCACTGATCACTGGAGGAGCCTCTGGTCTGGGCGAGGTCGCCGCGCAAGCCTTTGTGCAAAATGGCGCTAAAGTCTTCATCGCCAGCCGGAAGGAATCTGAACTGAAACGGGTGAGCAAATTCTTTCGGGCCTTGTACGAGCTCTCAGCTGAGATCCAAATTCACAGTGCGCTTCAAGGCTGAATAACCTTGGTCCCGGAAAATGCGAGTACATAGTTGCCGACCTCAAAGACAAGGCTGGCTGCGATCATCTGGCATCAGAAATCAAGAAACGGACAGACCGTCTGACAGTCTTGATCAACAATTCTGGCGCTACCTGGTACGATTCATCCTCGGCCACAACTGTTGACACAGTCAATCGTAGATGGTGAATGCTCACTTCTTGGGATAGGGGTGCCCCCGCAGATGACTTTCCAGAACACGGTTGGGACAAAATCATGGCATTGAACGTGAAGTCAATCTTCTACTTGACCATCGCGTACGGGTGTTTCCTGTGAAGTTTGAGAGATCTGATGCTGAAACTGGACCAGTCTCGTACCACTTCTCGAAAAGAGCACCTCGCGACAGCAGCCTTCTAGAGTCATCAACTTATCCTCTATGGCTGGGATTGCGACGTCTGATCCTACCTCCACTGGAGAAGGCGGCTTGTCAGTTGCAGGAAGCGGACCCTACAGCTGTACGTACCCCTCTTTCCGATAGCTCTTGTCTTGTTATCAACTGACGCTTTGTAGATGGTCCATCCAAAGCAGCTTGCATTCATTTATCTCGACAGCAAGCGTCGCAGTTCGCCCCGAAGAACATCCTAGTAAACTGCATCTGCCCGTAAGTCGACTGCACGGATTTTTATGCACAGTCTGAAAGAACTGGTTCTAACCGACATACAGGGGGCTGTTTCCCTCCCGAATGTCAAACTATGGCATTCAGAAGGGTCTTGAATTCTTCCTCAGCATCCAACCCACTGGAAGAATTGGGACCCCCGAAGATTTTGCTGGCCTGGTTCTATTCCTTTCAAGCCGCGGATCTGATCATATTACGGGGAATGTGATAGAGATTGATGGTGGCAGCGTCCGCACTGGCTTCAAATCCACAAAAAATAGCTCTAAGATTTGATTTCCCACACTGCAAAGCCGTTATTATCGAGGTTCATGTCGATGTTACTTGCAGATTCGATGGGTGCATTGGATGAAGTGAGTTAGGAATTGACAATTCCAAGACCGGACTTTTACCCCGAGTTTTACCAGAGGAAAGGGAAGGGCTGGTCTGTAGGTATCCAATCTCGAAAATTCTGGTATTCTACTTGCGCCTCATACGAGGTATCCAAGGAGCATCCCTGTAAGACCCTGATCCCCCCTCTGCCTTGGCCCAAGCATTGACCCGCCTTCTGCCTTGCGCTAGAGCCCCAATTCTTAGAGCTGATTAGCCGTGTATGCGTTGGAAGTCTTGTTTCAGGGCATCAGCACATATTTGGAAACGATCAGGTGCTCACGTGTCGTGAACGTGCAAGGCCTCTTCAGGCAGAAACGCGCAACCCAGAATCAGTGCGAATACGACGGTATGAGGTTGCACCGACCCCGGATGAGGCAGGAAATGTATAAAAGTGCATGGCAACACCATGAAGGCAATCAATATCGACAACCTAAATACCACAGACTTCATTGACCACTAAGACCAGTACGTCACAGCACCAAACCTACCCATCGCCATGCCATACGCGCAGACTATCTTTCTCAACATTCCGGTCAGCGACCTGACCCGATCGATTGCCTTCTACACCTCACTTGGGTTTGTTCCAAACCACACCTTTTCCAGCGACTCGTCCATCATGATGTCTCTTCCAGTTCCGACTCACTTCGCCAGCCCACACGAGTCGCCCATCAAGGTCATGTTGCTCGAGCACGATTTCTTCAAGAGTTTCCTCCCCGAAAACAGGACACTAGCCAACGCAAAGGACACGGCGCAGGTGCTCTTGTGCTTCAGCCGGGAGAGCAAGGAAGCCGTCGACGACATGGTCAAAAAGGCAGCGGAGCACGGAGTGAATGTGGATATTTCAGTAAAGAATGAAGAGCAGAAAAAGGCCGAGGAGAGCATCGGGATGTATGGTCGCAACTTCGAAGATCCAGACGGGCATATTGTGGAGGTTGTCTATATGCCGGTCGAGGCCTACGAGGGAAAGGAGTGATTGACACATTGCTTTCTCACGGGTCAATTAGGGAGCATGTTGAGATCAGTGTTATTTCACTCGAATGGAGCTAGGAAAATCCATCTACAGTTGTACGCACAAGGTTGCTTTGATATCTCACTCTCGATGATTTAATCGTTGCAGTTTTCATATTCGTTCATGAGACAGCAGCGGAGTAACATTGTATTCCCTACGCATACATATATGCCACCAGCCATATCCAGCGTTGTCCCAGAAATTACATCGAGGATATGGTCCAGCATGGCAATGTATGATGGCTTCCTCCCGCGGTAGTTGACAAGCGACGGGCGGCAAAACTTGATAGGGAGCATAATCTCGGCCTCTGCATTCCCTCAGTAGAATGGAGAGAGATGATGATGCTTGTTTTTTTCCTTATCTTCCTCGTTCTGCCAGTCGATAAGTTCTTCCAAGGTCATCGGGAAGTAATCCGTTTTGAGATCGTCTCTGTCATCTTTATCCAGTAGGGTTATATGGTCGGAAGTGTGCGACAGAGGATGGTAGGACCAGATGGTCATGTTGTCGTAGTTGTAGTCTTCGTCGAAGATTCCGTACAAGGGGAAGTTCTGGGAGTAATAACGGTACTCTCCGTCATTTTTGACCCTCCACATCCTGCACAGAGCATTCATCATGTTGAATTTCCCCGCATCCACCCCGTTGTACGGTGGTGGGCAACATCGCAAGGGGCCAGGCACTCGATAGGGCATGTTGCGACGATCATCATCCTCAGGGGCGTCGTCGTAAAGGCTGTATGGTTTGTTCTTTTTCCACTGGCAGGTTTTCACCGGGTTTTCACCTCGCAAATCCCACTGTGCACAAAAGTCCATCCATTTCGCAAGTGTCGCTTTTCCGATCCTTTCACAGGTGGGTTCCAAATATGGGTAACATATATTGATGGTACGGTTGACCAGGTAATCACCCCAGCCGATTGGCACTGCGTCATAACAGCCTTCTGGGATAATACTTCGAGACAAGAGCGTGTTTGCGGAGTTCTCTATGGGTTGAGCGGATCTGGGAGAAGGTAGAGTTGCGCTCGCAAAGGAGATGCCTGTCGCAGTGATTAGATGGGTCAAAGCCGACAGCGCAACCATGCTGGATTTTCGAGTCTCGTGGTCGTAGGGGTCGCTGTGATTTTGACTGAAGGTGTAGCACAGATGGATATCAACTGCTTCGTTTGTCCGTCACTCGCTGGCTATAGTTCTAAAATATATTTGCCTGGATGAAATCAAATTTTGATCAAATTTACGTTGAGTTTCACCCACGCCAGTCCAGTGCTGAGCCAGTGGAACTGGCAGTCTATTACCCACACCGTATAGTCAACCAGGCTTTTGCTTTACACCGTTCCCTGGCGAGTCAGACACTAACGAAATGAACCATCAGAGATAAACGAGAACAGGCGCCGGTAGCAGCCCAACAGATCACAGACCGCACGAATTCCTGGGGTGGGCTTTCAAAAGAAGAACGGACAAAGCTTCGAGAGAGCGGCATGACGCTGACCCGTTGGCTGTCAACCCCCCGGGGACAAGTTACATCAGGCTCGAGGAGTCTCTTCTGACTGAGGTTGTTCCTTTCGCCACATCGCCCTCGTTTCGATATAGGATTGAGCCAGGGACTTAAGCGCAGTGACAGGAACCTCGCAGTCATCGGTGACGAAGGAGTGCAGCAGCAAGAAATGACTGCATAACTGTAAGAAGTTCAGTCCAAGCCGGCTAACTGCGACTTCTCACACCTCAAAGCACAAGACTGAACTGCGATCTTACTGTGATGGTGCCTGTCAGTCCTGCTAGACAGCATGATGGTCGACCAGAATCCGCCGGATAGCGTCGCGTTGCCTCACGGGAAGAACAGGACAACACGAGCGAGAGAGTCGCAAGGGATTTGGAGTATGTCACAGAGTGAAGTGAATGATGAGTGCGAAGAATGGACCTTGGCGGGTCCAGAGTCCTTTTTGCTCCAATTTCCCCAAATCTAATCCATCAGACGCAGTCTGTATTCTAACCCGACTCTACACCCATCTTCTTGTAGTATTTGTGCGGGTATCAGAATTGTGACGCCCTGCCGACAGCCTTGTACATATCCTATCCCTTTTCTTTTCTGTTCGGTCTGAAGATGAAGATCGCCGTCGAGGAAGCTCAGCAATTGGCAGATCGGGCCTTGCGCGAGCTCGGGTACAAGGAAGACGACATTCCTACCATCCGTGACCATCTGATCGATAGTGAGCTCAGAGGCTATGGCATCGCTGGACTCGCGCGAATCCTGAGCATTTCAGAAAGACTGTCCGGTAAGGCGCCAGCAGCTGACATCGAGGTGACCTCGGAGTCGCCCACAACAGCCCAGCTCAACGGCAAGGACACTCTTGGCTATCTAGTCGCCCACAAGGCGACAAGAGTGGCAATTGAAAAGGCTAAAGCTTGTGGTGTTTCAGCTGTGGGAGCCAACAATACATACTACACTGGAATGCTCTCCTACTACGCCGAGATGGCTGCGGCTGAGGACCTTGTGACCATCATCGCCTCGAACTGCAGCCCCTGGGTTGCTCCACAGGGCACCTACAAACCTCTCGTTGGAACCAACCCCTTCTGCATCGGAGTTCCCACAGACGGTGTCCCAATAATCTACGACATTGGCACTTCCCGCATCATTCATGCCCAAGTAATGCTAGCTATGCGCAAAAACGAACAATTGCCCCCGGACACGGCGTTTGACGAGAACGGAGAAATGACGACCGATCCTGAGAAGGCGTTAAAGGGGGCTCTGGCAGTGTGGGGTGGTGCAAAAGGGAGTGGTTTGGCTATAGCGGTTCAACTACTAGGAATTCTGGCCGGCTCTCCTGCACTGCCGCCAAATCTGGAAGAGTTTGGATACTTCATCATGGCCATCGACCCGGCAAAATTCAGACCGATGGCTGATTTCAAGCGCGAAGTGGGAAATCTCATTACCGCTTTCCATACTACTCCGACCCTTCCTGGACATGCTCTGAGGCTTCCCTTTGAGCGTTCGAACCGGCGCCGAGAAGAAATCAGAGCCGGAGGATATCTTGAGGTCGACGACATCGTGATTGAGCGGCTCGAAGCATTGATCTCGCAGCAGTGACCAGGTTGATAGCACCTAAGATTGAAAATGATAACAAAGTCCCCTCGAGCTGGGACTCCAATCTTTAGTGGCTGTATTCGTGTCAGAAAATTGTCTGGAGATCGCACTGGATAGAACAATCACGCCACCACTTCAAAAACTCAAAGGATCTTCTCCGACCGCCCAATCTGGGGCAGCTAATTGTGAGAACGATGTCATGTCCTCCTACGTACCTCTACATATGTTCTGAATTGTTTTAAGGCAAAGTAGGTGCAATTATCCATCATATGCGCTCTACCATCGGGGGTTCTCTGAGCCACAATGTGGCTGCAAGGCAGTTCTATGCCACAAGATGAATACTCATTTCACCTATCTTTCGACACCTGCGAGTGTTCCTAGGAGGCTCAGCATATCGAGTCGAGCGACAGCAACCATACCATGTTTCCAGCATGTTTGAGGATTTGTCCCTTGAAACAATCCCTCAAGGCCTCACGTATGGACGGTAGACTGGATCCCACATCTGTGCCTCGACCCATTCTTGTAATTCCTCATCAGAGTCGACAGGAATATCTGCCGCTTGTGCCAGTCCATCCTCCACTGCACATCGAATCACTGCCATAGCAATCTTAACGCTGACTGGCCGAGCCCGTTCAACACCTGGAACAAGTGCCTTTTCCGGATCTTGCATGGCCGGGGCTTCCTTGGCCAGCGCAGTCACAGCAGCGACAAGCATCTTATCCGTCACCAATTTTGTTCGACACAAGACGCCACCCAAACCTATCCCAGGGAAGCAGACAGAGTTGTTACATTCCGCCACTTCGATCTCTCTACCATTGTGCTTGACTGGCGGAAAAGGGGATCCCGTTGCAACGAGAGCTCGACCATCAGTCCAGCGGATGAGGTCTTCTGGTTTGGCCTCATGCAGACGTGTTGGATTGCTGAGCGGGAATATTATTGGCCGTTCGACATGCTTTGCCATCTCCTGGACGGCTTCCCTGTTGAAAGCACCGGGGACTGTGGACGTCCCAATCAAGACGTGGGGTTTAACCTCCGCGATGATTGACGCGAGGGATTTGGTGTCTTTTCCTTGCCATTCGGATGTCTTGCGTGCAAATGGTTTCTGTGCAATGGAGAGGGTGTCTCCCATGTTGTCCAGAAGCACTCCCGGCTTGTCGACACACCTAACACAGTTAGCCCCTTTCCTTCCGCGAAAGAAGAAAGGCCCTACCATATCTGGTTCGCAACATCTTCCTTGCTCTTCTCGGATTGAGTGGCGATGGCCGCTTGGATCTGCTCAGCGATTCCGCACCCAGCAGTCCCAGCTCCGAAAATAACCACTCGCAAGTCCGACATCTTCACCCCGTTGATATGTAAGCCGGCCATGATAGCCGCCAGAGTCACGCACCCGGTCCCTTGGATATCGTCATTGAAGACAGGGAACTCGCTGCGATATTTGTCCAGCAACCTTCTGGCGTTAGGAAGACCAAAGTCTTCAAAATGGATATAAGCCTTCGGATAGAGCTTTCTGGCTGTGCGAATGAATTGATCACAGAAATCGTCGTATTGTTGGCCTCGAACGCGTCTGAAGCGGTGACCAAGATAGAGGTTGTCATTCAAAAGGTTCTCGTTGTCCGTTCCCGTATCGAGCACGACGGGGAGGGTACGGTCCGGATGCAGCCCACTACAGATGGTCATCAGAGCCAACTTGGCCACGCTGATCAGGATACCTCCAACTCCTTGATCGCCGATTCCTAGGATCTCTTCCCCGTCACTGACAACGATGTAGTCGACCCCGCCGTCGGGCTCGTTCTTTCTAACAAACTTACTCAGTCGCTCCTCCACCTCGTCCGGATGCTTGATACTCAGAAAACAGCCATCCGGCCTGCGAAAGACTCGCGAGTAATTCTCGATTGCATCACCTTCGGTTGGAGTGTAGATGATACTGAACATTTCCCGCAGGTGATCTTGAATGAGACGGTAGTAGAGCACGGTATTCTGCTCGGCCATCGAGGTCATGAAGGTGTTCTTGGAAAGGTCATCTGGCTGATTGCAGTACTGTTGATAGGCTCGCATAACCTGTTCATCGAGTTTCTGGATATTGGTGGGGAGGAGACCCTTGAGGCCAAAATCCAGACGCTCCTGGGACGTGAAGCATGTTCCCTTGTTGTAGAAGGGATTGTCCAGAAGCACGCGGCCGTAGAGAGGTACTTTGAGCGGACCTTTGGCGGCAAGCGGAAGGTGGTCAAACTTTCCCTGTCCCATGTTTGTTGGATATGCTATAGAGAGCCCGGTCACTTTTCAAAGGGTTGAAGCCGGAGGTGATCCAGTCAAAGATACATCGGCAACTTGTTGTTGATAAGGGAGTGATGTCAATAAAGCACCTGAGAAGCTCTAAGCAGACTGCAGAATGCATCCACCGCGGTTTCCTCTCATTGGATCAGGACTTTCCCGAGCTTTGCTGATGTGGAGACTTAGAAGACTCCAATGATATGCATCTTTTCTCGGGCCAATGGGCGCATGTTCGCAAGTCCAATCAAGGCTCGCCTTCGCCGAAATACTCTCGGGCCATCAGATTTACAACCATGGCAGCTTCGTCGAGGGATTGGACGACTTTGACATCGCTTCCCAAGTTGGAGCTATTTCCCGCTCGATCGAGGTGAAGAGCTTCCCAGCCAGTCTTGACAGCGCCAACATAATCTTTCGAGTACTCATCTCCAATGTGAATCCGCAGCATCCTAGAAATGTCCGACTGGTGGCCGATAGCCGAGGACACCTTTCTGAACGCTTCTGTTATGCTAGAGGCTGGCTCACAGTGCTGTTCGGATCGAGAAATCGGCATTGGAAAGACAAGCCTCATGGCCTCCATCCAGATTCTCTCCTGCGGCTTCTCTGCGTCGGCGTCATAGCTCGTACAAAGGAAATCAAAGTCGTTCTGGGGATTGTAATAGTCTCTGAAGGGACTAGCGAAGACCACGTTGGATGACGGGTCGCGGAGACTCTCCATGTGCGTTTTCATTACACTTTCGAAATCCGGAATGCTTGAAGGCCCTACGCGGAAACCCATGTCCTGAAGCACCTCTCTGACGCGAGGGTCGGAGTTTGTGACGATCCCAGTCGCCACGAGGGGTCCTTCTGGGTCCGCAAACTGTTTCTTGAGCGCAGCCATGCTCTGAAGAAAGGGCTTCACGTCGGCAAATGGTTCATACGCAGCACTGGAGGAAAAGTGTTTGTAGAGGGCAGACCCCAATTCCTTCGGCAGCGCTGTCTCTCCCCCTTCCACGAGATCGCCGAATGCCTGGTTGACAACCTTAGTCCACCATTCCTCGGGGCTCCCAAGTGTCTTCTTGCCATAGTTGGGGTGTACGGTGTTGTAGTGCTTGAAGGAAGACCTGAACGATCGATCTAGCTGTTTGAGATCGACTTTGACCTTGAGCCCACAACTTTCGGCAACTTGAAGGTACTGCACAGATACTGGCTGTCGAAAATTGTACAATGTCCCAAGTGCATCGAGGGTAACCACGAACATAGGGAGCTTCTTCGGATGAAAAAGGGCGCTGAACAAACCCATCACCGTCTACCGTGTCATAGGGTGAGTGCAGTTAGGTCCGTTCCAGGAGTTGAAGGGGGTAGAGAATCAGGACCTGCGTTATTTAGGCAGAGAGGAGCAGATTGGTGGATGATGCCGTGATCACAGGCCAAAGACGGTGCGTGTCGGGAGGGAATATTGAGGCCCCTAACGACTTCGGCTCCCCAGCTTACATATTCCTACTTGTACTGTGTGTTTTGTGGGTGCCTCGCTTCGACCCGCCCTCAGCCGCCACTGGTCGCCAGCAGTTTTTCGCGGTTTGCAATCTACCTCGTAAACACACGAACTTCTCACAATTTGTCAATCGACGCTGCTAGAACTTCACCCTCCCTTTCGCGATCTCTCGGAAACCCTCAAAAACCCCCCCCTCGCCTGTCCTCGCAGTCTCGCCCTTACCAGCCAAACTGTTCTCCTCGAAGCTTTTCCGTGTCTCGCGACCTTTGCGTTCGTCCCTCAGTCTCTCCCTTGCCGCTGCGTCGGTATCTCTCGAAAAAAGCCAGCCGCCCACTAAAGCGAACTTTTCCTCCTCTCTTTTACGCGCCATGGCGCCTCCCCATACGAGGGTCGCCATTATCGGCTCTGGCCCTGCTGCTCACACCGCGGCGATCTATCTCTCCCGGGCAGAGCTCAAACCCGTCATGTATGAAGGCTTCCTCGCTGGTGGCACCGCAGCGGGCGGCCAGTTGACAACCACGACCGACGTGGAGAACTACCCAGGCTTCTCCAAGGGTATTGGCGGTGCAGAGCTGATGGAAGAGATGAAAGCACAGTCTCTTCGATTTGGCACGGAGATCATCACAGAAACCATCTCAAGAGTAGACCTGAAATCCCGACCATTTCGTTTGTGGAGAGAGTACCAGGATGGAGAATCAGATGAGCCTGCGCACACAGCCGATGCGGTCATCATCGCAACTGGCGCTAATGCGAGACGATTACATTTACCTGGCGAGGAGACATATTGGCAGAATGGTATATCAGCGTGTGCAGTCTGTGACGGGGCTGTCCCCATCTTCCGGAACAAACCACTAGTCGTGATCGGAGGAGGTGACTCCGCCGCCGAGGAGGCCATGTTCTTGACAAAATACGGCTCCCACGTCACCGTGTTGGTCAGGAGGGACAAGCTACGAGCCTCCAAAACCATGGCGAAACGACTACTGGCGAACCCAAAGGTGACGGTCAAATTCAACCACGTCGCAGTCGAGGTACAAGGAGAAGATAAACCGCGAGGGTTGATGACACACCTGAAAGTCAGAAACGTGGTCACAAAGGAAGAGGAAGTCCTGGAGGCCAATGGACTGTTTTACGCCGTTGGCCACGACCCCGCCACCGCGATGTTCAAGGGCCAAATTGATACAGACGAAGACGGCTACATCGCGACGAAACCAGGCACGAGTTATACGAGCATCTCAGGCGTTTTTGCGGCCGGAGACGTGCAGGACAAACGCTATCGCCAGGCTATCACCAGCGCGGGAAGCGGATGCATAGCTGCTCTCGAGGCAGAGAAGTACCTGGCAGAGTTGGAGGATTCCGAGCTGGACCTTGAAAAGGAGAAGCAGGCGAAGAAACCAGAAGTCAATGGTGAAACAGCCCCGGAGTACCGATCCAACCCTCTCCTGTAACTGTAAGATTTCCATGAATTGATGTTAGGCACATAGATGCTAGAGAGGTCTAGAATAGAAATCGAAGACCCATTGATCGTCAAACAATCTTTTCCGTTGTACATAAGGCTAACCAGCCCCCATCGCACTGCAGCAACGACCATAGTAGTACAAAAGTCTGCGCTCAGCGTTGACGCTAGACCTTACCGCCTTCTCAGGTACCACGCAAAAGCTGTACTATGAATATCAGCTTGGTAAGGACTGGGTACTTCGGCCAAACCCGGTCTTGCAACAGGGTGCCTCAGATATACTGCAGCGCAGATATTGTGGTTGACTTCGAGGAAGCGGGGAATGAAAGCAAATGCACTCATATATTCCCGTGGCATCCATGGCGTAGCATAGGGCTTTGAGTCATCAACGGGGTTCTCGTGCATGGAGCGAAGTGCAGCGTAGAGTTCATTGTAATCGGCGTCAGTCAGGACGGTCTCCTGCTCAACTTCGGCCGCTGCCACATCGGCAGCAGTTCCTGTCTTTGGTTCTGGTCCCGAGGACGATTCCTTGTCGTCTTGAGCGGAAGGTAGGCTGCTTGCACCGGAGTCACGGTTTTCTTTCCGGATGTTTAGCTGGTGTTGGATTTCAGCAAATTGGGCCTCAAGACTGTCTGTGAGGATTGTCGATGAAGAGGATCGTGACAGCAGCTTTTTGACAGCTACCGAAAACGCGCGCAGATCCTGCTTCCGCTTCGCCCCAATATCTCGTTTTGATGTAGCGAGGATGCTCTTTGCTTTGGCCCGTAAGTCTTTCAGCACCTCACGCGGGTCTTTATCAACATCAACATCCTCTTCAGCCGCTTGTTGCGAGGCGTGTTCCTCTCCGGCAGATTCTGCCGATATCTCTTCCGTGCTACCTTCGTCTGCACCTTCTTCGCTCTTGGTCGCCTTTAGCGGGATTTTGGGGGCTCCTGTTGCCCACATGACTCGCTCCGGTTCAACCTGGAACATATCTCCAGGATTAAGCAAATATCCCGGGTATCGCATCTGTTTCGTGCGTTAACTCTCGTAAGTTGAAATCGACGGTCTCAGCCTCACCTGCTTGCCATTGACCTTCACCGCTCCATGTACGACAAATTGCCTGGCTTGACGAGCGCTGCTGGCAAACATGGCTCTAAAGATGGCTGTGTCCAATCTCCGCTCCATCGGTGCGAAGGTCATTTGCATGTAAGGTATCGCTGTTGTGGTCTTTTGCTTCCCTCTTGCCTCCAAGCCTGAGCCACGCCCTGCAGATTCCAGCGCACCATCATTGGAGGCCAAATACTCTGCATCCATAGGTACCACGGACCGAATCCTCCTGTCAAACATCCGCAGCCACTGTTTCTCGCGGATGTGTTCGCCGTGATAGTTGCGTGCTAGGGATTTTGACATCCATTTTTGCTTGAAAAAGTTATGAGATCTCCCTGAGTAGGGCATCTGTCGAGCCAGGTTGTAGAGGTTGTATTTGTTCCATGACTGTCGGATTTTCTGCGGAAGAAGTAAGTAACAAAACCTATAAGATGGGCTTACCAAGACTTACAACGTCAAATAGGAGGTTCTTCTTCACCTTGAGCGGTGTTGAAGGCTTACGCGGCATCTTCCCGGGATTAAGTTGATACTGGTCGAGTGCATTGAAAGATCTCGTGCTCGTTACAGCAGGGAGTGAGTACCTGTAGAAAAGTGCAGTCGGATATGGAATATTGAGTTTTTCCGAATAGCTCGCCTGCTTAACCTTTTTGGGCTGTTGACTACCCGCTCCACGTGCCGCTCCCAACCATGCGTCGAGCTCCAAAAAGACGCCCGATGGGCAAGCATGTGAGCCTTTTCTCGAGGGATTGTCTCAAGTAGTGAATGGAGGCATGATCTGGAAGCAGAATCCGAATGGCGGGATCTACAAAGGCCCTCAACGGAGTAGCATGCACTATTGTTTAGGTGCCGCAGTGTGTCACTACGTAGCAATGCGGTGACGAAGGCATGCTCAATCTCAGGGGTCACTGGCACCAGAAGCAATGAATTCAGGTACAGATGAAATCTGAAGGAGGTCGGAGCTCCGGCTCCAATACGTATCACTCCCCACTTCAGCTATCCTGATCGAGATTCGTATTTGGGACTTATTTAAGCAACGTTGATGCTGAGATAAAATCTTCTGTCATTCCCGACCCAAACGCCACATTAAAGGCTCATTAAACTCGTGACGGCAGAAACCTGTTAACCTTGCATCGTCTGCCAAAAGTAATCTGCATAAAACCATTTTGAGAACTTCGGGTCAATGTTGACAACGTGCACATCCCCCTTCTTCGTATTTGCAATGGTCGCCTTGTTGTAGTTACCTGCTTCATCCTGCTCCAGGGCGATGCCGAGTGATCTGTACAGCCAAAGACGCAATCTGTTCCGACATCAGCGAGGGTTTCAGTGGCTCGTGGGAAGACAACATACATGGTGGGATCATCAACCTCCCTAGTCTGTCTTGTGCTCTCGTCGCCTTCAACACCTTGCTCTTCCAAGGTGGACAATCGCAACTTCAACCGCTCTAGTTCAGCTTCTAGTCTCTCACTCTCAGCCTCTAGTTCTGAGGCCTGTTTGGCAATGCGGAATTTCCTTGTATCGAGTTGTACTATCTCGCTAGCATGTCTGCCGCTATCATGACCAGAGAGTACTTCTCGGTGCTGGGAAGAAAGGGTCGCAAGCTGCCTTGATAGTTTTCTTAGAGCGGTCTCAGCGTCTCGGACACGAAGTTCGCGGGATTGTTGTAAGGTAGACAAGGAGTCGTTGACGCGCGACAGGGCGGCTTTGTCGGGCGCAATGTTGAAGTTGGAGATTGTTGCGCGGATGAGCTGCAGCACGTCAGGTTGGCCCGTAGGTCGATAAGACGAATCACTTACCGTGGACGGATCTTCGTCAAGGAGCATCTCGAATAGCTTTGCTTGTCCTCAGAGAAATAGGTGTTTGATCTATCTCGAAGTTGGCCATTGAGTTGGATGAATTAAGTTGTGCATCCTTTGTTGACATCGGTTGTGGGGAGCAACCAGCGAAAACTTACCTTTTAGGGGGACCTACGTGGGCGGGAACCTAGGCGTTGAGGCACAGACGTCATGCTAAGCCACCGCCCGAGCCACAGGACTCTGGACTCCGCAGGTTGATGTCGGCTCCAACTGCGCTCAAAAGAATCCCAACTAAATCATCTCTTTGAATCCTACCATCGTCTCTTGATTCTGCGCAAACATTGTAATCGGCTAGTTGGAAAACTGCGATGCCGTCCAATCTACCATACGCCGCAGATGCAGAAAGGTTGGCGAAGGTTTGACCACCGTTCGTGCCAGGTCTAACCCTGTCTACTGCAGCCCTCTCAAACCAGCAGAACTCCAAGTTCTACGCGCCCAGTACGAGAAAGAAGGTGAATATGTTGGAGTCCAGACAAAGTTCAACTATGCATGGGTATGATTGTCACCTGGCCATGCAATACACGTGTCCAAACTGATGGTGGCAGGGTTTGATCAAGTCGAATCAACGGAACGAGCAACAACTCGGCGTTCAGCTGCTCTCAGACATCTTTAAGACGACTCCGGAAAGAAGAAGAGAATGCTTATACTATCTGGCTCTCGGAAATTACAAACTGGGGAACTATGCTGAAGCGAGACGGTATAATGAGCTGTTGCTAGAGAAGGAGCCCGCAAACCTTCAGGCGGCTAGTCTCAGACAATTAATTGATGACAAGGTGTCAAGGGAGGGTTTGATGGGTGTTGCCATCATTGGCGGTGTCGCTGTGGCGGCGGGTATCGTTGGAGGCATGTTAATGAGAGGGTCCCGAAAGAGGTGACATGTTTGAGCCCTTGGTTTGCTTTGGGGCTGTGTATCATAAATGCCTGCGAAAGCCTGGTCTGGAAGAATGAGTTGGAACAGCGTCGAATAATGCACATGAGCAAGCCAAATCAGCGATGGGATAGTCCAAACACAATCAACTAAGTACAAATAAGTATAAGCTGGCTGCGTTCCGTATCCAGTGATTTCGCGCTCCATCTCACAATAAGGTGTACTGTACTCAAGTCTGCTTTATCGATAAGTCGGAGCCAGTGATGTGGTGATGCAATCCCACTCCGGTGACGGACAGACAGACAACGGAAGCCTACCAACTGGACTTTTCTGCTCAATTACCTGGTCACTTTTATTTCATTAATAACCCCATTATCGTTTCACCCAGATCCCGTTCCACCCCGCTCTCCAGTCGGAAGGAGTATTTCAGCCTTATTCGATCACCTCCATTACCAACACGTTCAACCCTTGTCCCAGAGCAACGCCACTTTTTGAAAGACACGAAACACTCCCGCTCCGCATGCCCACGCCACACTCAGCCTGCGCATGACGACAGCCTTATTTTCACGCCCTTCGTGCGCCTGAAATCCTGCTCCGCCTATCTCAGTCAGACTTGGGTATCCTCAGATCGCCGTCATGTCAAGAATTCAAGGCGAACGAGTCTTCTGTCACCAATGCCAGAACGAATGGGATCGAGCGCACGGAGGACTCACCTGCCCCCGATGTGAAGGAGACTTCACAGAAATTGTGCGCATAATCACCGGCTCATTGCCAACTCAGTGCTAACATAACGCTCCAGCTCGAACCCGGCGAGGCCCAGTCTAGCCATGATTTTGACCGGTCTTCGTCCCCATCCTTGCCCGTCGAACCCCCGTCATCGACCCCCAGCAGTTTCGATGACTACGCTGCGCTACGAAACCATAACCCTTGGTCTGAAGACGCAAACGACGATATCGGGACAGATGTCACAACGTTCGAGTTGACAACCACCGGCGGAGGTGGAAGAATGGTTCTCAGCACCCGCACATGGAGGAGTGATGGGCGCAATGTACGAACAGATGAGCTATATGAAGTGAATGATGAGATAGGACAAGTGCTTACCCGGCTGGATGAACTACAGGATCAAGGCATGCTTCCTCCCATGTTCAATCTAGATCCCTTCGGATTCCCGCGAGGGCAAGGCGTTGGCGGAAGGGACGACCCTCATCTCCATTTGCAGCCAGCGGGCTTACAAGAGTATGTTTCAAGGCGAAGTGATGATTTTGTGCTGAATCTTTTCGCAGTCTTTTCTCCCTCATATTTCAATCAATGCAACCAGAAGGCTTTCATACTCCAGACACCGACGACAGACGAAGGGGAGGCCCGGCCCCTCTGCCATTCGACCTTCTCCATCAAATGCTCAACCCGGCCAATGCTCGAGCAGGGGACATGGTGTACAGCCAGGAAGCCTTCGATCGGGTTATGACGCAGCTCATGGAACAACACAACACAAGTACTGCACCTCCGCCAGCATCAGAAGAAGCCATTCTATCTCTCAAAAAGAAGAAAGTAGATCGAGAAATGTTAGGCGACGAAGGGAAGGCTGAGTGTTCAATATGCATGGACAATGTTGAGTTGAACAACGAGGTGACTGTCCTTCCGTGCAATCACTGGTTTCACGGTGACTGTGTAACAGCATGGCTGCAAGAACACGATACTTGCCCTCATTGTCGGAAACCCATAACGGACCCAGAAGACCGCCAGCGGCCGGGAATTTCAAGGCGGAGACACAGCCGGCGAGCCTCTTCGATGTCAAGTCCACGTGCCTATGCTCCCCCTGAAAGCGATCGATTCAACCCTGCACCGCTTCCAGAAAGTCCCCGCACGATACGAGAAGCCAGAGAGTCCTACTATGGGCGGAGACAAGACTACGATATGCAACACCCTGAAACCCACCGTCACTCAAGCATGCAAAGTGACCTAAGGCGGCATAGCTCAAGAAACCAGAATGGAAGCAGTGGCAGAAGTCGCAATAGTGGGAATAGCGGAGGTGTGACAGGCTGGATTAGAGATCGTTTGCCATTCTCTTGATGACGGTCCGCCGCAGAAAGCAGTCCAAAGCCTCTTGATTTCGAGATAATCAGGACGATGAGATTGTTATGCACACTCATTTCTCACATTGAAATATTCTCAAGGGAAGGCAGAAGCCAGCATGCAAAGTCTCCTGGCTCTGACGTGCACCTCGCCGCACCAGGCCGTCTCAGACAAGCCCACCTCATATTGTCTCAGATCGAGACCTTTAGGTTTTTGGATTGGTTGGATATCCTCCCACAATCCTCCGGGAACAACATGGTTATCTTGGTTGGAGTCGTACTGGGACAACTTCCTTGGAATGAGAATTCAGGTTTGAGATTGAAAGAGATAATGCTGCCAGGAAACGACACTCAGGTTGCATTGCCTGAGAAGAAATAGGGACAGGCTCGTGTAATAGACACTCGGCACATTAATGCAGCGAATACCCATGTCGACTTGTTTTGGAGTATGAGGGTTGAGGCATCCAGGATATTCTGCAAATTCAGAGGTTCAGTCTCAGTGCTGGTATACAAATTGTAGTATGTAAACGTGTACCTGGTTTGGTATGTACTTGCAAATGCCAATCCTCAGCCACAGGCACCGCCACCACTGCATTCACATGTTCGTGCGTCACTTGACAGTCAAACTTTCACATGCAATTCGGCCCGCGATGAGGATTCCGCATCCTCGCCTCCGTTTCTGGTACCTGAGCATGCCACTGCCACCCGGACTTCGGGCCCTACGAACGTCAGAGGATTCTTCTCTGCAATGGTCACAGGCTCTGTGCTCCTCGTCAGCTGGTGGCCTTCTATGCCTTTGCCTAAAGTTCTGAACCTGTGTTTCTTATCCTCTCTCACTCTGCATGCGGACAAAGGCTAGATCTGTCCGTGCTTTGGAATGGCGCAATCTTGTTCTGGCTTTCTCTGAAGATCCTGCAATTGACTGCTCTTCTGAAGTTTCTCATTGATGTCTGTGGCACTCGGTGAATATCAAGTATGATAGGTCTGTTCAAACACATCCCTTCCACAAATTCCCATGCGCTGATTTAGGGTGGGCAGATCATGTACTGGGCCGGCCCTCGTCTCAGTTCCGCAAAGTCCAAGTCTTTGCCGTTGTCTCATTCTGGTCACTCTACCTTCTGAGGTAATCCCTCCATTCTGCTCTGGGAAGACGATTGCTTATGACAAGATAAGAGGTGACAAAAATGGTCCTCCTCTCATTCGATCCATATCCCAGCGCCTCTCGAAACGGTTTACCGTCTGGCAATCTGTCGTCTTGACCTTCCTCTGGCTCTATATATGCCGAAATTTTGCAAAGATCGTTGGCCTTGAATCCCCCGAACCCCTTGCCAACCTGTACAGCCGAGCATACTTTCGGGCAACATGGATCACTACGGCTCTAGATGCGGGTTTTTGGAGCGCCATGAAAATCAGAAATAAGACCCTCAGAGACATATGCTCAATTATCTTCTCAGTATACTATCTCTTCGCAGCAGAGCGAGCGGATGAGAAAGTGCGGAAGGTTCGCGCTGTCTTGACGGTCGACCATTTACGAGTGGCATGGAACAAACCAACCACACCTTATCTGAAATTCTTCACTGCGTTATTGCGCCCTCGCTTCACCAAATACAAGCCGCGGCGGATTCGAATCCCTCGCCCAAAGCAGTCACATTACAAGGAGCCCGTGGTTGCGTGGATGTACTTCGACGGCTCTCTCGCCGAATTGGAGAAGCAGGAGAACGTGGTTCTGGATATTCCAGGCGGAGGCTTTGTTGCCATGGATCCAAGGACAAGTGACGACAAATTACTCGCCTTGGCCGGAAAAACAGGGCTGCCGGTCCTCAGTCTAGACTACCGCAAGGCTCCCGAATATCCCTATCCGTACGCACTCAACGAGTGCTTTGACGTCTACACCCAGATCGTGGCAACTCGAGGTCGTTGTATTGGCATGAAACCAGACATGTGCCCGAGGATCGTGATCACAGGCGACAGTGCGGGCGGGAATCTGGCATGTGGCACGACTCTGATGGTCATACAATCAAATCAGAGCAGCGCTTCTCGAGGAATCCTGCCATCTCCCGCGGGTCTGGTTCTCCTTTACCCGGCCTTGGACTTCAATATTGGCAGCTGGATGACAGATGATCAAATGGCGCTGATCCGCAACCCACGAACGGCGAAGAAATATGAGCGCTTCATCAAACGCAAGAGTGAGGATATCGATCGCCGATATACTCCAACGACTCCGAGGCCCATGAGTGACGATGAGGACGACCACAACCACGATTTCTTCGCCCCTCGGGTCGAGAGCCCTATTCAGGATGAAAGGCCTCTTGCCCGAAAGAGCACAGACGTAGAGGCACAAAAGCAGGCTGTTGCCCTCTCCAAGCCTCAGCCGCTAAAAACAAGACTGGCCGTCTCCAGCATCATCTCTTACTTTGGCGACCGAATCCTTACTCCCGAAATGATGCGTGCAATGATTATTCTCTATGTAGGGCCATACCATCGCCCTGACTTTACCACAGACCACCTGCTTTGTCCGGCTGTGGCCTCCGAAGGTCTCCTGGCCAGGTTTCCGAAAACATACTTCCTGACCGGCGAACGTGATCCGTTGGTCGATGACACCGTCATCTTCGCGGGCCGGTTGCGTCAAGCAAAACTCCACCTCTTTCGTGAGCGTCAAGAGGTCGGCCTCGAGAAATCGACAGCCGAGTTCAATGAGAAGGACCACGTTGAAGTAACACTCATTCCCGGGATATCACATGGGTTTGTGTCCTTTGTAAGCATCTTCCCTGAAGGCTGGAAACATATATTCCGCTGCGGGAAGTGGATCCAGGACATCTTCGCAAGGCCACCACATCAGTTCGAAGGTCCGGCGATCGAAAGCAGGTTGAGACAGGGGACTTTCACGCACGACTCGGGCAGCTCGCTTGAGCTTGCAACGACAACCGAAACGAGGCATCACAGACGGACTCCCACAGGAGAAAGCATGGATGACGATGCACCCTTGGTCATGTCCAGTCTCAGCTCTGGTAAAGAAGCAGCGACGTCGGTGGCTCGAACAAACGGGTCCGCGAAAGGGGAGAACAGTCGGCGAAGACAGGAAGAGAGTTCAAAGGGCTCAGACAACCTTAGCCGCAGCAAGAGCCTCATCAGTCTCGGCAGCGAAGAGGACCTCCTGAAGCGGAGGATGAAGGGCTTGACGGTTGGGTTGTTGGGTAGTCAGGACTCTTGAGGAGGCAGAGCTGGAAGCTGTCACATTCATCAGAGCCGTCAACCAGTGAAGCCCGAGATTTGTTGGTATGCCTGCGTCGTTTAACTGGTCTTCACGAACCATTGGCGTGACACAAAGATCTACATAAATATCATCGACTGCGTTGAAAAGTAAAAGACCTGGATCAATGACTACTCAAGTCTCTCATTCCATTTCGGGGGTTTATATGCTTTTACAAGACTTCGTTCTTTGCGGAAAGATACGCCAGATTCGCCTCCTCAAACCTACCTTTCAGACTTTCATCCCCTCATATTTTAACCTGATGCTTTACCTGTCAAATATAGACGCGCCGTAACTTATTCCCAAGCATATGCCCCGACCCAGGATACATAGAACACCTAGATTACATTGTCTCTCTCTCCGTTCGACGGGACTACGGATCCTGTTCCGCGTGGCAGACGGAAATGGTGTGCCGTCGTCCTTCACCCGTAGCGTTCCACACCCCCGGTCTTGCTGACGCTTGACCTTCGAATGAATCCCATAATTCCGTCCCCTTGAGGCGGTGGCGGTGGTGATTGTGGATGGAGAAGAGGCTCGGAGGCTGCCATTTCGTGAACATGCGGCGGTGGCGGGGCGTTGTATATCGAGTGAACTGGTGTTCCGTTTCTGCTTAAACTATTAGTATATGTCAAGTTTCTCAACCTATTCCTGCAGTGGGCAGTCATGGAATCCTTACATGCTCTGTGGAATGCCGCTGCTGTACGCCGGAACAGCGTACATCTGGCTCGGGCTTGGACTGTGTGGAGAGGCGAGCTCACTTCCTGGCATCATCGGACCAGGGCTCAAGGAATCGCTCATCGGCATTGGATATGCTGGATGGAGAGGGGGCGACATGGTAGGATCATGTGAAGGCACGTATCCAGGCAGGGCTGGAGAAGGTCCCAAGCCTACAACACTGCTGTGCATAGACATATGCTTGGTCGGATCGGTCATATAAGACAGATGGCCATGCGGCGCTTGTGGATTGTAGGAAACCTGTGTTGCGTGGCCTGTGTTGGGACGATCATCGATGTTTTTATTGTTGATCCCACGAGCGCGAGATTGCCGACCACAGAGATAGAGGGCAACAGCCGCCGCAAGAGCTACAGCCGCGCCTCCGATTGCAATCCCGGCAATCGCACCACCAGAGAGGCCTGACTTGGACGATGACTTCTCGCTGGCGGTTGTCCCGCTCGAGGAGCCAGCTCCGGTGGGTGAAGCAGTCGCTGACGCACTGGTAGTCGCTGTGGTGAACGGATCCTCGCTCTCGTCGGGCCAAGGTTGACCGGGCAGTAGCATGAACTGGGATTGCGATGCCAAGTCTTTCTGATGCTGTAAGGATGTCGTGGCATTGGGGTTGATGACGCCAACCATCTGATGGTCAATACATGATCCCGGTGCACCACAATAATAGAAGATTGGATTGGTGTCATTGACCACGATCGACCACTCAGGTGGTTCACTCAATATCGCATCGACAGGTTTGAAGCCTGAGAAGAATCCGACCTTGTCGACACCGGTATCCTCGTATGGAATGCAAGCGTACCCATATTCTGAGCGAATAACGGAGTGATTGGTTGGGTAGAATTGAAACAAGATTGTATCGCCTACTTTGGCCAAGGTCACGTCGGGCACGAATGTGAATCCTCCCTACTCGGTGTATTAGTTATATGCGCCCATAACACAGCCTTCTTTGGAGCCCCCCCATACCAAAGCCACCGCCACCGTGTGTGTTATAGGACCTTGCGTTGTGCTTGAGGCAGTTGTTGTGCTGTTGGAATCTGCGCTGTCACTCGTACTCGAAGAAGTGGTAGCGGGCGCAGAAGTGACGGAGTCGGTCGGAGTGGTCGTCGATACGTCGGTCACACTAGTGGGAGTCGCAGTGTCTTGAGCAGAGGCCAACGCAGCGAGACCAAGGAAAAGAGCGATGGACCGCCGCATCGTGGGCCAAAAAATGAGTGAAATCGACCAGGTATGACGGCGAGGTTAGAGCCTCTTCTGCGATGGCAGCCGTTGGGATAGGGCTGCGCAGATATCAATATCACAGCGAAAAAGAAACAGAAAGGAAAGCAGCGCGCGGGAGAAAAAGAGTGTACGATGTCAGGAACGTGTCGGACTCTAACTTGCAAATTCGCAGATGGTCGGTTTTCTGTATGTACCGCGTGCTCGGTTCCTCGACGACAAAGCTGGACGTAGGACTTTGGGATGGATTCCGCCAGAGGCAAGCTGACAGGGGAAGCTAGGGCTGCAAGCTCCTTGCACGACGCAGGGAACCTGCAGCCTCATGCAGGTACCGACAGGCCCAACTCGCCTAGCACGGGATAGCGTAAGGCGATGGCTGCACGGCCAGGCTCTCGCTCTCTCCGCGAGATGGCATTTGAGAGCCGTCAGAAACATGGGGATTTTGCCGAATGGAGCAGTTCCTGACATGGCACCATGGTTCGGCCCTGGTAGATAAGGAGTCAACGCCAGTTCGGCTGCAGCGAACAGGGAAGACCCTCACGGTGAAGGCCCAGAATGCTGCTGGAAAAGGCTAGATACAGTCAGCAACACGAAGAGCTCATCCCCGGCAACCAAATGCAATTGATCCTTCACCAGAGAATCGAAGCCTCCGAGGTGCTGGGTGCTAGTCCCTGCACTGTTTTCACTGATGCTGATCTATACTTTTGCAGTGCATTCGAAGACATCAATCCCGCAAATTTCCTTGCACACGAGACGGGAATGAATCCTGACTCGACGCAAAGTATTTCTTCGCAACGACAGGATCAAAAAGAAAGATGGAAAGAGGAAAAACATCCTCGTATTGAGGTAGTGGCTTAGGAGCGTCGAAGCTTCACTTAAGCTTCACTTACCTACTGGGCCTGCGCACTCCGTCAGAAACCTCCTTTCTCGCACTAATTGGTCAATACACCTGTCCTGCCTAGCCCTCCAATGATATGCAGATGGCTCGTGGGGCGATGGAATGGCCCCGAAATTGCAACATGCATTAAGAACGCCTCGTTTAGCACCACAGTGTCCCCGACCTCCGCCACGCTGGGTTTCGTGGCTGGCACGAAATTGCCCTTGCGACTACCGAATACTACGTTCAGTCTCGACAATCGCCAGAGGGAGAAAAGAAAAAGGAAAAGGGCAAAAAGAGTAGGAGCTGCATACAACTCCGAGGAGTGGAGAAATCGGACAAGCATGGATCAAAGGCTTAGAAGACCGATACTACAGCCCACGTTGCATGATGTGAGGTTGCCTTATGGCTCCTGTTTTCAGTCAAGAAAGTACCAAAGCACGAGCGGACGGTGACCCTGTGTCCAGATACGCCGTGACATTAGAACATGTTCCAAAGATAGCAACCAGCCAGTCATTCCAGATGGTGGTTATTGTCACTCCACAGCCACAAAGAAAACCTCTCGCCCTCACCCAAACTCTTTGCCATGCTCCAGTCATCCTACCTCTCCCAGAATACTCCCCGTTCCCAGCATTGGCGCGCCCCTCAACGCACGCAACTCGTTACTTCTCTTGACGATATCCCTGTCGAAAACCCACCACCAGGACTTGAATACCTTCTCACCCACTTCCCAATTCTTCCCGGAATACGGATCGCTGCCGCTTATCCTTACCCCCTCGGCGCTGTCTTCCAGGTCATACACGAAGTCCAACAGAGCCATTGGCGAGGCTGCCCCTGGAGGCCGAACTTCCGGAGGCTGTGACAAGACGTTGATCATTCTGTCACGCGCCGACGGCCACGGAAGAAGGTCGATAACTGGGTGGTGTGGAATGGTCAGTTGGATCAGGGTCGGCTGCAAATTATCTGGTAGGTGATTGAATTGTGCCAGAGGCGCGGAAGAATCAGCAAATGGCGACTTCGCGGTCAGGGACCATATGATGTCTTGGACTTTCATCCGCCTGGCAATTGCCATACACCCCCGAAGTAAGGTAAGTTCTGCCATCTCTAGGTGCGCCTCGTCTGGGAAAGAATATGTCATTTCCTGGTCACAAATTGATTGCGCGAGGGGCGTCTTCTGGCCGGTCTCAGAAGGTTCTTGGGAATCCGGAAGAGGTGTCAATAACCAGGCTTCACCCTCGCTTGACGATGTATGCTTTGACGACGATAGCGGTGAACTTGGTAACGAAGGCAGAACTCCTGAAGTATCCCAGAGAGCCGGGTCCTCGATCGGAATGCCAGTGAACGAATATGCATCGTAGCTAGCAAAGGCATCCAGCAAAACAGGGAGCGACGCAGTTTCCCCCGTCGTCTCGATCTGATAATCGCAGATACTGCCATTGAATGATGTCTCCGATGTTTGGATGGATGACTGCGATAATTGAGCACCAGTATCTGACTGTGTTGCAATGGCGTTTGGTGATTTATCTGGGTCTGTCGGCAGAGGAAAGTTCTGCGGATACAGGACACCAGAGTCCCCATTCGCGTCTGCTGCCTGGGCCTCGAGCTTTTTGATGTGCTCTTTTCGCCTCTGCCGATATCGTCGTTGAGCAAGGACGTTGAGTACTCGTTTCCTCTCCGCCGCATCTTCCCCAGGCTGCGGCACCGCCAACGGTGCGGGTTTGCGCTTGATGTGGGCTTTCTTTTCTGACATGATCCGGTGTACCTTGCGCGAAACAGGGAACCAACGGCTTATAGAAATTATCCTGGACAACCGACCTGAAACAGCGTGGATTATGTGAAGCTACTAAAGGAAATGAAGAGAGCGGCAGCCCAAAGACTGCAAATATAACATCAAGCTCGTACTCTGTCGTGTGCTTCGTCTCTTGGGAGTAGGAAGACTGTCACCGCCGTCCGTAACGTCGAGTCTGGATTTAAACAACACAACCACCAAAGTTCCCGAGTTGCAGACCATAACGTTATGGTTGCACGCCGGAATACGAGGTTGCTCGGCCTAGTGAGGGGGCAACGCTGATAGGCCTCGAGAGATGTTTTCGCCCAGATGTTCCCCGCTCTTCAAAGTCCGAGTACGAAGGAGAGGATATCGTCGGTGACTTGATCTGCATGTGTGAGGTACATGCCGTGCGCTGCCTTCTCGTAGATTTTGACTTGGGCCTGACTGACGAGGTTTGGAATGAGATTCGCAGTGGCTTCGGCGGGATTACCTGTGCAGATAGATGCATGAGCACTTGTGTGTGAGACGACAGATGATTTTTGGATTTCACTTACTCTGGTCATTGTCCCCGTGGATAACGAGAACTCTTATATCCTTTCTATCCAGTTTCTTGAGGTCATCGGTGAAGTCTCTGTCCGTGATGATCTGGACGCAACTCTCGATCGCAAGGGCGTCGGCCTGTGCGACAATCCATTCGAACCTTTGCAAAACTGTCTCGGGCACCTCGATGCCGATGTTGAAAGGAATGCCAAACACGCCTGGGAGCGCGGTCCTGGCGAATGCCGTGCGATCTAAGCGAAAACCAGACAGGATCATGTCCCATAATTCTCGAGACGGTGCCATGGGATTTGTGTCCGTTTTCAATGGGCATGGAAGACTGGGACCCAACCATATCAAACCCTGACATTTCTTCTGCAGGTCTTCACGCATCTGAAGGTACGCCAAAAGAGATTCTCCGCATCCCATGCTGCTCGCGACGAAGACGAAATCGCCAACCTCGACATGATCGATCAAGTCAATGGTGTCTTGAGCAAAGGTGTCGTAAGAGATCTCCGTGCTGCGGTTGGTGTTCCAGTCGCTTTTCCCAAAGCCTCTTCGGTCGGACGCGATACATCGGATGCCGTACGTCTCGCAGAACCGCACCATCAAGTGCTCGTACATGTGATGCGACATTGGCCACCCATGGATGAAGACCAGTGTTTTGCCGCTGTTGCTACAATCTTTTGTTTGGCTGGCTGTTGGCTGAAAACGAGGGCGGCTTGAGGCCGGTCTGTAGTCAACATGGTAGAGAAGGGTATCATCCAGGCTGGAGTGAATGAATGGCATTTTGTCACGTCGATTGAGGTAATTGGAGACGGCTGCTTGCAAGGCTCAGATCAGTGTGCTTATGAATGTTGGTTGATGGAGAGACTCAAGTGCTCTAGGCTTCATATTTGTAGTGGTTGTAGGAAGTTTCAGTCCCACAGAGATTCTAACGCAAGAATAACGAGAGGCCTGCAGATCGAGACTTGACCCAATGCATAATCTCATTCATGTCGTTAACCATCCGCTTGTCATCCGTCATCCTGACTATAGCATCGATATGCCTTTAAACCTACATGACGTCTCTCATCCAGCATCGTCGCTCTGCCTGCTCACAGTCCCCTGTCGAGTAGGCGTAGGCGTGGGACTCCCTTCGCGGTCAAGTCCATGTCCCATGGGTCGCACTTTGCTCCCAACAAAACCCTTCCGATTCCTACCGGTACGGCCCCGGCCTAGCCAGTTCAATTTCAATTGCTTGTTGAGTTCCTCCATCCGATTCTGAGCTTCGTCTCCAGACTGAATCGAACACAACACCGAGAGGCACTGGAGCATTCGAGCCACTGTTTCTGTGACGTGCGATGATGAGCTATCGGTCGGCCTTGCTGCTGGAGGAGAGCTAAATGATTGGAAGGCCACGTCCTGTGCGGGATTGCTCACCACGGACAGATTGGATGTTGCGCGGGACCTGCCGCCGGACGTCATACTGCCGAGCAATGTACTGCTCTGAGAATTGTAGCTTCCATATGTTGGCTCGGTGCCTTGAGCAGTCCCAGGCCTGTCACTTCCACCGCTGTTGCCGCGGTTTCTGTTCCCATTTTCAAATTGCATGATGGACGCGTTGATGCTGTCCAGACTCAGTCGCGAGAAGGTCGACTTCAGCACCTCGTAGCGTGGCAGTACGATAGTGTCCCGGTAGCTGATGAGCAGGATCCGTCTGACCTCCAGCTCCTCGCCCGCTGCAACCACAAAGTCTGCGCCCTCTCCAGATGCTGGTGATGACGATAGCTTACTCCCACTCTCATGGCTCGGTAGAGCTCCCCAGAATTCTGCGGCCATCTTGGGGGTAGTTAGTATTGTGCCTCTCCCCTTGAACTCTTGATCAAGGGGAAGAAAGACAGCCTGCATGAATGGGAGGATTTTGCCGAACACTTCCATCCATATGCCCACCAGCTTAGGTACTAGGCTGTTATCGGCAGCATTGCGCAAGGTATGATTGAGGCTTAGAAACCCAGTCTTCAAGAGATCTTCCAGATCACCAATGACAATACTGGGATCTTTTCTTTGCACGCACCTCTGCACGTGAATTGTGACGAGCTTGTTCAGATCCTCGACAGCTATTCGTACGTCCTCCCCTTCAAATGTCACCAATATCTTTGCCCTGAGCAGGTCCCAAGCATCATCTGCAGACATGTTGGAAAGACCAAAGTTCGCCCCTGCTTCTTTGATCTCGCTGTATGTGTTGAAATTGCTAACCGATTGATTGGTAAAGCTGGTCCCCAGGGAAGGCCATTCGGAGGTGTCGCTTTCTCCCCGGCTATAGACAGGTTCAAGATTGGCGAAGGCTGCCTGGGCTTTTTCTTCCTTCTTTTTCTCCCGCAGAGCTCGACCCCCATGCCGAAGATCGAGCCCAGATACTGACTTGGCAAAGTTGGATGATGGATTGGGTGATGGTGGAGCAAAGGAGTAGAGAGACTGCGGGTTGTTGACATCCACTGGACGAGAGTTTGAGCTGGCAGAAGACAATGGAAGGGCAAAGGTCTCATCTTTATCCTTGAGTTTTAATTTCTGACGTAGACCATGGTGCTTGTGAGTCTTGTCTTTCTGCTCCCTTTGCTCTGGAAATGGTACGATGGTTGATGACGATGGGTTGGCAAGCTGATATAAGGAGGAGGAATTAGACGACAGTGACTCCGCAAGGCTTGTGGTAGAGGCATTCATAACCTTCGACAAACCACTTGGTGCCAAACGATTTGGCGACGGCAACGGCTTCTCTTTAGCCTCTTTGTCCTTGTCCCTTGATAGCACAATGTGTTTCGGTCTAAATCTCTTCAGGCCTTTCTTTGACTTTTCCTCCTCCACCAACGAAACTTGGCTAGTTGATGCGAAATTCCTGGGGAATACCACGCTAGCTGCCGTTGCTGCTGCGTTGGTGCCCACTAGTCCATTGCGATACTGTTGCTCCGCTGTGGTTGGGGATTGGCCCTCGTAAGAGCCTGCCGACCCTCTGCTGTTACGGCGACCTTCCTGCTGTGTCTGCTCTTGTGGAAATGGTACCGTCTGCGATCTCTTGCGGGAATGGTTCGTCGCATTCAGATGCTGCATTGCAGCCTGGGCGGCAATTTGAGAAGGATTGAGTGCAGGCATCCCGGTGTGATCATGTAGATGAGACTGGCTGGCTAGGGAGGCAGAAGGCATCGAGGGTTCGAAGTAACCCTGTGAGTGCTGTCGTGGGCGGTGCTTTTGCAATTCGGGCGGAGGGCCTAGATTGTGTTTTGCGCTGCCATCACGAGGCATGTACTGTGCGGACGGCCGGCTGTGGGATGGTAACGAGGCATTGCTTGAATTGTTGTGCGAAACAAACGTAGGCAATTGTTGGTTGTAAGGAGATCTCTTGACAACTGAAAGGCGTGAAGAGCCCGAGGTGTCACTGCCGCTCGAACTGGGTCGGTTGCTCTGCTTCGAGCCTGCGCGTGACGGATTCGGCGAAACAGACGAGGCAGGAGGGACTGGCGACCGCAGTCCCATCCGTCGCTGAGGAGGTGGTTCCATGGTCGAATAGACAAAGTAGAAAGGCCGTTCGCTTCAGGGATCCGGAGAGGGTGGCATGGGATGAAAGGTCACCGGATCAACTGTGATGGATGCGCTACGCGACAAACAAGCCTTCATAGACATCTCTCTCTCGCCTTACACGCTGGGGGTGATAGGTTGAGCTTGTCCATACGAGCAGGACGCGTGAGTCGAAGGTTGCGCAGGTGAGATGGTATGTGTTGACGTCGGCGTGGCAGTTGGAGTCCCTCTAACCCCCGCTGGTTCCGACCCGCACTCGCTTTTCTCTACAATGCAGAGTGCTACATCCGTTTAATCTTCAAGAACTGCCCGTCGAACAGCGCTTCTGAGCCATGTCGAACCCCTCAGATCATTCTCCAACGGCACTCACTGCGTCCTATACCTCACCCTCCGAATCGAAGCATTTCCAGTACACAATCACGGCACCACAAATCAAGGACGACGGATCGCTCAGCGCGGAAGCCAAAACAAAGTATGTGGCCGAGCTACGGGCTTCAAGCAAGAAGCTACAGGAGGATATCAACAAATTCTTAACTGAGAAAATGGAGGAAGACAAGAAGCAAACCGGACAACACAGCGAGGATAGCACATTGAAGCAGAAGTCGAAGGATGAATTAGAGGAAGAGAACTACGGCGAAGAGAATGAGCAGGACGAGATATAATAACAGAAGTCACTCGGTGGTATCAGAGAGTCATTATGGTTATGGACATTATGCTTCAGACCGCTCTAGCAGCAATCTCGCTTTGCTTGCGTACTGCACATCCGAGGTGGACGACGGAATTGCTGTCTCAACTGTCAGTGCACAGGCCTTGATGGGAAAGAGGGACAAACTCACTCAGGAAATACACTGATCACACTGCCACCAAGTCGCTTATAACAGACGCCACACACTCGATCTTCGTCGATCCTCACTTTTCTCCCTCGACCGCCGGTCTGGACACGGTCTCCCAGCAGCAAAGTGGCTTGAACTCGAACAGCGTCCACTTTCCTCAGGCCCGAGACTATCATCGACTCGTTCATGATAGTATTGGCATTTCGTATCCTACCGCGGAAGTAGAACTCTAGTTCCTTCACCAGCAAATCTTCGGGGATCAGCTCCAACGTCGAACTTGCCGGCAACCGCGGTCCATGGCGAGCCATCAACCCAAGGGCTGGCCCGAACAGTGCCTGCTCACCTTTCGGTGGGTTTAAATAGAGGTTTAGGAGAATATGATAGATGGAAGGCTCCTCATCAACTGGATCGGTGGTGGACGGTTTCCGCTTAGGCACCGACTTGCCGGAGTATTTGCTGGTCGCCTCCAGATGCGTTTGATTGCAATATTCCTCCGCTTTGCCGGGATCATGCAGCTTGAAGACATAGATTTCCAGAGCTTGCTTGTGGTTGCCCATCTTGCTGAAGACGATGGCTCGAGCCTCATAGAACATTGGATCATCCCGAGGCAGTAATCCCAGGGTTTTTGCGGGAGAATACTGATCAGACGTCCTCAGGAGTGTTAGGAATTTATCGAGCAGGTCGTCTTGGTTTGTTGCTGCCGGATCCTTTAAGCGTTCAAGATAGAGCGCAGCCAGCCGCTGATGCAGTTCAGGCGTCAAATCGTCCCATTCGTCAACCACATGTTCGAGATACTGTAACGCCAAGTCTATGTTGACTGACTCGAGGAATGCGAGGACTTTCTCCCGTGGGAGTGACTCTGCGTTTTCCGTGTCGCCCAAGAAGATCTCCATGGCCATTGCTGGGTCCACCTCGAGTGGCCACCTGGCAAACTCTAGTATCATATCAATCAGGTCTGGGCCCATATTCTGCAGGTATGAGACCGTCCTCGCAGGTCCATGCAGCAGGGGATCGATGTCTTCAGTCTTTTCCGCCTGTCCGAACTTTCGCAACCTTTCCAGCGCCTGCCGGTGCAGTCTCTTTCCGTATAGAAACTCGATCAGATCATTGTACCGTTCTGTCTCTTCTAGCTTCGCCATGACAACCTCGGGATCACAGAAGTTGGGAATGCGGAAAAGTGATCCTGCAAGTGAAGGCGTAGCATACATGTGCGCGCGGAAAAGGGTGGTGTCAACGAGTTTGGCCACATCCAGCAGCTTGTCTGCAAGATCCACATCATCCAGCGTGGGTATCCCAAGAAGATGCTCTGTGACCTGACGGATGTCCTCGGACTGGGCTGCCATTTGGACTTCAGACAGATTGCGTACCGTCTGGTCCGGGTTGAAGAATCGTTGCAGGCGGCGACGGACGTCGGCGAGGAATGCCTGGAGTTCTCGGGCAGCGCTTTTGAGTTCTTTCTCCGAGAGGCTCTCTCCCCCTGTGCGGTCTGCAGTTTTCACGCTCTGTATGCTGGCCGCATCGACCTCTGAGGATATGGTCTTTGCCCTTTTCGCAGGACTTGGGGCGACGTCTGTCTTCAGCGGCAATGTCTGGGGGTTGTCTTCGATGTTTGCCTCCGCTTCATTCCCCACGACACTACTCACTTCTTCATTCGCAAGGTCACCTGCAATGACTGCGGGATATAGCTTTATGACAAGCTCAGGGGGGGCAGAGACCTCGCCGAACAGGTCAAGCGCGTCTCTGAATTTCTTTTCGTCGAAAAGGCGCCGAGCCTTCTGTATCTTGATGTCACGCAAGCATCCAGCTTTGTTCTTGATCAGAGTCTCTTCTATCATCTCCAACAAACTGATTGCCTCATCTAATTGACCGCCTTCGACCAAAGCATCAATCTGGGCATCGTAATTTAGCCCTTGCATTCTCCAGATGACGCGTTCACTGGCAACCAGGAATCCCTTCCCTTGATGGGCAAGACTGATGTTCGGATTTGGAACCTGGAGTAATACCGCGCCAGGAAGATCAATCGATTGAAGTAAAGTGAGCGTTTTAGGGTTCCGGACTTCCAGGACACCTTTTGAAGCTTCTTGTAAAGCGAGGAGGTAAGGATATGAATATCCGATCGCATGAGGAGCCAAGCGCCATGGAACCTGACGTCGAGTAATGGGGTCTCCGTTGCGGTCGATGAAGAGGGTGTTGACATCCTTGGCCAGTAACATCTCGTCATCTCCCAGTCCAGTTGCGAGCGGTACGGGGACCATTGAACCCATACCAATATAGCTCATTGTGCCACCCAGTCTGCTGCTTTCTTGGCCAGGGGTGCCACCAATACTGCCAGGGCCGATAATGTCCTTGACCTGGTGAGACTCAACGTCAACAAGGACATAGTTTGCACTCAGCCCAGCAATAACTTTTGTGCCCGTTGCCCAGCTCAAACACTTGATGCTGTGCGACAGCGCGACTTCAGCAGCCTCAGACTCAAGCTCTCCATCATGCCAGGTCCAGATGAGGAGCCTTCTCTTTACCGCAACCGCTAACCTGCTGACAAGGGTAGGCACACCAGTTGAGGAGTCCTTGACGATGTTGCTTGTGGCAGCAAAGGTGCTAGCTCCTTTGGTCTTGCTGAGTTGTTCACTGAGTTCATAGGTGCCTAGGTCATGGATAGAGACAAGACCATTGCTTAGAGATATCAGGATGTTCGCTTCGCGGAAAACAGCAAGCTGTTCGATCTTGTATCTTGAGAACTTCTCGTACTCTCGAAGCAGTTCGGAAGGTTTGGCTATCGCAGGTGGTTCGTCGGTCGTGGCCTCGTGGCCTTCATGGCCTTCATCAGATTCAGCGGAACGCGATGGAGGACTTTTGACTCTGTAAATGCGGAGGGCACCCGTGTTAAGGCCGACAAGCAGTTGGTCGCTGTGAGAAAGTATGGACTCGATCTTTGACTTGTCACGCTGCTTCAGCTCGACAATGGGCTGAGCGGTGAATGCCGAGAGCATGAGGAATCGGTTCTCGCGCCCGGCTCAGGACGCTGTCCTGGCAGATGAACGAAGGGGTTGCGAAAGAGCAGGACCGCAATCAGCCAGGGTAAGTAGTTCTACGTACCGAGGACTTGGTGCTTGTGCGGAGAAAGGAAGCCTCCGATTGGTGGCCGCAATGGTTCCAGGCAACTACGTCATTCGCTCAGCCTCGCAAGGCTACACTGGCAAAGCGGTGGAAAGGCTATTGGTTTCTACCAGTCCAACGCATGTCTTACGAGTTGATGAGACACGAGGTACGGATTGAGGCATCTACATAATCGTTGCCGTCGTGTATCATACACCTGACCGCTGATATGAAGTCACCGTGTCCTATTGCTACACCCCAAATTGGGATGTGGGGATACCATGCCCTTCAAGATCATTGATTCTGTTGCCCTGTCCCAAGAAGTCGAGTAGAGCCCTAGTTGCTCTGTGCACCAGCCTGTCTGCCATATAGTCGTAGAAGAACTGAATTGATGGAACATTAATGTTGGCTGCTCGTCTCTGGATCATTGGGCAAATGGTGAAGGCAGCTTCAAGCACAACAGAAGGACTGGCGCGGTCATATTTATTTGCCGCTTTCCGAGATGTTGCTCTTCGGGACCTGTTCGTCTTCGTCCTCTTCCACTAGCCTGAGGGTTTCCTCAATCATGGCTATATCTGCGTCCAGATTCGCCATGATATCGTCCAAATCGCCCAAACTCTGCACCTCTTTCTTGGTTTTGTCGAGTAGCTTCTGCAAAGAATCGTTCTCTTTGCACAAGCCCTTTGTCGCCTTCCGCACTTCGTCCTCTTGTTTTGTCAGAGCCTTTGCATTCGCATGTATGTTCTTTGCCCGGGCATGCAGCTCGGCATCAATGCTGGCTCCAACGGCGGTCAGCGAAGCCGTAAATGCATCTTTGGCCTCCTGCGTGCGTTGTGCCGCTGATGCTGATGGCCTTTGCGACTCGGATGAAACTGACGCCGCCGTAGACATGGCCTCGAGAGTTTTGCTGGAGCCGTTCCCGATTTCGGATGGATGGTGTTGAAATGGCTGATATCCTGCAGAGTGTGCGGTGATTTGAGATCTGAAGTGGTTTCTTGGAGAGGGATGGACAATTTGGAGAAGAGACCTAAAGACAAAATAGGCAAATATTAATATTTCCATACTGCATAGCTAAAGTAAGAGATGGGAACTTCGACGCTCTCATTTTGCCTGGTACAAATGTAGACGTATGGTGCTATTATTCATCATGTGCTTGATTGTGGACACCACTGGAGTTCTATTGCCATAAAGTCTATCTTGATAAAAGGAGCTGAGATCGTTAACCACAGCATTTTAGAGGTTCAGCTGCTCTGCGTCCATGGCAACCCAAGTTTGTGCATTTCCACCGCCAGCTGAAACAGATAATCCAGACTTTCGCATTGCGTCTTTGCTTTAGCAACAGTGTCGCCCCAAACGTATCTGGATTGAGATCAGTGATTTGTTGTTCCCCGTTCATTCATGGTACTCACATTCCATGCCGTCTCACTAGAACGGCGCACGTGTCCGGATATTGCTCCATGGCTTGCTCCAAACTCCCAGTCAAATCCTCCTCGAAAGGAGTATTTTCGATGATCGGGATCCGCAAGGTGTCATGGAAACCAAGCATACCCTTTTTCGGGCCTTTAGGAATACCCTTGATCTGCTCGATGTCGCTGATTTCGAAGCAAGCTTCTTTGCCATAAGACTTTTCGACGAGCAGGGTGATCAAAACAGCCCATTGGGAATGCGTATGAATACAGCAACCGGCACCACGCTCAAATGCTGCCAGGAACAACGGGGTACATGCCGATGGCTTCAGGTCCAGAGGCTTTCGAATGTACTGTCGTGCAGACGGAGGGTATTTGGGAGTCGGATACGAAAGGACAAAGATATTCTCCGGTCTCATGAGCTCCTTTTGTACGCCAGACGGAGCAATGTAGACGTGATCATCCTTGCGAATGCTTGTGCCGCCTCCAGTTCCAGTGACCCATCCTTGAGAGGGAGTCAGTTTCAGCGGCCTAAGCAGACCGCTCCCCGTCTACAACCTACCAAGGGAATAGAATTGTTTACAGAGCCGCGGGATCAAATTCGCCGGGTGGTCCGGATCGTCAGATTGGACCAGGTGGTCGTTGCTCTGGTCCCCCATTATCGAGATAGTGGTACAGGAACTTGCAGGGGTTGTTCTTAAAGAGGGAAACAGGAGAAGAATAGAAAAGAAACTGAGTGAACTTTCAATGGGGCCAACGCGTGCTAACACGTGATCCCCCGCCTTTCGCGGTTAATTGTTGTGTGCTGGAGCTTCACCGATCTGAGTGGCATTTGAAATTCCCCCCTGGTGGAGTCCGTCCCGTAAAGGACACCTTGCTTTGATCCTTCAAAGAGAATTGAAATATAACCACGACTGGGAGTGGGACCTTTTCTTTGCAACCTTTTCCTCCTCCATTCTCTTCTCTATCTGGTTTGCATCTTGTGCTCCCTGTCAATTGACTGTTGCCCTGCCTCAGTGTTTGTGGCTCAGCATGCGGTTCAACGCAGCAATCACTCCGGCCCTCTATGCATCAGCTCTCCTCGCTGGTACGGCATTCGCCCAAGAGGAGGCAGAGACATCAACGAGTGCTGTTGAGCGGCCCACCTTCACTGTGAGTTGGCATTATCTGCCCATGCCCATTTGCTTTCCGCTAACCTGTGACTAGCCCACCAGCCTTAAAGCGCCCTTCCTAGAACAATTCACCGACGATTGGGACACGAGATGGACCCCTTCACATGCCAAAAAGCAAGATTCCAAGAGTGATGAAGACTGGGCGTATGTCGGTGAATGGGCGGTCGAAGAACCGACTGTCCTTCCCGGCATCGTTGGCGACAAAGGCTTGGTTGTGAAGAACGCAGCCGCGCACCATGCCATTTCAGCCAAGTTCCCTTCTGTCATCAACAACAAGGGCAAGACCCTTGTCGTCCAATACGAGGTCAAGCTTCAGAATGGCCTCGAGTGTGGTGGTGCATATATGAAGTTGCTCCGTGAGAACAAGGAACTGCACGCAGAGGAATTCTCCAACGCCTCTCCCTACGTGATCATGTTTGGTCCCGACAAGTGCGGAGCTACTAACAAGGTGAGTCTGACTGCTAGTCTCTTGAAAATATGACTCTGACAGCTGTTCCAGGTCCATTTCATCTTCCAGCACAAGAACCCAAAGACTGGCGAATACGAGGAGAAACACCTGAAGAGCCCCCCACAAGCCAAAACTGGCAAGCTGACCACACTCTATACCCTCATCGTTAAGCCAGACAATACTTTTGAAATGTTGATCGACAATGCGTCCGCCAAGAATGGAAGTCTCCTGGATGACTTCTCTCCTGCGGTTAACCCTCCCAAAGAAATTGACGATCCGAAGGACAAAAAGCCCGATGACTGGGTAGAGCAAGCTCGAATCCCCGACCCCGAAGCTGTCAAACCCGAGGAATGGGATGAGGATCAACCTTACGAGGTGGTTGATGAGGAGGCTGAGAAGCCCGACGATTGGCTCGAGGATGAACCTGCGACAATTCCTGACCCAGAAGCTGAGAAGCCCGAAGACTGGGACGATGAAGAAGATGGTGACTGGATTCCTCCTCAAGTCCCCAATCCCAAGTGCGATGAAGTGTCTGGGTGTGGCAAATGGGAACCTCCGATGAAGAAGAATCCTCTCTACAAGGGCAAGTGGACTGCACCATTCATCGAAAACCCTGCCTACAAGGGACCCTGGGCACCACGCAAGATCCCTAACCCCGATTATTTCGAGGACAAGACTCCTTCCAACTTCGAACCCATTGGAGCAGTAAGTGCTTGGCCATATTCCTTATGAAGTGGTAATTAACCCTCGCTTGCAGATCGGCTTTGAAATCTGGACCATGCAGTCCGACATTACCTTTGACAACATTTACATTGGTCACTCCATCGAAGACGCCAACGCCTTCCGCGCCGAAACTTACGATGTCAAGCGACCCATCGAAGAAGCTGAGGATGCAAAGAGCAGACCCAAACCCGAAGACATTCCTAAGTCACCCTCAGATCTCAAATTCATGGACGACCCGGTCACTTTCATCAAAGAGAAGCTTGACCTTTTCATTACCCTGGCCAAGAAAGACCCGGTTGAGGCCATCAAATTCATGCCCGACGTCGCTGGCGGTATTGGTGGCGCTTTGGCGCTACTCATCGCCATCATTGTTGGTCTCTCAAGCATGGGTGGATCTCCCCCCGTTCCTAGCAAGGAAGACGTGAAGAAGGCAGCACAGAAGGCCAAGGATACTGCCACTGAGGTCAAAGAGAAGGTGCAGGATGCTGCAGCCAGTGGTGCCGAGGCGACCAAGAACGAAGCCAGCAAGAGAGTTACTCGATCGAGCGGTAACTCGGAGTAGAACCATATGGGCAGACAGACTCGACTTCTCGGCTAGGTGAGATGCTCGAAAATGTCCTTCCTGCACTTTTGCATCGGTCCGCATGGGTTTAGGCACCAATGAAGTTATTTCGAGGCAAACGACTGGGAACCTCGCGACATTGCCACCGGGACGAATGTTGAGGAATGCGTTCTCCCGAGAAGTGTTCTTATGTACAACAGCTCAAAGCTCGCTAGATCCAAGGGTATTATTGTGCCTGCTTCGTGGTGATGTCGCAGGCGTTGTGAAACCTGGTGGGAAGGAGGTTTATGAGACTATGCAGCATCAGAATATTTTCGACTGTTTGTGTTTCGTTGCCAAAATGACGAGCCATGGTTGCCACCGAGTCTTGTTGTAATTGGTTTCATCCGTAAGTCGTCGAGCTCTACCAGTACTTGTAGGGACAGATTTCAGCCGCATCCAACGTGGCATTGTGGTCGATCAAAGTCAATGTCCACTTTCATCCAATTATGTTGCATGTACAATTTTATGCTTCACCACAATATTTTGGTCGACATCCGAGCCCGTCAGTGACGCACCTCGTCCATGTTGTTTGTTTTGAATAGCCGATATCCCTGTCGGTTCGATCCTTGTCTCCCTTTCTCGCGCGTCGATTTTTGTGCGTACAAGAGTATGAGTTGGGGAGAATAGAGGGAGCATGAGCGACAATACTGCGTCTTCTGCGGCAGAGGCGACAGAGAAACGGCCGAAGCGCGAAGAAGCGATACAATGGGAGAAGAGCACTGGAGACTCACACATCTCAGCTGAACTTGCCGACTCGCCATACTTCATCCATGATGGCGATGAGAAGCCGAAGAAGAAAGGTCTGCCTGAATGGCTCGACCACTTCAACGTCAAGGATTTGAAGACGCTTTTCAAGTGCTCTGTCGCAGTCTGGATCGCAACACTGTTCCTGCTCATCAATCCAACCCTCGTTGCATTTGGCCAGGCCACTTTCTTCGGATGCATTGTCCTCTTCATTTTGCCCTGCAATGGCGTCGTCTTCATTCAAGTCTTGGGCGGCTTGACCATGATCGTCGGCATGGCCGCAGGATGGGCATGGGGCGTGATCTCGATGAAGGCTGCACTGGCTGCTCGACCGGCGGCTGAGACGAATGCGAGACTTGCGCAACTTGCTTCTGAAGCCACTCAGCAGCAAACGAATACGCAGCAGACGACAGGACAGTCGATGTATACGCAGGTTTTAATTTTTGAAGGCTTTATGCTTGATACAAGGGTTACCGTCACATACTTCTGCATGGTCGGTCTCTTTGTCTACTTGGTGGCACGCCTACGCGTTCGCGCACCGAAGCTCGCACTGTTCCAGATGTTTGCAATTATCGTCTCGGATATCTTTCTCACCATTGGGCCCTTGATCCCGACCTTTACTGGTACAATCCCTTCTGTCCTGATCAAACCGGCAGCCACGGCAATTGGCATTGGCATGGCATGCAATATACTCCTGTTCCCACGGAGCACCTCGCATATCGTCCTCGACACTATGCAGGGTGCCCTCGCTCCAATGAAAGGGGTTTTCAATGCTTGTAAGCTGGCCTTCAGATATTCAGATGCGACAGTCAATCTAGCGCAGCTGCAAAAAACCAAGGCGACCACTATTGCCGCTTACAAGGAAGTCGAAGCCAACCTGGGTTTTCTCGCTCTTGATCTGTCAACTGGACGATGGAGCACTGAGGATGTAAAGAGCCTGCACGAACCACTTCGCCAGGTGGTCATTATGTGTACAGGACTATTGGAACTCCAAATCTTCCGGGCGAAGTCGCGGACTAAATATGAGAAGCTCAACGTATTGAGCGAGGCCATACACGGAGGAACTACCGAGACTGACATGCCTGAGATCGGCCACCACCATCTTCTGCGAGTTCTGAGTCTGAGAGACCGCTTCCAACATCCGAACACGAAAGACTTGCTGGATAAGAGTATGGCAGTTTTGTTCGCATCGAGCGGGTCACTGCTGGATACATGTGGTGATGCGGTAGACGCTATCTTGGGGGCGCTGCAGACTGTGAACAGCAGACGATGGGTCAAAAAGCCTGGTGTTGATGAGTGCGACATGCTTCGACTAGAGCACGAACAGGTGCTTAAGAAGCTCAAGGAAGACCAGGAGCGGTTTCAGACACTAATTTCAGAGCTTTTACTTGAGCCGCACAATCATCTATTCGACGAGCACGGTGTGCTGAAAACACCGGGAAACGCTGGTGCTCCAATTCACGGTCTGGCGCTCGGGTTCATATTTGAAGAGCGAATTCTTAGCGTAGCTTCTGCCTTGGATGCTATGCTTACGCGGGTCATTAGGCTTGAGCAAGAGCGGACGAAGACAAAGATATGGCTGCCAAAGGGTCTACGAGATCTGCTCTCGTGGGGGCTTGGGAGGGACGCTGCCCCCGGTGTCATTGCAATGCCAAGCGACAACAATGATTTAGAGCTTGAGAAAGCTCTGACAAGGAGCAAAACCAACTCCTCTACGAAGAAGAACGAGGAAGAGAAGGAGACAGGGGCACAGGCACAACTTGACAAACTTCGCTTTCGTGGTGGCACGAAACGAAGCACCCCGGGGAAGATTTTGCTCGCAGTGTCACGCTGGCTGGGGAACACCGAAGGCATGTACGCTTTGCGTGCGCTGGTTTTGACAATTGCCCTTGCACTTCCAGCTGTTCTGACCTCAAGTGCTGGCTTCTACTATCGCGAAAAGGGCATGTGGGCTCTGATTATGGCCCAGACTGGCCTCATGACATACACGGCGGAGTTTGTGTATGGTTTCGTCCTCAGAACTTTCGGGACAGTTGTTGGAGGTATCTTGGGCATGGTGTGCTGGTATATCGGAGCTGGAAACGGACCCGGAAACCCCTACGGCATGGCTGCGATCATGGCATTGGTAGTGGTCATGCTGATGTGGGGACGACTCTTTGCTCCGCCAGCATTCCTGCAGGGTGTTTTGCTGATGGCCTCGACCCTATACCTTGTTGTGGCATACAGCTGGGTCGACACGCATATTCCATCGTACGGCAACCCCGGTGTCGGCTACACTGTTTTCTGGCGGAGAGTGCTGCTCGTGATGATTGGCTTTACAGCATCGGCCATTGTCATCTTCATCCCGCGACCACCATCCGCGTCAAGACATTGTCGACGTGTTCTTGCGAGCACCATTCGGGACAGCAAGGACTTGTACGCGCTGTATGTCATGTCGTGGACGCACAAGCATTCAGACCTGGAGGAGACATCTGAGAAACAGATTCTGGCCAGTGTAGAAACCCTCGGGGGAATTGCTGGACCGCTTGCGTTGTTGAGGTTTGAGTTCTCAAGCTCGAACTTTGACGCAGAGACGCTATCTCATGTCGCGGATCTTTGTATGGACATCAACCAAAGCTTGAGTCAGTTGATCCTCTTCTCGAACCAACTTCGGCAAGATTACAAGCAAAGGTTCGCAAAGGTGACAGGCGCCCTGGACGAGGGCCTCATTGGCGATTTGATGGCCGTGCTGACGCTGGTCGAGCAGTCGCTGGAGACAGGTTCTCCACTTCCGGCGGTGTTGCCTGTGCCATTGATAGCGCGTTCTGCTGGACTCAGCGAAGCATTTGGGAGAGACAAAGCTGGCCAAATAACGCTGAGCATTGACGCCATCAAGGACGAAGGGTTTCGCAAGTATTGCGTTGTGCTGAGCGCGTTCGTCCAGCTGCTGGGTGCCGTGGATGACCTTGTCTGGCGGGTCAAGACAGCGGTTGGCGAGACGAGCTATGTCGATGTTGAACAGCCATTTTTGTCAAGACACGTCAGTCCTTGAGATGTGGAATCGATCAAATCCCGAGACTTCAAAGGAGCGAGCGTCTTCGCAAGCTACTCTTGAAACACCGCGGAAAAACCGAGTGACCCACAGCCGCCGATCCTGAATCACGAATCCCGAATTCCGGTCTTCGAGGCAGGTTTCTAGTGATCGGTGGATCCTTCCAGCATCGCATCAAGTGACTGCCGGTCGGATTCTTCCCAAAGAAAAGGGGAAATAGGTTGACATCGCTCCTCAATACGAGCCTCAGTCGTGCGCCTAGACCTGCGGCATAGACTGGCAGTCTCCGAGGAGATGCTGGAGACGGCTTTGTCTTGGACATGGCGAGATATGAAAGCATGCAATTCATACAGGTGAGAAAGTCAGGCGTAGGCGCACCGCCTTTGCGCTTTCCAAAAACCCAGCAAATCCGACACATAAAGCCAGTCGCGCATTGGCCCGAGCGTGTGTATGTCGAGACACGCATGTATATTTGCTAGAGGCATGGCATCCGACAGAGAGAGAGAGAGAGAACAGAGTCAGACTCAGAAAGTAATTGTATTTATATGTACTCTAGAGCAGACGCGCAATATACAAATAGAACGCCCGCCAGGGGCATATATGTACCACCTCCAAGTTCGCTTCACCTCTTCGAACACGAAAACTGTATTCATCAGAGGTGTGTAACAAAAGGCTGTCCATAAATACATCCATACACAAACACACAGATAGATATATATAGATAGGGCGTAAGAACAGGTCTACCGAGTCCTTGGGGTGTCTTCAAAGACAATGAATCCCCTCTAGCATCCGACTGCATTTGGGCGAATGTTATTTGTTTCCCCCCTTTTTGCGAATAATAAAAAAAGTCGAGGCAACATTCTCGTTATGTTTGCATGTCGCATTCGCCCAAAGACCGTCACAGTCTTCTGCAAAAGTTCCCAGAAGAGACCTGCGCACGAATTATTGCTCGCTGAAAGGCCTGTCCACAACTTTTTGTGCCCCGGTGCTGGTAATCAATTTGTTCAGCCCTTGCCCCGTTTGTTTCGAATTACAGTGACCACCGTGTCAAACCACTTCGACTACCATTCTGGTCGAATCTGATCCCAGACCCGCCTCCTTTACTTCCCCCATACCCCAAGCTTCTTTACGAGTGTGTCGGCATGGAGACCTGCTTCTCTGTCGCCAACGCATCCTCGGCTCTCCACAGGCTTGTCACAGTCTTCCACTGGGTGTAGAACCTAATGCCATCCTTGCCGTAGAAGTTTGCCACGCCTGTTCCTGCCACGCTCTTCTTGTTACCGGTGAAGCTGAACATCGGGAGCGGCACGGGAATGGGGACGTTGATTCCAAGCTGGCCCGCCTCAAGTTCCTTCTGGAATAGAGAGGCGGTGGGGCCGGAACGTGTGAAGACGGCCGCGCCATTGCCATAGGGGTTGGAGTTGATCAGCTTAATGGCTTCCTCAGTCGTGTCAACATTCAAACAGACGAGGACAGGGCCAAAGATCTCTTCGGTATAGCATTTCATGTGCGGCTTGACGTTGGCAATGATGGTTGGACCGACCTGACACGAATTAGTAACGCTTCGATGGACGGTAACAGCAAGTTTGACTTACCCAGTTGCCATTGGGGTATTTAGGCGGGTACTGGCCTCTGCCATCAAGTAAGATGGTTGCACCCTCGTCTACCGCGCTCTGGATCAGATCCTCGACTCGCTTCTTGCTCTGTGGGCTGATCAAGGGGCCGAGATCGGCATCCGGTTCGAATCCACCATTGATGGTGAGGGCCTTTGCACGTTCGGCCAGCTCTGGCACCCACTCCTTCGTTTCACCCACCATTACGAGCGTGCTCAGGGCCATGCACCGCTGGCCTGCAGCACCAAAGGCCGCACCAGCGATGGCATTCAGTGCATGGTTCTTGTTGCAGTCTGGAAGCACCGCTGCATGGTTCTTCGCACCCAGGTTGGCCTGGACACGCTTGCCCTGAGCGCTACCACGAGTGTAGATATATTCACCAGCTCGGTTCGAGCCAACGAAGGAAATGGCCTTGATGGCTGGTTCATCGATAATGAAGTCGACCGTCTTGGCCGCACCGTGGACAATGTTGACCACGCCATCGGGGAACCCAGCTTCTTTGCACAGCTCAGCGAGGATCATGGCAGCACCAGGGTCCCGCTCGCTGGGCTTGAGGATCAAGCAGTTGCCAGTCACGGTAGCGAGAGGAATGCTCCACAACGGGATCATGGCGGGGAAATTGAAGGGGCAGATGGCTGCCACCACGCCCAGGGGTTCGCGATATGAACGAGTTTCCATATCTTTTGCCACCTCAATGACTTCACCAGTCATTTGAGTGGTGATGCCGCAGGCAGTCTCACAGACTTGCAGACCGCGAAGGACATCACCTTTGGCATCAGCAAAAGTCTTGCCCTGTTCGAGGGTGATGGAGGCGGCCAGTCGGTCCATATTCTGGCGAATCAAATGGGTCAGCTTGAAGATGATTTGTTGTCTGCTTATGATGGATGTCGCTCGCCATCCTGGGAAGGCTTTCTCCGCGGAGGCGACAGCGGCCTTCAATTCGGCATCGGTGGACTGAGGCACTCGAGTGACGAGATTGTTGGTGGCAGGATCATGGAGGTCGATCCATTGGGAGGTTTCAGAGGGGACGAATTGGTTGTCAATGAAGTTGTGTGTGTTAACAACATTGGTGATCTGTTCGTGAGAGGTAGGATAGTCGGCGACGGCAGTGCTGGTGGCAGCGAGTTGGCGCGTAGTCGCATGAAGTCGGCGCCTGGCAATCTGCTCGTTCGGCGACATTCTGAGAGATGCTGAGAGATGAGACGCAGCTGGTGCGGTGGCTCGTCTTGCTGTCAATGCGGGGACAGCGCGCAGGAGAGACCGACGAGCAGCCATTGCTGCCAAAATTTGAGGGGAGAGGGGGATGAGAGACAGACTACCAAGTAGGAACCTAGCGCAGCTTCGTGTTGCCCTCAGGTTGAACAAATCTGTAGCTGGCTCAAAGCAAATTCCCTTAATAAAGGGAGGGGGAGTTGGTGAAAGAGCGGAGAAGCTTGTGTCGAGCAACGAGAAAATGCCGGATCCGAGGTCCAAAGGGGGACCAGGCATTGGCAGCTTGTTATTGGCGGGATTGGCGGATTGCTGGCGAGAAGGCCGAGTGCAGGGGTGGGCAGGGACGGATACACACGGTCCTCTTCCGCTCCTACCCTCGTCTGAAACCTAATTCGTCCGCCCGAGGTTCTTGGTACATAGTCTTTACCTAAAGCCGTTTAGTCGCTGTCATTATCTATGTGTCTATGTACAAGTACCTCGTACAAATTCTCGAGGTTTTCCCCTTTATTGCGTCCCGACTAATCTTCTAAACTTCAACTGTTGCTCGGATAGAGTACCGTGTCGAGGGTATGATATTCCTCCTTCAGGGTCCGCGGGGCCGTGAAGCGCATCAACATGTTTGCACTGCCAGCCTTGTCATTGGTTCCGCTGCCTCGTGCTCCCCCGAAAGACTGTTGGCCAATAACAGCACCGGTCGTCTTGCAGTTGACGTAGAAGTTCCCAGCGGCATAGCGAAGCCTATCCTCCGCTTGCCGGATTGCCGCTGTGTCGGTCGCAAAGATGGATCCAGTCAACGCGAAGCCGCCGCCTTGCTTGTCGATCTTGGTCAAGAGTGAGTCAAAGTCCTCGTCGCGGTAAACGTGGGCCACCAGAACGGGACCAAAGAGCTCTCGGTCGAAGAGAGGATGATCCACGTCCTTCGCAGAGTAAATGGTGGGCTCAATGAAGTAGCCTTTGCTACCGTCGTACTTGCCCCCAACCACAAGCTCCAGCCGACTGTCTTGGTTGGAAGCGTCGATGACCTTGGTGAGCTTATCGAATGCTGCTTGATTTATGACAGGACCAGTGAAGCTCTCAAAGTCCTCGGGTGGGCCCACTCTGACCTGCCTCAGCTCTTTCTTCATCTCGGAGAAGAACTGCTCAGCACGGCTCGCAGGGATGTAGATTCGCGAGCAGGCAGAGCACTTTTGGCCCGCGTACTCGAAAGAGGCACGAATGGTGTGCTTCACCGCATTACTGATATCGGCAGAGTTGTGAATCAGGTGGAAGTTCTTGCCTGAGGTCTCCGCCACCAGCCGTGGGAAGTCACGGTATTTTCGTTCCTTAACGCCATCTGCTATCTTGCCATACAGGCTCCGGAACACGTCTGAAGATCCTGTAAAATTGATGGCGGACAGTTCCGGGTGTGCCAGGGCCACTCGGGTGATCATCTCAGCGTCGCCGCCAACGAACTGGACAACATTCGGTGGGAGGCCAGCCTCGCGAAGAATTTTGTATACCAGGTAGCTTGCGTATACGTTGGAAGGAGAAGGTTTCCAAAGGACGACGTTGCCAAGGAGCGACGGACCCGACACGAGATTTCCGCCGATGGCTGTGAAGTTGAACGGCGAAATGGCATACACAAAGCCTTCCAGAGGACGCCAATCGGTGCGTCTAGATTGTTCGTCAGTGACCCTGTCCCACACATCAAATTGGCGGAGGCTCAACTCACCCTGCTTGCCCGCGCTCATTCAGCGTAGGTTGCCGGGAATAGATCTCTTCGGCGAACGAGACGTTGAAACGGAAAAAGTCAGCCAGCTCGGCAGCTGCATCAATCTCTGCCTGCCACGCGTTTTTCCCTTGCCCAAGCATCGTCGCTGCCATCAGCTCGAATCGATACTTTCCGGACACCAGTTCAGCTGCTCTGAGATAAACGGCTGCCCGATCGACAAAGGGTGTGTTCTGCCATGCCGTCTTGGCCTTGAGCGCCGCTTCGATGGCGGCTGATACCTCCGCCTCTGTTGTCGGAGTGTATTTGGCAAAGACTGATGAGATCTCCGATGGCATATATGTCTCCGCATCGGATGAGCTCGGCTGGGCGGGTTCGTCTTGTCCGTTTCTTATTGACGGTACACGAACTGGAAGCTTTTGTCGCAACTCTTGGACTGCTACGATCAACTTCTCCCGCTCCGGGGATGATGGCGCATAGTGTAGCTGGCCAGCCTTCTGTTAGCTAAGGTGCAGCAGTAGATGGGATTGTGAACCTTACATTTGGCTCATTGAATGGCTTGGGAGTTTTGTAGGCCCCGGCCGTGGAGAGGAGCCTCCTCCGTACGGATGCGCGTGGGGTTAAAACGCGCGCTTGACTGAAGTTAAGAACTGCCTGGCGACAAGGAGTAGTCGGATGAACTGCGTGTGTCAACATCTCGTGGAAAGGAGCCCGTGTCAAGACGATTCCAGGTCGTAGAAAATGCGGCTGTGTTGGAGAGATGTTTTGGTGTGAGCTGTGACAGGAGAATCTTCTGGGGAAACAGAGTAGAATATGTACGTTTCATTCTAATGAGGAAATATTCAACCCAGCGACCTGCACCCGCAAATTTCAGACGGCCATCTGGCCGGGCCGTGTGCAGAGCATCGGAAGTTCATTGCTCCCCTGCTGATCGCCGGGCGCCATTTCACTTGGGGACAGAGCGATCAGCCGCCATCAATCAGCTCTGAGAAAGTGGGAAAAGAACCTGGGTAGAGGCTGACAGTCCGACGCGCCTGACGCGCTGGTAGGTCTACCGGGAACGCAGCAGTGGAACTCGATAGAGCCCTATCGGAAAGGCTGCCGTAGCGGCCCTGATATTTCCGCCACGCCTTAGAACAAGGCTCGAAGGGCGCCAGGACGTACCTTGTACGTTGTTTCTGGAGTACTCCGGATCCCCCAGTTCTACGTTTTGGATATGTTGTTATGCGTTAATCATACTGCAATACTGGGGGGAAAAGGAAATCTCGAACTGGGACAGAGCCTCTCTCGTTAGGTTGGCCCCACGAATGTACCTCTCCTTCAATGACAATAGCAGTCATGGAGTTTATATGGCATATATTTCACATGTGAAAGTTGAGCATCAAGAGTCGACCGGGGATTACTGTGTTGATCTCATCTAGATCCTGTTCCCATGGGTTGCATGTTGGAAGATGGTGATGAAGTCCAAAGTGGGACTTGATGATAGACGGGTCCCTTTTCCTCATATGGTTAGTCGTATCAGCCTCCCATACAACATCGGAAACTGTCCCGACTTCTATCATACCCCGCTCGACCGGCCCGAATGTTGCTTGCCGTTCCATATACTCAACTCGTCACCAAAGCTCATTTATCACCTCCACCTCGCCGAAGGAAGCGGCAGGCATTACCGGGATTCTAGAAGTCTTCCATCACTCGACAGTTATGGAGCTCATTGCGGCAGAGAACCAGGGCAGCTCAAAGAAACGTGCGCCCAAAGCGTAAGTGGTTCTTCGCAACCAGACCTCTTGTGAGAGCGCTGACCTCTTGTTTCGAAAGTTGTCGACGCTGTCGTCGCCAGAAGATCAGGTGCACCGGGTCCCGTCCATGTGAAGCTTGTGCCAAGAGGAAGTTGACATGCCATTTCGATGACCACGCGCAAAAGATTCTGGTGACAAGAGGGTTAGTCGGCGCTGGTGCTTTACAACTTGTCCCTCTGGCTAAAGCTTTACAGTTACATCAACGACCTCGAGAAACGTGTGGCTTCGTTTGAGCAACAAAGCCGAGGGACCACCGCCGCCCCAGCTGCGCCAGACGAACAAGGAACTCCTGACGAGACATTGGAACTAGGTAAGCATTGCGGTGCTCGTTGCGTATCACCTTGTCCTGACCACTACAAGAGGAGAACGACGGAACCGAGGACGACGATCCCAAAAGCAGTAGCGCTGTTGAACATAATCAGATCACTTTAGACCAACCAGACATCTTATATGCTCAGTCACTACCCAGATCACAAGACAACCCTCGATCTCTTCGGAGTTCCCCAGGGGCATCACTCATGAATCCCCTTGCGCTTGGGTTTCCCAGCTACTTTGCCGACACAAGTGGCAGACCCAGTAAGTTCTATATCGTGTTGCCAGGCTGCGACTTAACTTACTAAACACTTTCCCTCAGTCTACTTAGGGACATCGTCCAATTGGTCCTTTGGGCGAAGAGTCCTTGCGATGACCCACGAGAGAGTGATGCGGGCACCTCTCCCTCCAGACAACTTGCTCTTCGAGGGCAAGTCCTACGATCTCGGGTGGGATGGAAAGAGAAACACTTCGCCCGAGTCCCCGTCCGAGGCTCCAGCCCTTCCGTCGGCAGATTTCGCAATGTACCTGATCAATGCGGTCAAGTTCCACTGCGGGCAACTCTTCCATCTCTTTGAGGAAGACAAGTTTATGCAACAATTCTCTCAGTTTCATGAAAACCCCAACCAACTCCCCTCCAGTCTCTGGTTTATCCACTATCTTCTGATCCTCGCCTTTGGGAAGGCATTTGTGGTGCAAAGCAACAAGGGTCGCAAACCTCCGGGGGCTGAGCTCTTCGTCCACGCGATGAAGCTAATGCCGGATCTTGCATTCTACAGTGCTGATCCCATCGAAGCGATACAGGTTCACTGCTGTGCCGCTCTTTATTTGCAATGCCTCGATTTCCGTGCAGCCGCATACCGCATAGTACGTTTCTCTCGAATATTTGTCTCGATTATGCTGACGCGTCTCAGATCGGTCAAGCCCTGCGCACGGCTTTGGAGAATGGCATGCATACAGAAATGCGGAGCCAACAAGTTGACAGTGACTTGGCACAAAGGCGTCGCAAAGTCTGGTGGACAGTCTATGTCCTGGATCGTCAAATGTCATCGCTCATGGGTGTACCGATGGGAATCGCGGACGAATCAATATCCGCAGAGTTGCCCACCTTCTCCGGGCAGCCTCAAAGATCAACGGCAATGAATATCCAGATAAATCTGTCCAGAGTTTTGGCACAAATACTTAATAGTGAGTGGGACCCAAATTGATTGCGGTATGCGATGCTGACAATGTACAGCTGTGTACGGAGCCGAAGGGCGGCTAGACAAACGCTTCCTGACCATCACCAAAGACGCCCTGAAAAGTGTTGCGAATGTTACCGACCAACTGAACGACTCTTTCGAGGTTCTGGGTAACAGCTCCAAGACCAGCATCTCAAGGCTCTCGGCGTACCTGCACCTCCTGTATCACCAGGTAAGTCTAGCAGGATGAGTTCACTGAATTCTTTGGATATTCTGACGATTGTCCAGTGCATTGTGCTTACGACGAGGCCGATTCTATATACATTTCTTGAATCGAAGCTCCGGCAATCCAGCATAAATCTGGTCGAGTTGCTTCAATCGGGAAGCGTGCGGACTTTACTACAAATGTGCATTGAGTCGGCTCAACAGATGATCACTATCCTCTCTGCTCTACAAGATCACAGTCTCCTCGGTCAGTGTGCTAGCAAACACTATAACAACTTGGTTTACTGACAAAATGTTATAGAAAGCTTCCTTCCGTTTGACCTTGACGCCGCATTCACATCAGCAATAGCACTACTGATGGCAGCAACCGTAGATCCATCTTTGCTCAAGGACTGCTCCCCCTGGTTACAGCGCGCACATGCAGTTTTCGATGAGATGATATCTCGCGGCAACAGAGTCGCCAGGATGATCAAATCCGAGCTTCAACAGCTGGAAAACATCCTCAATAGACTTTCCTCCAACGAGGAAAACCAACCTGTCATCTTTACACGCCACCCAAGTCTTCGTGGTTCTCTGGGGTTTGATGACCGCCACCCTCGCGCCTGTGCTACAGCTCAGCCATCACTGGTATCGATCGCGCCACCACCCTACACTGCGTCCTCGCAGCCAAGCAGTAATGACTTTCCCATGGACGAATTGACTTGGCAGGATGGGATCACGGCGGAGCAGCTTTTGAATTTTGCAGATTCGATGGATTTGACTGCTTTGGACTGGTTGTCCGCGGAGGCAGGACAATAAGTCACGTTCTACCATTTACTTTAGAGATACAACCACAGACGTAATACTCCGGTCTCAGGACCAAGAGCATATCCTAGGCTTTGCAGTCCGAGCAGAACCGAGACCCGGTTTCTGCCTCACATATATGATAGCGAATGATCAACAAGTTTCAATTTCTCCGAGTCCCTGGAATACCTGTGCCTTCCGTAGCCATTCTGGAGAAAATGCCACCCGGCAGAAGTCGCCGGACGAGATCCGCCAAAGGCGTAGGACCTGAAGTGGGATCCGCTACTATACCTTGTGTAGGTAGATCCACTATCGGGAGGGCATCCGATGTTTTCATGCTCCCAGTAATGGAATGGATCGAGTCTGGAGTATACTTCCCTCTATAAAGATACATGCTGCTGATGGCATCGAGGCGATGGAGAGGGTAATCATTGTTAAATCGACTCTCCTCACTCACCATGGCTCTACAGCAAGCACACAATTCCAATGACCAGGCAGAAGCAAGCAGCTACCCGACTGCTCCGCCAGCGGGGTGCTATGTACCGGCGGTGACATTTTTCGATCCTGAGTCGGACCGACTATGTCTCGACGCTCAAGCAAAGTACTACTCGTACCTGGCCAGCACGGGACTCACGGGACTTGTCGTCCTGGGGACCAACGCAGAGACGTTCCTGTTGACACGCGAGGAGCGGATGACTCTCCTCCAGCTGGCGCGGCGATCTGTTCCAAAGGGATATCCTATCATCGCCGGCACGAGCGGCCACTCGACGGCACAGGTGCTCGAGTTCATCACAGACGCATACAGCGCCGGCGCCAACTACGTGCTGGTTCTCCCCTGCGCGTACTTCGGCAAGCAGACCACGCCGGCGGTGGTCAAGAGATTCTATAAAGAGGTGGCCGCGAGCTCTCCCCTGCCCATCCTCATCTACAACTTCCCGGCGGTTTGCAACGGGCTGGACCTCGACGCCAACATCATCACGGATATCGCACGGGAGTCACGCAACATTGTCGGTGTGAAACTGACTTGTGGCTCCGTGGCAAAGATCACCTGTCTCGCTTCTAGATTTCCCGCCACCCGTTTCGCAGTCTTTGGGGGACAGTCAGACTTCCTGGTCGGGGGACTCGCTTCGGGGAGCGCAGGCTGTATAGGATCATTCTGCAATGTCTTCCCCAAAGTGGTGGCCAAGATCTACGAGTTATGGTCCAGTGGACAGTACGGCGAGGCTCTCGCACTGCAGAAGTTGGTTGCATCTGCCGAGACAGCCACCAAGGCAGGCATCGCCAACACGAAATACGCGGCTGCCATCTTCACTGCTCCCAAGGCGGGCATCGCGGATGCTGTGCGTTTGCTCAAGCCTCGGAGGCCGTACGAAGAACCGACCGACGCTGTCAAACGGTCGATCCAGACGGTGATGGAGGCTTTGAATCGAGAAGAGAAGGACATTTCGGTGAAACCTCAGTCTCGTCTATAAAGAGACAACCACGGGTAGTCGACCTAAAGAAACTTGTGCCCATCCGCGGAGAAACGCGGGTTAGAATGAGTAAAAAAGTCCACAAAATGTTAGATATCAATATTATTTTATTGCCCCATACAAATCATGAACACTTGCCTCGCTATTAATTCTCCTCAGACATCCCCTTGGAGTATTGCGCCGCGTACCTGACAGCATCCGAAATCCCAGCTCTGACCTGACCCCGATCCAACTGCAGGAGCGCGTTGATGGTGATCCCCCTGGCGACGGACATGGATTCCTTCAGGGACTCGATGGTCATTTGGTCACGCAGGAGCGTCGACGCGCTGCGGAGGCATTGAGCGGCGATATTCTGAGCCACAGGCCTCGCGATACCTTCTGCGACACTCCCATCCACGATGGCGTCGACGGCGACCACGGTCAAAGCGTGGCATGCAGCGCTCACCGCCGTTGCCGTGTTGATGAGATTCTCGGGAACCATCTGGATAGGGCCGACGCGGCGAAACAGCCACGAGACCAGGTCCCGGTCGGGGCCGGAGAGTGGCGTGTCGGCTATGAGAGTCATGGATTCACTGATCTGCGCGCCAATACTGGGTATAGCGCGAGAGACACGGTGCCGTGTGCTGGGCGATATGATCACCGCTTGAGCAACTTGCGAGGAAGAGACCCCAGCCAATATGGAGACAAGCAGCTTTCCCTCGAGGGCTTGGACTAAAGGGCCACCACTGTCCATAATCGTGGCGAGTTGCTGCGGCTGAAAAGCCAAGATGACCACGTCTGCACCGCGAGCCGCATCGGTGTTGTCCGAAGTGATAATGTCCACACGATCTTTGTGCGACTCGAATTTTCGCTGCAGTCGATTAATCGAGTCGCTGGAGCGGGCGCTGACCGAGAATTTGAGGTCGTATTGGCAGGTATCGTCCAGTCCGTCGATGATGCCCTGGACCAGTGCGGTGCCCATGAACCCTAGATAGACCTCATGTCAAAATTGGGGACTAGCATTTGTGCGTACAACAAACATACCACAGCCGAGGACGGCGACGCGGAGGGGTTTGGGAGTGGATTGGATGGCCATTTCTGCGCGCAAACAAGGACAAGGTCTCTGGATTTTGACAATGGATCACAGGACTTTGACAGTTTACCAGTCACGTTTAGCAGTTTGCTGTCTATATTACCACCGATAGGTTTGGTTCGTCGTGATTGAGTCACGGGGATATTGGACTAAAGACGTTACACATGGAATGCCAAGGCCGGTTACGTATCCGAGATATATTCTATCGTGTTTGGACATTGTCATGATCGTCATACACAAGATAAGATACCAACTATACGAGGTTGGAACAGAGCAATATTTTGCGAAGCATCCCCCATCAAATATACAAGCAAGAAAGAAACAGACCTAGGAAAGCCTCAGGCATTGTTCTGGCATTGAGAGCATCCACCCTTGGCCACCAGCCTCTTACTTCCATTGCCCGCAGAGACCTTCCTCAGCCTTTGCCAGCACAGGATCCTTCTCCGGCGCGGCCACGTTCCATACATCCTCATAGTGACCGGCGCTCTCTCCCCCTTCTGCAAAATCCCAAGCTCCGCCTTCGGGGTACGCGCCGATCATGGTGAATCCATCGAGTTGCAGCTTCTCCAGAGCACTTCTTACGTCTTCGGCCGGGATGTTATGTCCGTCGCCGGGGGTGAGCAGCTTGAACTCGGCCGCCGGCTGGGTATCGAATGTCTTGTGCGCGACACCGGCAGGGATGACAAAGACATCGCCAGCGCTTGCCTGCAGTTCGATGCCCCCGTCCTCCTTGCCGGAACCGTGGGTGTTCTCGTCCGGGTCGGGAACCGTGTCTGCCACCCCAAATCGGATAGTCGCCGTCCCCGAGAGCACGGCCATGCATTCATGAGTCGCCGAGTGGTAGTGAGACGCCTGGGTGGAACCGTAGCGGAAGATCCACTGGACGCGCCATCCGTTATCAGAAAATGCGTCGTAGGCCGCCGTGGTGATGGAGGGTGACGAGAGCAGAATCCCAGGATAGTGGAGGAGCGGTCGAGGAGAGTTCGGGATGAGCTCCGTAGGTGGGAGCTGGTACTTTCTGACTTCAACCATCGTGGTTAAGGAATCGAGGCCACATAGAGGATTGCAGAAGTTATCCAAGGTGTAGGGGCAGGCTGAAGGAGGAAATCAAATGCGGATTTTATACAGATGCGGGGACAATCTTTTTCGGGTGGCGAGCCGGACTCGAAGGGCGGAGGGCATTAAATGTTGTAAAATAATACCCAGAAAGGCAATTTATCCCGATAATTATTATTACCAGTGTGCGGAGTATGCGATGTTCCCAACTGGTACTTGCTAATTATTGACGACACATGCGGAGCTAGATGAGATGCCAGTGACAATGTTGATGGAGCACAGGCCACAACAGCTACACAACACGCTTATCAAGTACAGGTTCATGTTGATTACATACATTCATTATTCATGGCAAAGCACCGTCTACGGTATTCTCTATACCCCTGAAATTCCTATGCAAGAAATCGCTTGACATTCTCGACCCTAGATGCACAGTTAGCATTTCCCCAGAACAACACAGAGAACGTGAACGTACATCGCAAACGTCCCACCCGAAGACAGCATCGTCCTCAACAACGTTGGGCCAAGACCGCGGAAGAAGGCTCTGGATCCTCCACTCTTCCACGTCTCTACTGTAGCTGCCCAGGCATTCTCGTAACGTCGATGCTGGCCAAACCCGTCGCTCTGGAGTTTGGTCTTCACGGTATCTAGAGGATAGCTTCCCACCCAGAATGCTATCCCCGACAAAGCACCACACGAAGCAACGATCCATGTAGGCAACTCGTTCCGCTTCGTCTCCTTGGCTGCGGCAATCGTCCTCACGCAGGCTTCAAAGGTGGCAAAGTATAGACCGTATGCTTGAAACTCTCTCAGAATAGCCGTGTTTTGTCCTCGAAATAACCCTCTGACGCCAGCAGTACCGGCTATCTGTCTTATGCAGTCCCATGGCCCGGCGTAGAGGCGGTTGGCACCATGCGGCTGCGTCTGAAGCCTGGTTCTGATGTGTTCGACAGGGCCTGACACCACACTGTTTGCAATCCCGGCAATGCCACCAGCCAAGTATAGATCTAGAAGGGTCGGCTGCTGTGCGGCTCCTTGAGAATCTCTCGCTCTCAGAGCATTCAGCGCCTGCGTCGCGCTGTGAAAGACAGAGAACTGAATGCTTACTGCCGCTCCCACTCCTAGGAAAGGTAGCAGAGCACCCTTCAGAGATGGTCAGAGATAAATGCGTCCGAACGTACAATATATCGCCATCGCTTACCTTGTAGAATGCTAGTGGTCCTTCATTTCTCAGAATTCGGGAGACAACTTGGACGACGTTGCCAGAGCCATGAGTCTGCAGTCGCACCTTTATCAGATCTGCACAGAAATAGGAACATGAGCATTGTGGTTGGTAGTTCCAGATGGTCATTCCTCACCAAATGGTTGACCTGTTTTCCAGAGAACAATCAGCAATCATTCCGACTTTGGTGTTAGCAACTCACCAAGGAGAACAGAGACAACGCCTCCAGCGGCACCGGCTATTGTGTTTGTAGAAGTATTTCCAATCCTCGTAGGTGGTGTTGCGGCCGTCATATTATTCGTGATTGTAGGGGTGGTCAGGGTGCAGTCGACAAGTCGCTTCTCTAGTATGCTTCGTTCCTGTTCAGAAATCTAACTTTAGGATTTGAATGTATGGGAAGCACGTATCATGCCCCAAAGGCCTTCATCAAGTCAAATGCGCATTGGTTGGCCTATAGCCAAAATGGTCAATTCCCACATGTAGAATCATTCTCTTCATTGGGACTCCAACGTCAACAGCACATGGAACAGCAAAGAGAATATAGATCCGGACCCGTATAAGCCGATTATGGCAAGTATTCGGAGCGAATGGAAAAGGTGAGGTTGGGAGGAGTCAATATCGGGAAGGCATCCGATCCGAAGAGTAACATCCTCGTATCGCTCAGGATCACAAGAACATACCAATGAAGTAACGGAACACGAAAAGGTGGATCTTGTCTCCAATATCATCCTCCAACTATTTAGTAGATTTACAAGGAACAAAACCACAAAAGAGAAATTCACCACGTATTGTGATTTGAATAGAGAGAATGGCTTCGGACAAGAACGAACCCATCGCGATCCTTGGGGCGGGAGCTTGGGGCTTGTCGACGGCCTTGCACCTTTTCAATGCGGGCTACACAAACATCACAGTCTTCGACCAGGCCTCCGAGATACCCTCACCATATTCTGGAGCATACGATTTGAACAAGATCGTCCGAGCAGAGTATGAAGATAACTTCTATACAGAATTGGCACTTGTAAGTTACTTAGCCATTCCGCGCGAAGCCGGGGCTCTGGACCAGTACCAACCAAAGAAACTGTCTAATTCTGAATCCAGGAGGCCATCAATCAGTGGAAGACTCCCTTCTGGGGATCCAGCTTCCATCAAGTGGGCTATGTTCTCGCAACTTCGGGCGCGGCACCTGAAAAGGCCGTCAAACATCTGCAAGATGCCCTTGTGTCGGTCAAGGACCACCCAGTCTTTGCTCCAGGCATCACCATGCTGAACGAGAACGACGACTTCAAGAAGGTGTATTGGCAGTTTTCCGGGCCCATGCGCGGCTTCAAAGGATACTTCAATCGCCTGGCCGGATATGCCCATTCGTCCAACGCCATGATAGACACACATCGGCATCTCGTTGGTAGAGGAGTCAAGTTTGTCCTGGGACCCAAAGATGGTAGAGCCGTGAAGCTTCTGTACAGCGGCAACGAGAGCTCTGCCGAGAGGCGCTGCATCGGATTCCAGGTGGCGAGCGGACAGGTCCATCAAGCCCGACGCACCATCGTCTGTCTGGGAGCTTCGGCAGCCACGCTTCTCCCAAGCGTGGGGTCTTTTGTTGTCGCCAAGTGCTGGTCGGTAGCTCACGTCCAACTCACGGAACGGGAATGCGACTACCTGCGTGGAATCCCAGTCCTCAACATCCGAGATCTAGGGTTCTTTTTCGAGCCAGATCCCGCCACCAGACTCCTCAAGCTGTGTCCTCTGGGCGCCGGATATATCAACTCAGACACGGGCTCTGGAGTCTCGCTACCTCCTGCCGATCTACTAAACTCGCCAAAGGACTATATCCCGCTTTCTGATGAGCGGAAGCTGAGGAGACTACTTGAAGAAACGCTGCCGTGGCTAGCTGACCGCCCGTTTGTGGAGAAAAAGATGTGCTGGTTCGCAGATACATCAGACTCGGAGTATTGCATTGACTTTGTGCCAGGCACGGGAGACTCTCTGGTCGTCATGTCTGGAGATTCGGGACACGGGTTCAAGATGATGCCAATCGTCGGCCAATGGGCCCTGAAGCTCCTGGAAGACGGAAAGCAGGTCTTGTCCAGGTGGCAGTGGAAGCAAAGTCAAGGCAAAGGGGGGAAAGAATGGGGCGACGAGGTGACCTGGAGGATCGGAACGACTGGGGAGGTCAAGGACATTGTGGCCGAGAAGGAGAAAATGCTCAAAGCACGCCTGTAGTTAGTGTGTTTGTGGAAGGCCATTTCAGGATAGAGAATCAACCCGTCCCCACAGAAATCGACTTAATGTTGCTCGAACGCTGAAATTAGAATGCATATCCGTCATTTCATCGAATTACCTATCATATTCTCTATCGCTTTATTTCGTCTCCTCTCCAGGGTTGTCGATAAGTACGGCTGGCAGGATGGGAAGATACCCCCACTACAACTGCAACGACGGCAGTACCTCAATACTAGGCATTGGGGAGACACCAAGAATTGGCAACGCTACGGATGGCTTCCCGAAGTCTGGAGGAACGAAGGTGATCGCCACAACTCAGCATCGACTAAATCAAATATCCGAGGAGGACTTGAGGCGGGGCATGAATCCGATAACACCCTTGTCCGATGCCCCGCCATCTCGGGCTGCTTATACTTCCAGAAACAGTAATTCTTTTCTTGTTCTCGAATCGCATCTCTTATTTCGTTGCATTGTGCTTTTCCAACGGCCATGACTTCCGTTTCTTGCCCAGACTAACCCTATTCGCTACATAGATTCCGAACCCCCTCTTTCAATGGTAGACACCTGTGCTGGATCATGTTCGTCCAGCATGCCACCACATGACCCAACAGGGCATATCAGTCGATGGGCCAAACTTCCCCGCCTCTATGTACATGGTCACGATGCTCTGCATTATCGTACACCCCGGTGCTCCAGCCGAGGCCTTAGCCCGTCCATCGCTATAAGATGGCTCGAGATGACAACTACTAGTCATTCAGGAATATTTCACTGAATTTTTACCCCTTGGCATGGCTTCCTCTTTGGCGAATACTCTTCGGACTCGAGTAAACGTTCAACAGCCCCTTCGCGTTGCTTGCAGTCAACGGAAGTCCCATTCCTCTGCCCACGCTCAGACAGTGATCAACCATGGAACTACGAAAGAACCGTTAATTCCTGCTTCGACCAATGCCGACGGCACCACCGTGACGCATCCACTGGCGCGTCTCTCAACCTCAAGCCTCCTCCGAACTTTGCTATTAAGTACCTTCTTCACATCCCCGTGGCTCTTCAGGCCGGGGTTTGCTGCATTCGAGAAAATCGCACACTCCCAATCGGCATGGCTGAACCCGGACCGGAATCCACTCGTTCGCGCCATCGTCCATCCTCTCGTCTACAAGCAGTTCTGCGCCGGTAGGAACCGGAAGGAAATCGGCCAAACGTCTGCCGAGATTCGACGGCTGGGCTTCTCCGGGGTGGTCTTGTGCTACGGCAAAGAAGTCCAGGTCGAAGGCGACAAGTTCGTCGGCTACGATGATAGTAAGGCGGCGGTAATGGACAAGGAAATCGAACAGTGGGCCGATGGCAACCTTGCCACCTTGGATATGATCGGCGAGGGCGACTGGCTGGGTATCAAGTAAGTTCTACATGCCGATTCGTTCTCGGGGCTTGAAAACAGAAAATGCCAACAACATGCAGGTACAGCGGCGCGGGGACGAACATCACAAAAGCCCTCATGAAAGGTGACAAGGCCCCGGCCAAGTTCGTCGAAGCCATGGAGAAGATCTGCCAACGCGCTGCCAGCAAAGGTTGCCGGATCTGGATCGACGCCGAGCAGCAAACCCTGCAGGCGGCCATCGACCAATGGACCTTTGATCTCATGCGTCGCTACAACCAACCCGGCCGCCGGGCCCTGATATACAACACGATCCAGGCCTACCTGAAATCCTCGCGTGACAAAGTCCAACACCAGCTCCAGCTTTCACGCCAGGAAGGGTGGCGGCTGGGCATCAAGCTCGTGCGCGGCGCCTACATCAACAACGACATCAGAGAGGCGATCCACGACACAAAGGCCGACACGGACGCCTCGTACAACGGCATCGTCGAGGACCTGCTCTGCGGGAAGTTTCCCGCCATGGCCGACCAAGAGTCGGTAGACCTCGACCTACTCCTCGCGGGTCACAATGCCAGCACCATCCGGGGAGCCGCTCGACTGGCCTCCACCCTGGCAGCCGAATCAAAGCTGAAAGTCGTCCCGGAATTCGGGCAGCTGCAGGGAATGGCCGACGACATCGGCTGCGAGCTGCTCCAGATGGCCGACAACACCAAGCGGGACGGCACCCTGCCTCTGGCCAACACTTATATCCCCAGGGTATACAAGTGTCTGACGTGGGGCAGCATCCAGGAATGCATGCAGTACCTGACGCGGCGACTCGTCGAGAATCGCGGTGCGGCCGACCGGATGAAAGTCGGTGCCGCAGAATTCCGGAAAGAGCTGCTACGCAGGATAGGCATTAGGACTTAAAAAAGACCGTAAAAACCCCTGTTGAGGATAATGCAATTTAACGAATCAACTCTGGGGGCATATTTTGTCTTTTGTTTATACAGATGTGCTGTGGGACCATATCATGAGATAGATACCAGATACTGAGAAATTCCATCACTTCCCAAAGCTGTTTTACAACCCCTTGCCTAAACCAAAACCAAAAACAATTGCCAGCTCAATAATAATGGCCGTGACAAGTGTGTGTGTTTCCCACACTATCGTCCATTGGTTTGGCTTGCTTTTCTCCTAAGACAAACCCCCAAAACTCCTCCTATGCTGTGGTGCGGTAGTGGCGGTGATACAACTCATGTTCTCATCACGATGCCAAACCGGGCAGCCTCCTCCTGCCAAAAGTGCCGTCGAGACCGTTCGGCCTCGAAGCCGGCGTGCTGGTTGCTGCTCTTCTTCACCGTGCCTGCCACAACCCACTTGGCGTACGCTCGCGCTTGGAGGTCGCGGAGAGAGCTGCTGCTGCTGCGGCGACGGTCGGATGTCTCCTCTTCACTTTCGTGGCTGTGGTGGAAAAACGCCATTTTATTTTATTTTTTGGCTAGGAGAGATGGAGAGCTGGTGGTTATTGGATTGTTTGTGTAGTTATTGTTGGTATAAGAGTAGTATATTACACTTGGCGGTATATGTCGATGATTGTCTCGAGAATACTGATGGAGGTACAGGTATCCCAACTTGCAATTACTTGTATGATGATTTGGTGTGAACTTCTGGTCTGACACGAACACAAACGACTATTTGATCCGAGAGGCCGGCTCACCCTTATATAGACATGTCTGTACTATATCGCTTCGGGCACAATGGCATAGACGGAGCACTGTGGTAAACGCCTTTTTCGGCCTTTGTGAGGTATTTTCGGCGCCATATTTGTGTTTAGGTACAAACACCAAAAGAAAAACCGAGGATTGGCTGGCTGAAGACTTGCACTGCCTCCATCAGCGCATATAATGGGCAAAAGCAGGTTAGCGCGTCGCTACAGCTGCCTCACTGAGTATAACTTCCTGTATAACTCGGTACAGCCTTAAGCACCCCCGCGAAAAATGGCTCATTAGGGTCGCTCGGATCGGAAAAGAGTTTGTCCTGCCCGTTCAGCCATTTGACGTCAGAGGGTTACGCAATGTCTTCCAAATAATGCGGAGCGGATGTCCACACGCACACACGCAAGTACAAGTTCGCGAGATACGCGGGTGGAAGGTATCGAGGCATTTCTGAGTTTGACCTTTGTGTATTTTTGTGCTCTGGGGAAACCTTGCTATCACCGGGATATCAATGGAGCGCCAACTTCCGCGCAATGGACAGTCTGACAGCCAATTCATTCACTCCCCGGGTACGTTGAACATACCTGCACATGGTTTCCATGCTGGTCTCTCTGGATATCACTGTCCTCCCTGCAAACTGGATTATCATGCGTGATTCGTCACTCTTCATTCTTCGCCGTACGCCAGGTCATCGTCATCGTCTTCCTTCTTCTCAGCCTGTCCTTTATAGTCATACACGAGGCGGGCTCTTCGAAACTCGCTTCCCTTCCAGACCAGTACTCGCCGAGTGTATCGCCGTTCACCGTTGATCTCTTCAAACCCCCAGTTCTGCTCCGCCTGCCAGCCAGCCTCATCCATGTTCTTCACCCAGCTTTGAACGTGTTCATCGTCCAGAAACTTGGAATCTGTCTGCCCGTCCTTGAGTTTCTGGGCCTGCAAGAACACCGCGTCTTCTGGTGTACCCGGGCCCTCCATTTTGTATTCACCTGTCTTCCAGAATCTTGACTTGCCTCGGCAGTTCCCGAATATGCGATCATGGTGGTCGCGCTCTTGCCAGTCCAGCGTGCGGTTTTCTTGAGTCGTTGAAAGGCCCGAAGCCACAGACGTGATGTCGATGTGGTAGATGTCTTCTTGCTTGTATTCTTTGATGGTAAGCTGCAGGAGGTCAGCCTCGCTGGCCAATGTCATACTGCCCTTAACGTACGACGACCGTAGCCAAGCTGATGGCGGTTCGCGTGAGCCAGCTCAGGCCCTGGAGAGCGAGCATGGAATCGATATCATCTGAAAGGGTTTTGTTCTTGTAACGTGTCAGATTGACCCAGGCCATTGACAGCAGGAATTTAACTACCATGACGAACTTGCCCGACAGGTTGGTGCAAGTGATCTCCGGCGGCGCAGCCATGTCGGTATGATCAGACACCTCACTTTTAGGGATTTTGGGAAGGGACGAGCGGGGTACTCGACGGAACGCTGACCAGGTTTCGACGATTTTCAGGAACGTCTTTAGATCTTAGATTTTGCTTGTTAAGAATGGAGTTGAGGTCTTTACAACTGCAGGGAGAAAACGATGCGCAGCCTGAAGGGGAGGATGCGCAGGATCAACCTGATCCTGACGTGTCACTGAATTGCACGCCGATGAACCACCGAGGCAGCGTTCCCCACCAATTGAAGCTGCGCAAGAGACAATCGCGACTCACTGTCACACCCACAAATGTGTCAGAATCACGGCCCAGGAGAAGGAGTCAGCCACAAAAGTTCCTCACAGGCACTGTCTCACCTTGTATTGAGCGCTTTCGAAACTACGACAAGAAAACATACCCAGTATTGCAGAGCCAGCATGTGAACCCGAATGATCTACGAGGAACATATTCCCATAGGGCTAAATGCTCTAACTCAGCGTTGGCAAATCTTTCCAAAGCATGAACATGCGTATTTCTCAGGCAGACAGATTAAACCAGTGCCTCGTGTCAGCATTCCCTGGTCCTCAAGGAGAAGACGGCACATCCCCGTTACAGAGTGACGAGGCAATAAGATCTCTCATTTGTCCACTCTCCCAGCGAAGTAGTCCACTTGTCTTCTCTATACTTGTCTGGCCTCTGTCCTTCTTCATCAACGAGTCTTCCCATCGGTGCAGTTAATGCATATTGGATCTTGTGCGAGTTGTGGAACCGGGGAGGGGTTTCGCAGTTATACCGCTCTTTGAAAGATGAGCTGAATTCTGTCAACATTGAATGGGTCTGTTCGCCGCTCGTGTTCTTCCAATTCGCAAGAATGTAAACGGACGTCCACCGCAAACTGCCCACGAGACTTTCTCAACTCAACTCAGGAAATGCCTGTGGATCTTTCACAGAGCAGCACAGCCGACATCCACTTATTTGAATCTCAGTCTGCTGTGCTCTCCTGTGTCCACTAACGGGTATCCAAGCGCAGATTTCAGGTCGTACAAAAGAGACTTTGCAGGGGTAGGGGTTTCGGGATGGATACTCCATGGCTAGGGTGTTCATTAGCGTGAAGTGTGAATTGTCGATGCTGCTTCTGTGGACGCATCGTTGTTTGCCGGACATGGAGGACAAATTCCGAGACCAGCATGCGGCATCTGCTTGAGATGGCACGTTGAAGGAAATGTCGTCTCGATCTGGAAATAGCCTTGACAGGATTGTCGTGTCGAAACGAGATCCTGGCTTGGAACAGACGCGGGCTCGGAAGCTGCTGGAATTGTATCTTCCCTCACTTTGATATCGTTTGTTGAACAGCGGCCCGGAAGCGAGGGATCCTCCTGTATTCACTGAATGGCCCAGCTTTCGCAAGTTGGAAACTCTGTTGTGCTCAAAGTCCTCGATTTCAGGGTCCCAGTCGTCACTCCACCTTTTCTCAGCCATTGCCGTCCAGTCCATTGGCGATTTTGACAGATTTCCCTGGCTCTCCCTCCTCTAACAAGTCCTTGTCAATATTCTCTCCCAAGTCTCTTTCTTCAAGAAACTCCCGACCCCTCAATCTGTCAGGCAAATACTCTTGCTTTACCTTTCCGTCCACATAATCTGGATTATATTTGTACTCTTTTCCGTATCCCAATTCCTTCATCAACCGCGTCGGCGCGTTTCTCAAGTGGATCGGGACGGGCAGACCTGCAATTCCGGGCTCTTCCAGAGCGTGCATCGCATTCGCAAGTGCTCGATACGCCCTGGTCGACTTCGGGGCAAGACACAATGCCACAGTGACGTGGGCAAGGTTGATTCTCGCCTCGGGCATACCGATTTTCTCGCACGCTGTGTATGCTGCGGTTGCGAGTGGGAGCAACGAATTGTCAGCCAGTCCGACGTCCTCGCTTGCGATCACAATCATCCGTCTAGCAATGTACAGCGGATCTTCCCCTGACTGGAGCATGCGCGCGAGGTAGTATAATGCGGCGTTAGGATCGGAACCTCGCACCGATTTGTGGAATGCGGAGATGGTGTCGTAGTGCTGGTCACCGGCTCGATCGTAGACAAGGGTCTTTGTGAGCGATTGTTTCAGATCATCTAGAGTCATTTTTGGCCGCCGGGAGAGGTCCATGGCCAACTCAAGAAGGTTGAGGGCAGTGCGAGCATCACCGTCAGCAAAGGCAGCAAGGTACCTGATCAATTCGTCGTTCACGAGGTCCGTGGGATTGTAATTGTCGCGTTCCGCTTCCAGTGCCCGTTGAAGGATCTCGCAGATATTCTGGTCGGTGAGCTTCTGCAAGGTAAACGTCCGACATCTCGATAGAAGCGCGTTTTGCACCTTGAAACTGGGGTTCTCCGTCGTCGCACCGATCAGCGTGACATGTCCGGCCTCGACAGGACCGAGAAAGACATCCTGCTGGCTCTTGCTGAATCTGTGGATCTCGTCGCAGAATATGATTGTCTTGCGACCCGTGAGGGCCAGCTCACTTTTGGCTTCGGCGAAGATCTTCTTACACTCCGCCACCCCCGAAGACGTACTATTGATCTCCACGAAGCGAGAGCCCACCATTCCCGCGATAACTCGCGCAATGGTCGTCTTTCCTGTTCCTGCGGCACCCCAGAGAATCATGCTGGGCACACGATCTTGTTCAATTAAGCCCCGCAGCACGCCGTTAGGCCCCACGAGGTCCTGTCCGCACACCTCGTCGAGGGTCTTGGGGCGCATGCGTTCTGCCAGCGGCGCAGCCTTTTCGAAGGGGTTGTGTTTGGGCTTCTTGATTGGGGGGGCAGCTGCTTCGGCACCATTGTGAGATGGACCTGTCTCATCATTCTTGATCACGGTGTGTCCATTCGGCTGCTGCGTCAACGCAGCTTCAAAGGGTCGTTTCGGTGTCGCCGTCGACGGTCGAGGATCGCTCGGGGATGGAATGGGCTGAGAGGATGAAAAGAAGGAGAAAGCATCGCGTTTGCCGACGGGTGTCTTAAAGAACTTGCCCGGCGCAGGTGTGGATGTGTTGCTGTCATTCTCGATGTACTCGGTGCAGTTGGAATCAATGTGGTCATTGATCGTGGTTTGTTTGACAGATCTGCCGCAGATCGGGCATGCCACCATCATGGGTATGTCATACTTCAACGTATTACAATGCAGATATCAATGACCAAGTTGAGCGCAAGATGGGCCTGCAACGGTGGTGAAATAGCCTGCGATTGTAAATCATTGGGGTACTTAGTACTCGGCACATCGCGTTGCGCGCGTTCAGAGACCCCCACTCGTGACGAGGCTGTGCATCCCCTTTAAAAACGCCTACAAGCACAATCCATGATGGCGCGTCTTGCCCAATCCTGACGCTGGATAGGTTTAGTCGAGTAATCTATAACAAACTTCCATGAACATCGACCAGTGACAAATTGTCGACGGAAATGCTGACGTCGAGGAAGGCCAGTGATATTGATGATAGCCTATCAGAAGCAGCCGTTAATCCCGCCCGCGGATTCCTGTGGGATGTTTCACCACCTTTTTGGCCTATACTACTGTATCTTTACATTTGCACAATCTTCTAGTCTCCACCCCTGGATGCCGCGAACAGAGCATTACCATATTCTCCTCCTTAGGCGATGACTCCCCCTCTTCTCGCAGCCATGGTGTAATGCCGCTTGCAGGCTATTAAGCACCATGAACCCCATGAGATGTCAGGTTTAAGTACGAGGAGCTTCCTCTATGAAAACGATCCCGGTACTCTGTTTCTGAGGGTAGTGTCTTCGTAGGCTTGTGTAAATCGGTCTTCGAATTTACAGGCTATATTCGTTAGAGATTTAGGTTGAAATATGTTTCAACATGATCTCGCAGGGAAGAGAAGTTCAAATGGCCTCTGCTCATCAAAGTCTCTCCGATAAGTACTTAACTATAGTCAAGATGGCCATATTAGAGCGGACTAATAATATGGTAGCTTATCCTATGCCACTCGAGATGTAAGAGGACTAGATATCTACAATGTTCACAGCCTTTTTCGGGGTACGGCTAAATACATTCCAGATGAACTGTCAAAAAATGGATTACTACGGAGGTGTGTACCGAGCACTGGTATTCATAATTAGGCTATGGACAGTCAACTGTATTTTTGTTACGCTAGTAGTCGTTCTACAGTTCGGTCTGCTCGTTGTTCTGCAGCTTGGTCAAAGGTAGGAAAAGCGCTCTTCGAAGGTCATCCTCTTGATCGGACTTTGGCAGTTTACACAATCGGCGGTAAGATAGAACTAAAATCTTCGTATCTTCCTCGCCTAAAATAGTCAGACCTATCAAGGTCTGTACTAAGTAGTTGGGCTCAAGAATAACTGGAAGCTGGCCTTCTTTTGGGTTGGACAGAAACACACATCGTCCCTTTGTGTGCTGGAGAAACTTAGGGTTGTCGACTGATATGGTTGGTGCGTATTGATCCAAGCCTGTGAACTTAGCAAACCTGGCCTATGCGCGAAGTTCTTGACGCATTTCATCGTCTGAATCACTTTCCAATTATTGTACCGTGCGACTGAAGATGGATGTCGAGCGCCAAAGTTCCAGGAAAAGTCGCTTCGCACTGCGGGACTTCGCAATGCCGGTTTTCGTGTATGGTGCGATGAGGGTGCCACACTCCGGGCAGGAATTCTCGGCTGACTGAAATGCGCTTTTCCTGCCTCTGGTCCAGAATGCGGCCTGTGGGATGTCACGCGCAGGGGGTCACTTTCTTGATATCGTGCGCGTGAATAGAGGGCGAATGCCCTGGATGCTCGAGTTGGTTCTTCCTGTCGTCCGTGCTCCCGAAGGATATGAGAGCGGACTTTATCTTTCGCTTCATCAATGTAGCCACAATCCTTGCAGCCGAAGCCTGTTTTCATGATATGCCGCGTCTCGCAATGTTGGGGAAGGTTATTTAAAACAAATCTCTCCTTGCAGCCATCCCAGGGGCAAGGCACATACGGAGGCATCGTGGATTGACCGATTTGATTCGACCTGGGCTTTGAAATTCTCGGTTCATGCAACAATCGAAAAGGGGTCAAATGTTCGCAAGTGTTTGTGCGCATCCAACCTCCTACGGTCACTGTACCATTCACTGCCTAGTTAGATTCACTGTCCCAGGCAGTTGCCTTCTTATGTGACCGCCGAGCGTACAGGTAAGGCTGCGGAGCCTCTGTTGCTCAGTCCTAGCTTCTTCCTTAAATATCATCATTCTTATCAGACTTGCCAGATTCTAATGATTATGAGGCTAAGGCGTAACTTGCAGCTCTCGTCAACTAGATGTACCTTACAGCAGTGGTCGCATTTGTTATTTGCTTGGGACTTCTTGCCGCTGCCGTTGACGTCAGTCATGCCGCCAGATTCTTTCCCAGCCACCTTGGCCTTGAGGGTCTCACCCGCGTGCGGTGGTCACGTAAAGGGATACCGTAGTCTAATACGATCACAAATTGAGTTTGTGATCCTCATGCATTGTAGAGGGTGGAGACTATTGTAGAAAACAAGCACTACGAGGCATTGATGAAAGATGCTGGCACCTGACAAGATCAAAAAAGAACGATGGGGTTTGTCCTGAGGCTTGTCATCATCGACCAGAATGGAGATCGAACTTCAAACAAAACGTCAAAAAATTGAAAACCTCCCCCGGGTGGGCTCGAACCACCAACCTCCTGATTAACAGTCAGACGCGCTAGCCAATCTAGTACTTTGTTAGTGAAAACGTTTGCGAGCGGGTTGTGCAAGAAACAACGTACTGCGCCACAGGGGAATGCTCCCTTGCAATTGTTGGTGAAGACTCTGAGATAAATGTATATATTCTTAGCTCTAGAAGTTTACGCTTCCGGGCTTCCAGGCTTCAATCTTGGCATACTATTACCTAATGTAGTGCCAGCATAATGATCCGACATCTCTAGAATACGCATGTGGATGTTCTCCAATCCAAATTTTCGTCCTGCGTAAATGCCTTCGTCGACATCTTTCCGTACTCTACGATACATTCTTTGTTTAAGCATATTCTAACAGGCTTCTCTGGTGTAAAAGATCAGGCGATTACAGAAGATGAGCTGGGCAGTCGTTAATTGGGTGGGCTACGTCGAAGCTGCTTTACTTTCAAAAGAAGTCGCGAAATCCCCCCCGCCATTGTGGCTGTGCTTACTTGACAGTCGAGGCTCGGGCGAAGTGCGTGGCTCAAACGCTCTCATTTCGCCGTCGCGTTGTGGCGTCCGAAAATTGTGCATGGGCGCCTTGGAGTCATATTTTGGGGCCCAATCGTGCCTGCTGCTGCCTAGGAGCGGTTTTCAACAATGTGTGACTGAGGCTGCTACGTTTGACGACTTCTCGATTATTTCACCCTGTACCTGTCCTTCGGCCAGTGTTAGCTTGCGTTAACTCCTTGACATGCCGCCGCAGCCTGAGGATTAAACAAATGAGACCCAATAGGGATGTAAATGGGAAGAATCGATATAAGAGCTCGAGGAAGAAGACGATAATATACTGATATACGTAAAATAGAATTGGCTGAGAAAGGAATTTTTCGAGTATCTGAAAAATGAGATACCTATTATTGAGGTAGTCGTAGCTCGTTAGCGGGAGAGTAACGCGGCGGAGGATAAGTCAGCGAAAAGGTCGTGGGCGTCGACGGTTCGGGGACATTATATATATAATACTTATATGTATAGCTCCAACTTGGCAAAGCTTCTATAAAAGAGTTTGATCTTAGGCCATATACTTTTTCAGACCCCTCAGTCGGTCCTTTGCGTCTTCCAAGACATCATCGTTCTTACAAACGGCGAATCTCATCCAATCCTCCGCCAAATGTGCCCTTTCGTCCGTGTAGAACTCACTCGGCGGAATCGCGGCAACCCCCAACTCCATGATCAAAAACCAGGACATCTTGAAATCTCGTGGGCGGTCTTTGACATGGTCCGGGAACTTGTAGCCCTCGGGAAGGTTGACCTTTGACAGGTTTGCGAGCACAAAGTAGCCACCCTCAGGAACTGAGTAGGGAATGCCCAGTTCATCGAAGATCTGGCAGAAGCGGTCCATTTTGCCTTTCATCTCTGTAATTTGTTGGTCCCAGAACCCCACTTTGTCTGCCTGTTCGAACCCGATTGCCGCTGCTTCTTGTAAAGGTGAAACACTCGAGTAGCAGATTCTCGTATGTGCTGCGGCCACGTATTTGATCAGCTCTGGAGGGCCGATTAGATAGCCTACGCGCCAGCCGGTCGCGTAGAAATTCTTCCCGGCGGACCCCACGGTGATGGTTATTTTGGCGAGCTCGGGAGAGAGTGTAGCTATTCTTGTGAAGGGAACATAGTATAAACGGTCATACACCTCGTCCGACAGGATGATGACTTTATGTTTCAAGCACAGGTCGCCAATTTTCGTCAGCTCTTCCTTATTCAAAACTTTCCCGACTGGGTTGTGAGGCGAGTTTAACACAATCATCTTTGTCTTGGAGTTAAATGCCTTCTCCAGCTCGTCAAAGTCGATGGTCCAGTTCGCCGCGGAGGATGTTCGTTCCGCGCCGTCTGCGGGTGGGTGCATGGGGACATATCTTATTGTTCCGCCAGGCATCTCAATATTACTGAGATACTGGTCGAAGAAGGGTTCGAATATGATCACTTCGTCGCCTGGTTCAATAAACCCCATGAACGCACTCAACATGCCTGCAGCCGTTCAGTATTGGTTCATCCTGGATTCTCCATGACTCCTACCTTCATTGGCCCCCGTTGTAATGGTGACTTCGGTTTCTGGATCCAACTTTCGTCCAAAATAGGGAGAGTATGCATCGGCGAGGGCCTTTTTTAACCTCGGCCGGCCTTTGGTAGGGGAATATTGATTGCACTCTACTCGGTCAAGCGCACTCTTCGCAGCGTCGATGATGAATTGGGGAGGATTGTAGCCACTGTTGACCAGGTATTAGTCCTCGAGCCTTCCACAATGGGGACGAGCAGTCATGTCGGTGCGTGTGCCTGCATACTCACAAAAACCCTTGGCCCATGTTCACAATCGGCTGCACGGGAGACGCTGCGGCGGCCTCGTTAACGATAGACCAAACATCCTGCCTCTGCCCCGCGACGCGCTTTGCGGGCGCAAACTTGGCGTCCATTCCGGGCGAGGATGAGAAAGTGCAGCGAGAAATGCGGGTATGGCTCGAATACGTTGGACTGCCTCTGTTAGCGAGCGGTAGCTCTACTCGAAACACTTGACGAGAGGCGGATCGGACTGCTGCGGTGGTCGTTGCGAAGTTGAAGTTCATGAGTCCTGAACACCACAAGAACCTAGATCAAGAAGAAAATCGGGGAAGTGCGACTTGGGAGGATAAAAAGCCATATACTGAGTACCTAGAGAGTGTGTGAAGGGCAGCTGGGTTGACCAGTAAGAGGGGCAGGAAATGATTGCGAGATCGGGAGAAGCAATGTCGCTCTCCATAACCAACTGGCTACCACCCAACCACCCAACGGATGTCTAACCATAATCTCACTTTTCGCCGTTCTGTACTCGGTATTACTTTGATCAGGCTTTGATTGCCAACACGGCCTCGTTTTCTTCGGCCAGACTGGTTCCTCTGCGCATCGAGCGTAGAGATTGTCCTGACACATCAACTGGTAACTTCACCAACAGAGATATCCGATGCTCAAAATGCGGTACCCTCGAAAACTTGCGTTCGGTATATGCCCGCTTCTGTCCCACGGGGTTCCCACCCGGTGTCCACCAGGCCACTAGCTACGGACCCCTGCCGAGCATGCAATAGTGAGGATCTCGTATACAGTATACAATTCAATCACATAATGGAATAAGCACACCTCAAAGGCCGTGGCTCGAGCTCAACAAGAAAGACTCGAGATGGTTGGTAATTTATCATTCATTTCGATTCAGTTCGTCAAGGAGGTCATGTCAAGTGAAACCCCGATACCCAAGAACTTTTGACGCCATATAAAATATGCAGTGAGTTCACCGGTCCGTTCTAACACCCGATCTATACAGGCATAGATATCCCTTTGTCCAGTACAAGGCTGTATATCACTCGCCTCTTTCTGTCTGTACAGTTTTGTCGCCACGTACCTCCTTTATGCGTACCTCGCACTTTCCCCTCGCTGGGGATAGCCATCCCAACCACCGTACGCAGGCGGTGGTTGAGGAGGGTACCAGCCATGTGGCGAGGTCATTTGTACAGGCGACGGTTCCCATCCGCCGCCATATCCACGGTCTCTCATCTGTGGGGGAATTTGAGGTCCCTCCCAGCCGCCACGTTGTGCCCCTTGAACTCCACCTCTATTTTGGCGTTGCCCAGGGACAATGCCATTCAATTTCTTTCCCCTTGGTCGTCTGCATGCCCTGATGCAGCATCCCAGTATAGCGAGGAGTATGAGGCCTCCAATTGCGCTGGATAAAGCAATCACCAGAGTTTTGTTGTCATCAATCCACGACTTGACTTCGCCCCCAATGGAGCTGCCCCTGCAAACACCATTCTCGCATCGACCACCACCACCGCACGGGGTACCATCGAGAAAGTTTTGTTGCATGCTGTAACAGACGTTTCGTCCAAAGTCTGGACTAGCACAACTCAAACTGCAGGTTTGGCTGTTGCAAGCATAGGTGTCATTGTCGCTCGTGTAGCTACCCATGAGAGTCTTGCACTGGAGGTCTCGACTCGTGCACTGGCCACTGGCACATTCAAGCCCGCTGCCGCAGTCAGTCCCGTCGGGTGCAGTGGTATCTGTAGGGCATGTTCCATTAGTGCCAGAGCATGTCTCGGCAGGATCACATTGGCCAGTGCTAGCTCGGCAGACAGTCCCAACAGAAGCGAACTGGCAAGTCGTCGTACAACAGCCCTCGTTGCTGGGATCGCAAACTGCGCCTGTATTGAATTTGCAAGTTGTGGGGTTGCAGCAGCTGTTCCCAGCACAAGATTCAGTGCCACCACAATCACAGTCTTCACCTTCCTCGACAATACCATTTCCGCACTGGTTGCCGCTAATGGTAACGACACCTTTGTTGTCAGTAAGACACTGCGACTGGACGGAGTTGCGGCCTAAGGCGCTGCAAATATTCCCGACGGAGCAGGGCGAGAATTTACTAATGTCTGGTGAAGAGAAGGGATTCATCATGTATTGAGCATTAGCATCGCAAGTGCTGGAGGACAGCGGGCAGCATTGGCCGGAGTTGACAACGTTAGAATCGCCGCAAGTGCTGGAATCACAATCGTGGACGGCTCCAAAAGTATGTCCGCTTTCGTGAGCAAATACTTGCCACTCACTCGATGTTTTCGCGATGACATTTGCGCCAGTGACACTCTGAGAGTTGCCGCTGGTGTCTTGCTGTGAAGTGGAACCGTGATTACACAATTGTCCAAGCCAGGCCAGGCCGACTTCAGCTCCAGTGTTACAGGTGGTGAAGAGAGACCAGTAAGCATTGTCGTCGCCTCGTTGACCACGCCATGAAGAGAAGAGGTTGAGCCGTTGTGTAATATCGGTGCTGCTTGAGCAACCTACATTCCACGCCGTCTGAGTGCTTGGTGTCCCTGGACATTCGCCGTCGGAAACAGTCAGATTGCGGAGACCGAGAGTGATGTTGAAAGTAGATTGGTACAACTCAGAGGCAGTATTGACCAAGCTAATAACGTTTTGTCGCAGGGTGTCGGTTGAGTTGAAGCTCGCGGTATATGTACAATCGGTAGCGACGCCGACCAAGGCGACTTTGCGAGTGGTTGGACAGCCTGCGGTACTCCCGATGGTAGAAGCCAGATTGACTCCAGCTGAATTGCCTGAGCCCACTCCGCCGCCATCGATGTTGCTCTGACGTTTTTCAAACATATTGGCAATGGACATGGCGCCCATGTCTCCCCAGAAGCCATCGTCACGTTTGAGCATCAAGTCGCGGTAGATGGGATGGTCTGGATGAGTATTGAACTCCAACTTGTCAGAAGCACAGGTCAGGCCCGCGCTCCGTTTCAGTTCCGTATGAGACTGTCGACTGACATCCGAATCACGCCAGACAGCCATATACTCATCTTCATCTTCTTCCAGTTCGGGATCAAGCTCGTGCTTGGTGGCCATGTAGTTTGACTTCAATTGGACATTGTGGTGGTTACCCATGACAGTGAAAGCACCCTCAAAGAGAGGCTTGACGCCATCGCGCCTGATAGCAATTCGAGCCCAGCCGACATGTCGGTTTACTCCGTCGTCGTTAACCAGAAAAGCCTTACCCTGGTAAATCTTGTGTTCCTCACGCTGCATTTTCTCAACGTGTCTGATTTTGCCATATTTGTCGATATATTCAATGTAAGAGTCTTCGTGAATTATGTCATGGTTCGGCTCCAGGCTCAGTCGAACATGCTCTGTGTTCTGATGTAGGTCGAAAGTCAAGTCGAAGCTGGATGTACAGTGCACCCTTTGTGATGGTGTTTGTATTCGAGGGTTTTCAATTAACGATAGGTAGTTTAAAGGATTCCGTGATCGAGAGTGTGCATCGGCCGTGCTCGCAAACAACAGCAACAGACATGATGCAACGCCCGTGGCGAGATTTTGAAGAAGGCGCATGTTGCGCTTACGGAAAATTAGAGGGAAGGCTGAGGGCGAGGGTGCGTAGGTTGCGGAGAGTGTTTAGATTGCTCTGGATTCAGTTTGCATTGAGATGGCAATCCAGGCTTCCAAAAGGAAACGTTATACAGCAATTGTCCGAACGGAGAGTAAGTCGGTCGGGTCAGTCAGCAGAGAAATCCCTCTTACTGCGTGGTTGTTGTGAGCAGGTCGGGGTGGATGTGTCGACGGCGCAGGCTGAACTGCCTCGAGATGTAATTATGCTAGCGAGGGGCAGGAGGGACTGAAGATGGCCTGTGTACTGTACACAGAAGTTAAGGTGGAACGATAGATGTATGTAGATCAAGAAGAACGAATGTAGTTGTCGTATGCCCAGACGGGCAGTGCGGACGAAGGTGCAGTGGTAATGATAATGGGATGGGCGCTGCGAGTAACGGCAGAGAAGTGCAACAAGCAGGATGAGGAGGAAACCCGCCGCCTTGCAGCGGGTTGCGGGCTGGGTACGAGTAAAGTCGGTGGGCGCAGCCACCCAAATGATCGGGATCCGGAAAGGCGCCCTGGCGCCCTACCCACCTTTCCCAGCATGACGAGTCGCCAAGGAACCACTAAAGCAATCATTGCCACGCTCAGCAAAACTCCGACCGCTAAACACCCGCAGTCAGTCAAGATTCACTCCAGAAGAAGATCTACACACCAAACAGAGTTCGTTGGTTCTCTATCCCATCTGGGACAATATCTGTTCCCGTTCAAGTCAACACTGACCTCGAGTGTGCCCAATCTATCAATATATGTACCGAGACACAATTCCGCTGTTATCCAACCCGATTTGAGGAATAACCACGGCATCAACAACTAGAAAGAGGTGGTCATATGAGGTAACCCAAGGACTGCGAGGAAAGCCGTTACTCGTAAACACCGATCCTGCGACTCAGCCACTACCAACACCCAAGTGCTTAGCAGTTGGAAGGGGTTCCATTGCCAAGCTCACAAGTTACAGGCGAGCGACTACTAGACCACAATGTCCGCACACTACGAGGTACAAGTACAAGTATCTCGGATATCGGCAGATCCGTTCTGCCCCTGGGTGCCAACGTCTCCCCAAACGCCTCTGAGACAACACTAGATACCCACAATATGAATAGGGACGTGTAATCAACGTTGGATTCTGCCAAGCTCCGATTACTCTGACACTTGCGAATGGCGCCGTAATGTGTCGAAGTTTTGCCTTTCAGCTTTCTAATCGCCCAATACCTATTCCTATTTTCTTCCTGGTACACTTGTTTACTCGAACAAGACAAAACATAACTCATCGGCCTGTATCTTGTTCAAGCCTCGGTCTCGACACCAGGCTCTCTTCCACCGAGCCCTCCTGTGAATCGTTTCTTGATCTTGCTCATTCCAATCTTGGCTTCATCTTTGGCAAACTTGACGTTTCTCGCCGGTGTCCATTGCGACAACCCTCGATGCTTACGTTCCTCCGCTCGTTTTCCGGTCTTCTTCTCGAAACCGCTATCTCTCTTCTGCACAGGTTGGACTGAGTTCGTCGATGTCTCGGTCATGGTTGTATAGCCGGTCTCACCTGTTGCTGTGGTATCAGCACTGGGCCGCCCATTCATACCTTCAGCATGGCCATTTAGGCCATCAACGTCCTTCGGGTCCTTCTGGAATGCTCCTTCCGGAGCATTGGTGGCATCAGTGATGCCCAAGTCTGACGAGTCATCATCAATAGGCTCGTCGTCGTCATCATCATTATCTGACGGGTTATATGGATCATGGGGAGGTTCGTCAGTACCGGGCTCGGCAATCTTTTCATGCTTTTTATTGGTGTAAGCCCTGGGATCATGACTGAATGCCCCAGACCAGTCTTCGCCAGTCTTGCTGAGCCATATGCGTTTCTCTTTCTCCGACACTTCTTGGTGGAGAATATCACGGCCCTCTTTCAGGGAAGCCTCGTGCAGTTCTTGGATATTTTCTGGCACCTCGCCTTGGACAACTCGCTCGCGCACACCTTCGGTCAAGCATGCCTCGAACGTTTCATAAGTCTCCCGACTATTGTTGTCCACGATGAAGTCTCGGTGCGACTCATCCATGCCAGCCTTGAAGCGGCCTCGGAACTGGAGTCGGCCAACTTCCTTCAGATCTTCTAATCCTTTATCCATAAATGCTTTGGCATTCTCTTCGGTGATGTAGTTTTGAACGAGTCGGTTGCCATTCTTGGTCGTCCAAATGGGAATGTCGATTGGTGTTTCTTCGTTGTCAATCAAATTCTGAAGCCAGATACAAGCGTACGCCGCTGCTCCACGTTTGCCTGTCACGTGGAATTCAAAGATGACCGGAGATCGATATCGGTACTTGACAGGTAGACGGATGTGGTTGTTGTTCTCACTGGAGACATCAAAGTAGATGCCATCACCACCTTCATTACTGTTGCATTGTGTTCGGGGGATTTTGCCAACGCTACCACCTGTGCGGAGTTTCAGCTTTGAATTGGCCTTCCAACCTGTGGCCACGATTCTGTCCGAAATGAATTCAAAGGTGCCAACATCCCAGCCTAGCATATTAGGAGGGAGTCGAGTTTCAACACTTCGGAAAAGCAACGAAACCCTGATTCTGCCAAACCCAATGCCACCGTCAAGAGGATACCATCTGGTCACTTGAGAACTCGTGGTGAGTATATCTGATAGGCGAAGGGGCACAACACCCAAGATAGGGTCGTGCTCGCGATTCCGCTGATCACGCACAGTGATTGTGACTATTCCGGACCTCCAGTCTCGCATAAAGCGTTCGGTGCCGGCGTTGAAGATGGGTTTGCTGCTGACGGCTTTGGCTCGTGTGCGGTACACCAGCGTATCATTGAACAGGATTGTACAGTAAGAAGTTGGGAGTTCTGTTTCATTGGTCAGTACGCAAAAGGGAGCAACCAAAATCTTGGGACTTACTGATCGACTCTTCGTCGGTGCCCTCCCCATAGGGCTTGGCTGGCTCAAACTCTTTACCCTTTCTATTGCCATCACTGCCCTTGATGTTCTCGAGTTCGAGGCTGACAATTTGGTGAATGATAACACTGCAGATACCACTAGGCCACAACGGGTCAGGGGGAGTATGTGCCACAGCATCTGCGTCTTCAGAGTCAATAACACCTTTCTCATCTTGGAGCTTCTCGTCGTTCTTAAGCTCGTCCGGTAGGTTTTTGTCTTTGCCATCGGTACGAAGAGCAGGTCGAAATTTGGGTTTGCCAAAGTAGCCCACTTCCCAATGCAGCTCACCCGGCATCTCGCTGCCCTGGTGGGTGCCAGCGAGTTTTGAGATTTGAGGATACATTTTGCCCGGATGTTGAATCATTTTCTGCATTGACAGCTCAACCTTTCCAACTATATCGTCCGCAGAGTTGCGGTCGGAGTCCCACAGCTCCACGCTGAGTTGTTCGTCGGCTTTGATGAGCTCAGGTGTGACAAGAAGAGCTGCGGTTTCTTCCCAAACGGGGTTGAGGTCGTCTGTGATGACACGAGTGCAGTACATTGGCTTTCCATATTTGGAGAAGGATAGGTTGATGTAAGGATCGCTTCCTCCATATTTGCTTCCTCGACGATCTTGCTTGCTGAGGCCGATGGCACGATGGATGCGGACCCACATGACACCCATGGCCTGTGTATCTTTGGTGATGTCGTCTCCTTGCAGCATGGATTTCAGGTCGAGCTGCATTGATTTGGGAGCCACATACATGCTTGCCGCTGCGCCGATCGCATAGTTGACGAAGTTTGATATCAACGGCAGATTGAGGATATTAACCCCCTTCTGCACCATGGGAATGCAGCCGGCTTGAACATGAGGAACTCCCATCAGGGTGAAGGTGAGACTCTTTGCAAAAGGTGGTTCGGGGGTCATCTGCAGCCGCAAGCGGACGGTTCCAACAAGCTCTTGAAGTTCAACGAAAATAGGAAGTGGCACGCCGATGAGCCCTTTGATTCCGAGATAGAAGACAAGGTTCATGTGCATGTTTCTGGCCCTCGAAGCAGCAGACGCACGATTACCAGCGGGTTTGGCGTGATACGCAAAGGCAATCTCGAGATTATAATAATCACCACCTTCTTCGTCTGCTGCCGCCTCCTGAGGGTCTTTGGTCTTCTTGTTCTCTTCATGAATGCTCTTCTTAAGCTCGTGCATTTTGGAGTCAGGTAAAGCGCGCAGACTGAGAATTCGGATTGGGTTACTTCCTTGATCGATTTCGGCCACTCTGACATTGTTGATGACACCCGGGACAGATGCTTGCATGACATCTTCTAGGGTGTCTGCCACAGCGGCAAACATATCCGGGTTGATCAAGCCCCAAACGACGCCCAGAAATGTGTTCATCCATTCGACTGATTCAGGGAGGAGGTTGGCCACAGCCTATTCGATGTAAGCCTCAGGCCATGTCTGGCCACTGAGTGGATGCGAAGACTCACCGTTTCTCCTCTGCTCTGTTCACTGCTCCATTCCACCTCACGGCCACTTCGTACCACCTCTTTCATCCACAACCAGACGGCAGAAGCGAGGCACATGCCCAATGGAATCAGACCCTTAAGAGAGCCGCCGAACATTTTCCCGAAAACGATAATGGATATGAGGATGGCAATGCATAATCCACCAGCCCGATTTTCGAGAAGCTCGAACATCGGCTCATAACTGACTGAAGGGGTCGGGTGGAACAGAATGTTGGTCTTTTCTCCATGAATGGGGACGTCAGAAGTGCTGCCCTCGGCAACCGGGTCTGGAGGAGCAGTGATGTCTTGCTTTTCCTTGTACTCTGGGTTCTTCTGCGAAGGATCCGTCGCTACTGTAGTAGGTCGGCCCAGGTTGGCATTTGGCACTGATAGCTAGTCTAAGGTCAGTCGAGAACCCGCCAGATTGGAGGGAGTTTCACTCATACCTTGGGGTTATCGGCCCTTTCCATATACTCCTTCCCGACATCGGCAATGACCACCTGGTTGCCAGTGACCGGATCCGTTACTGTTTTGCCGCCTTTCTTCTGTTGTTCATTCTTGTGCGGAGTGACTTCAGCCGAATACTTTTGAGCCTCTCCAGCAAGCTTCTGTGCATCGATAGCCTTGTCTCTTTCGGACTTGTCTTTGTCAAGATGTGCAACAAACTCCTTGATGTTAGGGATTCGATTTGTGCCACTCCAGGGCTTTCCCGACTTCTGCTGTTGAGCCTCCATAGTCACCTCCTAAGGGGAAGAGGGCGAGGCCCTAATTGACAGAGTGGTTGTGCCTGAGGCCAAGGATATCGAAGGAATAGAGCGAGAACAGCAGACGTGCAACAGATTAAGCGGCAAGCTCCCGACGACGAGGAAAGGAGTGTGAGAGGAAGAGAGGGAAGCAGACAAAGGGAAACTATGAGAGGAGAATGGTGAGCAGTTTAGCATGGAAGAGACTGCTCCCTTGTGAATTTCATAGTTGGCTGGCAAGCTGCAGTTTTTGGGAGTATGATGTCTGCTCCCGATCTGCTGTGACGTAACCACACTGGCCTGCAACCAAGCCATCACCCGCGACGGGGGGTGACGGGGCCTAACAAAAGGCGTGTGTGGCTTGCCCCAAGCCTGGAAACGAACCAACAGGGCGTCGATACTAGGCTTACCTGGGGGTCCGGCGGGGCATTTCTAGGCGAAACCTCATCGCTTAGCTGGCGATCAAGATCCAAACCGCACACGCCATCGTCAGCCAACACTCCAAAAATCATGGAAATTGCATCAAGCTAAACAGCTTCAGGTCCGAAAGCGTTGCCTCCCTTGCACATGTACTTGTTAGGAAACCACAAGTGTATATCTGACTTTGAGTCTATCTCGATCTGCACACTTACGCCACACTGTGTTATCATAATCCGCTGCTCCCTCGGTTGCTCTCTATTAGTGGCTTTCACCATGGGGGAAGTACTGTTATCTCAAGCCTTGCATCACGAGCTCGCCCATACCTTGCTCCCGCCAATCCATGTCTCTAAAACATGTCCCTCCTGGTCTAGAATTGCAAAGTCGGCGCGTCGACCAGGCTCGAGCCTCCCTCTCTTGCTTTCACCCATCATATCCGCCACGTTTTCTGTAACACACTGCACAGCTTCGGCGAGATTGCACCCGGTGTATGCCACTACATTGCGCACGCACTCGTCCAGTGTACAGCAGCTGCCAATCAATGTATCTGTGCCTTCAATGGTCACTTTATTGCCTTGCTTGAGCTGGCACCGTGCAATCTGTCCGTGCCCGTCGTGTACGCCGTCGGGTAGGCCAGCAAGTTCAATGCTGTCTGTGATAAGGATGCATTTTCTCGGATCGGTCCGCAGACAAAGGGTTACCACTGACGGGTGCAGGTGTATACCGTCTGGAATGATCGAGTAGTAGCATTTACCGGTTCCCATCAGCCCGGCAAGCCCAGGATTGCGATGGTGGAGAGGCAGCATTGCGTTAAAGACATGTGTCAATGCTCGAGCACCCAGTTGCAGAGCAGCGAACCCCTCTTCATAAGTGGCCGCCGAATGTCCCAAAGAGATGACAATGTGAGGGTATTCTTCTTGCAGATGGCCCACGAGCGCGGTTGACCCAGGCAGCTCTGGTGCCAGTGTGATCAGCTTGATTGCGTGCCTGAGATTGCTATCGCCATATAAGTCAGACGGAGATATCTGCGTAGGTTCTTGGAGGTAGACAGCGTTATGCGCTCCTTTCTTCGAGGCGTTGAGATACGGTCCCTCGACGTGTGCGCCTAGCAAGTTGGCGCCCGAGTCAAATGTTTGTGGTTTCAACAGAGGTACTATCTGAAGGCAGAGTTCAGCACGCCGGTGAAAACAGACTGGTTGAAATATGATCTCGATCGCAAACAGACCAGACAGAGAGCAGACGAAGCGAGATCAGCCTACCTGCTTCCACCGGTCCTTGTCTACCGTAGGAACTGTTGCCCACCAGCCCGTCACCCCATGGCGAACTTCCATTTTGCTGACGGCTTCCAACTTGCCTTCGTCGGTCTCGGGACCATCACCCAGGGCCAGTTGCGTAAAATGTACACCCTTCATCCCATTGGTCTGCAGATCTAGAAACCCGGGCGCAATGATTTTGCCACCGAGATCTATTCTCTCGACGCCTTCTTGCCGAAAGTAGTAGTTGGGCGTGATGGTGCCTTGCTCAGTGCTGAAGTACAGATCTTGAGCCACCAATTCTCCCGAGATGCAAAGCAGACAGTTGGTGAAACATTTCAATGATCGGTCCATTGGGGGCGAAGGCTTTGGCGGTGGAAATAAACGTTGTACCAGTTCGTCCGCAAGGATTGAAATCCGAGAAGGATGGTGATGATAAAGCTGAGAATTTTCAAAATTCCTACAGATCAAATGATTGAAGTGTCTCGTCCGCCCGCACAACCATTTCTGCACGGCGCCCAAACAAGTGGCGGGTTCACTATACCCTCCCTCACAATTACATATCTCGGAACTCATACATTTTATGCTTGGAATACCATATCGTTGTTTCGTACATAGAATTCTTTGGGAATATGCATCTTCAGCCGCTTAGACAATCCTGTACCTGTCTGATCTCTCCATTCTCCTCAGACCGATTCACATCCTGCACTGCATCTGCATCTAGAGATCTTCTCGGCCCTTCCAATGGAAGGCTCTGATCTTTTCTGACTTCTTCAGACAATTCCCTCGATCGAGCTAGACCAGATATTGACGAGTCTATAGTCCATTCCCATCTCCGTCGCTTCCGTTTCGAACTCGCAGTTGCGCATTGCGGTGTTTCTTGTCTGCCTCGTTCCAGTTCAGATGAAGGGGATGGAGACACGGCAACAGACTTCCGCTTCCTTTTCTTGCGCGGCGAAACTTCATCCACACGGATTTGGCGGCCTACCTCGCCGTCGCTGTCCTCATCGGTGGAGGTTCCACTTTGCTCTTCACTCTCGGAAGGTAGAGATTCCTCATCGGACGAACTCAGGTCCGCGTGGCGCATGGTGTAGGTCTTTGTGAAAATTTCTTCCTCCAATTCGGCACGGAATGCGACCCTCTTGATCACTGGAAAAAACACTCGTCGACCAGTCAAGCGAGGACTTGCGCTGACAGAAGGTCGGCGAATTTCTCGCGGAAGTGGACTATTTTTCAATATCGAATGGACGCCAAAGGGCAAATTTAGGATGTAAGGATATTCTGAGAGTTTTACAACCGGAGAGCTCGGATGTGCACTTCCTCTTGCTTGCGAATGCGTCGCCGGTGATGGAAGCGTTGTCACTGGTGAAGGTCTGTAGGCAAGATCAAATGTATTATTGAATGTGTTTAATGTCGTTGGGGTCGTGGTAGCACCAGTATTGATTCCGGTCTGGCAACTGGTCGATCCATGAAAGGTCGGAGCGAGATCTGAAGTCCTTAGTGATAGTTTCGGTTTTTTCCCCGGTGAGGGGGGATGTAGAGGTCGGACATTTTCTGTCGGAAACATGGATAACGGGAGAACCGGGTCGAGGTGAGATAGGATATGTGGTATAGGCTGAGCCATAGATATGGCAAGCATTGTGCTTGCTGCAGAAGCCTCTGACAACACTGAAGACCCGCTCATGAAATCGAGAAATTCGCCTTTCAACTCCAGCTGAACTCCCTCATATATCCCCGTAGTTCTTATGGTAGGACCAAGTGGATAAGAGGGATCTAGCGAGAGGGTTTTGGGTTGGGATTTAGGATGGTCGGGGGGTGGTGCACGCGAGTAAGCACGTAAGGGTGAGCTCAACTCCAGATCGTTGGAGCCTTCTCGTCAGTATCTTGGTCACTGGGCCACACCAACTTAAAGCAAAGAATCGCATCCAGGAAAATGCCCATGGGCCTCACATAAGCATCACGACACCTATAAAACCAACATTGGCAGCACCGTGTAAGAAAAGGAGATGGAACGCAGGTCTTCGGGCGTGAGCAGCTGATATGGCTGGAGGTGTAGGAAGGGACAAACAGTGCTGAGTACCCACCGCGTCATCCTGGCAAGTAGCCGGCAAAAAAAAGATGTTCCCAAATTTGCCGCCATTGCCCCAGCTAGGCAAACCAGTGCAGGCGAATCCTGGAGTATTTGGGATCTTGTCCTGCTCTTTCAGGCACCAGGCGGACCTGGTGCTTTTCCAGGATCCGTTGACCAGGTGTCGGCGGTTAGGATTGTCTTGGAGATAATGGAGTAACAGCTGTGGCTTGATTGTTGGGCCGGAGGAAGAGCTGGAGAATGATACGGCTGGTGGACAGGGTGTGCGCATTAGCTTACGAAGTTGGGCGGCTTCATCTTGGCCCAGAGTACGAGATGCAGGAACAGTGCTGGGATGATGCTAGAGAAGATTAGGCAAAACGTGGCCTTGATCGCATATCCGTAGGCGCTCGACTCTATTTTCGGCATCGACTGCCTGACGGAGGGGTGATGGGGAAGAGGCCAGCAAGGCCAGAATTGGCGGTTGAAATGATACTATTGGGGGAAATTGGGGCAGCCCAAGGGGCAGAGGGCCAGATGCATTGGGTGACGGGGTTGATGAGTTTTCAGAAATAGGCGAGAGAAAGTTTGGGTTGAAAATAGACGACGAGGAGTCCAGAGTTCGAGTAGTCAGCACCTCTCACGCATCAGACACCCATCAGAGAGGCGTGAGATCTGCCAAGGTTGTCAAGTAGCCTGGCCCCACGATGCCGACAAAAGTCTGGCCACGGATAATAGTGACTCCGCTTCCGAGGTTAGTGATGGGTGAATTGGGCACCATTTCGGCGTCGCCTTGCTCTTCCAGCTACGTACGACTTCACCTTTATGTCCAGGACAGCTGAGCCACCGATCCACCCGTGGTTGAACAGCCTTCTCTCGCAATCAGAACTACTCTGTACGAGAAATCTGGGCTTTTGGTCCAGCTGGATTCTGGTGGACCTCGCGTCTATTCGTCATGGCTTACGACTAATTCGTGGTACCTCCGGTGCGCAGCCAATGCGAATGCCGGAATGATGTTTTCACAGACCTCGCACCGCTCCAATGGCTGGCTCTCGCTATCTTCCGATTCCCAGGCATCCTCTGCCGACATGTCAATTTCGAAGTTTGCCATCATTGCGTCGGAGGACTCAGCAGCTGGAGACAACGGGATGGCCGACCCAGTGTGCTCCGCTTCCTGTGGGTGGACGGTCACTTTGAAGTCCTTGAGCACCTCATCCTGTCGCCGGAACATCCTTCCAATATCCCGCCCCTGACTTTCTTTTGTCTCAGCTGCTGTCTCTGCCATGTTCGTGGCAGCAACATTGATTAAGCTGAGATTCCAGCCGGCCTGTTCGTGATGTAGTTTTCGAAACATTGGAATCAGTGCTTCTTCGACCAAACGGTGGGCTAGCGCAGACGGGGTCTCATTCAGGCTGAACACAAAGTTCGGCATAGGCCCCGATCGAGAAGTGCGCTGAAAAATGCGAGCTCGTGCTCCATCTGGACCCAGTGCTGGACGAGGTCTTGTAGACAGTCGCAGAGTCCGGGGATGTGCAACCCAGCGACGTTGCGGGATTTCGATATCGCCTCCAACCTCGTCGGTGTCTTCTAATAGATCAATTTGCATGCGGCGAATCAATCTCTCACCCAAAATCTGGAGCTGCTTTTTGACTTCTTCGAAGGAGTGTAGGTACTTCATGTACGAATCCTCCTGGCTTATCTGCGAAGGAATGCGCTTCACTTTCGCGACCTCCGAATCATCAACCCCATGAATCAAGTCCCAGATCTTTCCTCCAATACCTTTTGTTGAGCCTGGGCCAGCCAAAATATCCTCGAGCAGCTTAGATCCCATACCAGGATAGGTGCGGACATCAGCAACAGTCACTGACTCTTTCGTGCCACCATACACTAGACCTGCAGAAAAAGCCGCATCTCGCCCGAGGATATAGGCACGGATCTTCTGGGCCAGCTTGAATCCAATGCCGGGGATCTTTCCTATGTCATGGTCATCAAGGAACTGGGTAACAGTGCTCTCAGCATCGCCAACTCGTTCACATGGTGGCAAAATTGTCGTTTGGTTTTTGGGCTTGTTCACGTTTCCAGCCAACTTCGCCAATAGCTTGTTCATAGCCACTCCCACCGTGGATGTGTATCCTTTCTGGGATTCCAATTCGTGCCGAAGATGTCTTGCGAGATGGCTGCCAAGTACAAGGCGCAATTGCAAGTCTTCGTACTCTTGAGAGACGTGGGTAGAGAGCGACGGACTCGGCGGAAAGGTAGGACCATACACACTCGATGCGTCGTATGCGAAGCCAATCGTAGGGTCGTCTCTGTTCGTACAGAAGAAGGAGTGAGTAAGATCATTAGGATTGAGCAAACCCAGGTTGTAGTCTACCATATCCGTGCAATCGAGCCTGTAGAGCCGTCAGCAGGATGCTGACAATTAGATGACTCGAGCGTACCAGACTTCATCAAAACCAAGTCGCTCTGCCCTCCCACTCCAGATGGACTGCTGGAGGAAATTGTACAGATCCTTGGACGCATCACGAAAACGAGTCAAGTCCTCACCTAGGACAATTACTGCCTCCGGGCACACTTTTTTGGCCTCGGTGATAAGCTGAAGTTTCCGTAGACCCCTTCGTCGTGCTTCGTAGTTACAGGTTACAACAATTTGCTTTTGTTGTATGGCCAGCGGCACCGATTTGAGGGCCGGGTTCTCATTTTCGACAACTGAGGCGTAGAAACAGTCGTAGTCGAAATGAATAATGACTCGCTGCAGGCCATGAGGTCTGTGCATATTAGTATCAAGACCATGGTGGCCGGGCCCAATACTTGAGAGGGAGCACGGCTATGGCCTCATTCGCAAAGACGACAGCGGTGGTGGAACGAGAAGATGCCAAAGTCCACAGGATTATGTTTGTGGCTTTAAGTGGTTAGCGGGCAATGTGACCCGTATGAAGGGAATGCGCCAGTCGCGTCCTATGGCTCGGTCGCGTCAAGTCGATAACAATTTACTGCATCACGTTCCTACGAAATACTATCTGCTTCACTCTCTGCTGATTAATTTCTGCTTAAAAGATTTCACCTTTCATGTCGCGTCAAAGGCAGTCCAGGTGACGGAAGGCGCAGCTGCGCCCACTACGAGCAGGTCAATGTCGAATCCCTCTTTTCCAGGTCGAAATCTCTATGCGTCCTCGAGTAAGCTCCCCGATCGCACGGCGCAAAAGGCCGGAACCACTGTTCCCTCCCAACAGTATCCGCAGTCTACATTTGGGCGACGGCCCGAGCAACAATACCAGTTCGGACAGTCTATCGCGCCCCAGCATGGCGCGTTGGGTGGGAGGCAGAGTATGGAGAAAGAATCGAACGCTCTTAGCGAATTAAGCGAGGAACAAAGAGATGAAATAAATGAAGCCGTATGCACCGAAATCATCCTGCATCTACTGTACGTTACTAATTATCTGCAGTTCTCATTATTCGACCTCGATCGGGACCGGCACCTAGACTACCATGAAGTGCGCGTCGCGATGAGATCTTTAGGGTTTTCTATGCCCAAGCCAGAAGTCGCGCAGATCATGCAATCGCAAGGGGTGCCGAAGCCACAGTTTAAGAAAGGGCCTCCAGTCAAAGGACAACAGACATACCACTCTAGCCAGCTTCTTTTACCACAAAACGCTTTTCAACGCATAGCGGCGCAAAAGATATTCGAACGCGACCCTACAGAGGAAGTTGAACGAGCCCTATTACTATTCGATCCAGACCAGCGAGGCTACATTGAAGTCGATGATATTCGCAGAGTCGCTCGAGAACTGGGTGAGACGGGTCTCGAGGATGAAGAAATACAGGCAATGGTGGAGGAGTTTGACTATGACGGGACAGGAAGCGTTGCAAAAGAGGCCTTTTATGCCATTTGTCTGCAATGAGCGTTTTCCTCTGATTATATTTGATGAAACTGATGATATCCCACGATGAGAACGACTTGGTTGGAATTGGCGGCGTCCAAATCGTTGGAGACATTCCAGCTGTCGTGAATCTAATCAAGCTATTGGTTTTTATGGCCCAGTCTTGACTTGTATAATAATGGTGAGACGGGAATTGGCATGATCGAAGCAATGGTTGAACTAGCTAACACGTAGTGATGACCAGTTGCGCCGCAGTTCAGACGTGCAAACACGGAAAAGATGGTCATGACAATGATTTTTCTGGAGCTCCATGGTACACAAAGTGCTATATACTCTCCGCTGCCCTTCGTCCCAAATAGCTGAGATACACTGAAGAAATTCAATCAAAAGTGCCCCGAGGGTATATCTTCCACATTTATTTCAGCACCGCCCTACCTGTTTTATTCATCTCTCACTTCTTCTTTGACGCCTTGACTGTCTCGATGATCTTGTCAACCACACTGGGATCGCTGAGGGTCGACGTATCTCCAAGGCTGTCCTCCTCTCCGCTCAAAATCTTTCTCAGAATTCTCCTCATGATCTTGCCGGAGCGAGTCTTGGGGAGATCGTCGACGACGAAGACGGCCTTTGGTGCTGCAAACGGACCAATGGACTTGCGCACTTGGAGGATCAGGTCCTTGCGTATCGGTTCACCACTATCCACGCCATCCTTCAACGACACAAATGCATTGACAGCTTGGCCTGTGAGTTCGTCGTTGATACCAACCACGGCAGCTTCAGCGACCCCTTCGTGTTCGATGAGGGCAGCTTCGATTTCTGCAGTCGACAAACGATGCCCAGAGACATTAACGACGTCATCGACACGACCCCGAATCCAGTAGTAACCTTCGTGGTCACGACCGGCGCCGTCACCAGTAAACTATTCTCAACGTCAGTCGATCCGTCCCTTAAGCCTGTCAGGGAGAAAACTCACATAATAACCCTTGTACACGTTCAAATAGGTGTCCATGTATCTTTGATGTGCACCCCAGACAGTTCGCGCCATGCTTGGCCACGGCTGCTTGAATGCCAGCACCCCCTCCACATCATTGCCCTCAATTTCCTCACCAGAGACTGGGTCAATAATCGCAGGTTCAATACCGAAGAAGGGCAGCGAGGCACTGCCCGGTTTCGTCGGCGTCACACCAGCCAGCGGTGTGATCACATGAGAGCCGGTCTCGGTTTGCCAGTAGGTGTCAACAATATGAGCCTCTTCCTTGCCGACAGCTTCGAAATACCACTTCCAGACCTCGGCTGCGATTGGCTCACCAACCGAGCCCAAAACTCGCAGCTTGTGCAGCTGATGGTGGATATGTTCATCACCAGCTCTCTTCAACAGGCGGAGAGCGGTGGGGGCGACATAGAATTGCGTGACGCTGTGCTTGTCGATCACGTCCCAGTATCGGGAGAAGTTGGGGTAGGCTGGCGTACCCTCGAAGACCACGGTCGCGACACCAAGGAGGAGTGGCGCATACACGACGTAGGTATGCCCAGTGATCCAACCGACATCACCACCACAGAAGAAGACATCATTGTCGTGGATATCGAAGACGTACTTGCCGGTTGTTGCAGCACCTAGGAGGTAGCCTGCGGTCGAGTGCATGACACCTTTGGGCTTACCAGTAGAGCCCGACGTGTAGAGCAGGAAAAGAGGATCCTCCGATGCCATGGACTCCGGGGCAATATAGGCGGGGTATTTTGCAGTCTCTTCATGCCACCAGTAATCTCGGCCTTTTGTCCAGGGTACATCCGCACCTGTCCTCTGATAGACGAGCACGTGAGTGACACCCGGGCATTTCTTCAGTGCTTCATCCACAATCTTCTTGGTCCCGATCAGTTTGCCGCCACGCTTTCCTTCGTCGGTGGTGATGACGACTTTGGAATTGGCGTCGTTGATTCGGTCTGCTAGCGAGCCGGATGAGAAACCGGCAAAGACAACCGAGTGCACGGCGCCAATGCGGGTGACGGCGAGGAAGGAAATGACTGCTTCAGGAATCATGGGCAGGTAGAGGGCAACGGTATCGCCTTTCCTGACACCCATCTGTTTTAGGGTGTAGGCTACTCGTGAAACTTCGCGGAGGAGCTCGCCGTAGGTGAGGACACGACCCTCGCCGGGTTCGTCTGCCTCGTAGATCACAGCAGGCTTGTCGGGGTTTTTGAAGGCGTGGCGGTCGACGCAGTTATAGCTGGCATTGAGGCGACCCTCTAAAAACCACGCGGCGTCGCCATTGGCGAAAGAGCCAGACCGAACGGTCTTGAAGTCTTTGTCCCAGTCCAGTAGTTCTCGGGCCATCTTTGCCCAGAACTTATCCGGCTGTTCGATGGACTCCTTGTACAGGGCATAGTATTCGTCAAGGTCCTTAATGTGAGCCTTTCCGGGGCCTTTGGTGAAAAAGGGTTTAGGAACACTGCAAGGAGGTCAGAGCTGCCTGCCGTGCTAGTAGTCGGGCTTTGAAGCTTACTGGAAGGTGTCGACCTCGTGGGCTTCCGCCTGTGCCCGTGGTCAGCGTGAGAAACAACTTTGAGAAGACACTTCGGGGAAAAGGAACATAACAAGAGCGACTTACCACGACAGGGCCCTTTTTGGGAGGCTGGACGTCGCCTTCAGACATCTTGATCTATACGGACTGCTCGGCGACCTTGTTCAATGATAGGAGAGGAGAGGAGAGGAGAGTAACAAGCGTGAGAGGAAAAGTCGAGCTCAGATAGACTCGAGGAGCGGGGAGTGGGTGGGTGTTTATATCGTGCGTGTTGCACCAGTGCGTAACGTCAAAGGGTAGAGAAGCAGGACCCGCATCCAGGGCGGGGAGATCAGGAGGTCTAATATAGAATAGTGCAGGCAAAGCAAACCCAACAAGAAGATGACGATTGAAATTCAACACACTTGGCTTGTACACCCTGACGGTGGCTCTCCATTTCTCCCTCTCTCCTTTCGCTTGCACACACGATTCAATCGCCTGACGCGGAGGAGAAGGAGCTCTCGAATCGCCATCCAACTCACCCCGCAGCGGCGAATCGACGCCCCAAGAGTCCAGCAGACGAGTTTTTGCCCAAAAATCCCAAACCCTCCCGCAGACCCATGCGTGCCTTGTCCCTTTTGAGATGCCGTCTGACGAAATTAACTGAAAATCCTCGCGCGGACGGGGAAGGCTGGAGCTGTTTCGATTGGGTTTCCGGGCCCAGCGATGGGTGCTCCATGGTCGCCGCGCCAATCCGAAGCAGATGCCCCTCCATTTTCCTTTTATCCGTTACGGACGGCGACAAGTTACGGAGGAATGCCATGAAAAGCCCAGTCCATCCGGGTTGGAGCCATGGCCAGAGAATCGCGATCCCTATAGCCTGTCTGGACTTCCAAGCCAGCTTTGCCATCCATGAGTCTGCGCAGATCCAGCGAGCTCTTCATGGCAATCGCCATACCAAGGAACCCAAGTCCATACCCCGCGGGGTCTCTCACGCAAAAGCGTCACGCGTGCCAAAAGAAACCCTCTCGGCCTTGCATCATCGCCCTTGGGGCATGACATCTGACCCTGGACATATGGAATGGGTGGTCCAATGGTGTGCTGCGCGAGAAATGCCCCGGCTGAGTCCAACGGGAGCATGCAGCCTCCGGAAGTCTGCGCCCAGCCGAGGGAAGCCCTCTCGGCAACTCAGCCAAATCCAGGAGACGGACATCGCCCATATTACGGACTGTTCGCGATCTAGATGCAGGCAGGCTTGTCCCGCTTGTTTGGCCAAGCTTGTGGTGTGATGCTTCTGTCCAGTGTTGGTTCTTGTAGTTGCGAATGCCGGACTAGGTGAAAGAAGTAGGTACGCTGGAAAGAGAACTCATCTGACAATAATATCGCCACACACAACAGCTGTAGTTTGTACTTGGGATATTTCCACCCTCAGCTTCCTTTCATCCAGGACGCTAATCCCAGCATGAACACCATAATCGCGCCGTCCCCGATGAATTCCTTGCCCATTTGTATCCACAGCCTTATTCCGCTTTTGCCCGACTGGCCTTTTGATACTGCTCTTGCGCCCTGGACCACTAGTTCTCCGGTCATGAACACAATAAACGGGTTCTGGAAGGTCGCTGGTGCCGGTGGATTCTCACCATACGTCTGAGTGGATTCATGAATGCGGAATACCAGGTAGAAGCCCGCCATCAAGGCGAAAATAACATGCACGGCTTTCCAGAAGCGTGTCGCCTGTATCTCGGCCTGGCTAGGTGGCGCCTTCGGATCTCCCATCACCATGTTCGTGATGAAGGAAGGAAGGCCCGTTGCCTTTGAGATGTCGTCGGGAGACAATCCGGGGCCAGTACCCATCCCACCAGGAGCATTGGGATCTGTTGAACTATCCATTCCTCCTATCATTGTTTGCAGCATCTTCAACATCGGGTCTTCCTCCTGTGTTTGGCCTGGTCCCCCTTGTGACAAGGGCTGTCGCAACATTGCCTTCAAGTACTCCTCCTGCGCTTTTAGCTGTTCCGCCGTCGGCGAGGCACCGGGTCCTTCAGGCGGTGGATCCATCGGTTCTGGAGGAGATCTTGGAGGTGGCGTTGAAACTGGGGTTTCGTTGCGCACTGTGAGTAGAACCTCTTAGCCTGCTTCCTCTGGCAAATGTCCTGTAGGCGCATGTCGCGTGCAGTGTTCGACCTGTTCGACACGACAGATCTGTGCTTAGAGTATCACTCACTGCTTTCCGGTGTCCTTCCACTCAATCTTGTGATCTTGTCGAGTCTTTCTGCCGCTGAGCCTGTGATTTTCGCTTCCCGCTTCTGTCGGCGAATGCGAGCTTGTCGCTGCGCTGGCGTCTCTTCCATCTCAGCCATCCTCACGATATCTGCAGAATATATCCTGTTGCCAACGACTGCGCAAGTCCTATTGCAGGCCTCTGATGGGGTGATCACTCTTTTAGACAGATGCTGAGGAAGATCAGAGAATATATTCGTGTGCGCTTCGTTGCGATCGGACCGATTTCTGGGGAAACGGGGTGCGGTTCAGGAGCGCACAGGCAAGGGTTCAGAGAGGAAACAGCAGGAAAAGAGACAGGTGTGGGTAGTTGGATGTACCCCAGTCACTCTCATTCGGTTTCAGCCTGTTCACAATCGATGCATTGTCAGAAATCGAAAACAATTCGAAATGACGTACAGAGTTATTGGGCGCCTGCTGCACGAGTCAAGCCCGTCAGAGCGAGTCATGTGATCTCGACTTGGCAGCCTAAGTGCAGAGATCCGCAGCTCATAGTGGAGGTCAAATCATCTCCATCCACCTCCCTTGGGGCGCGTTCATCCTCCTCTTATTCTTCTATTTGGTCGAAAAGTTACCTCGAGCGTATTCAGGCGCCGAGTCGTCGAGGGGTGAATCGATCACTTTCGTCCACAGAGCTCTTCTGCCTGCGATATCCCCGGGTCGACTCGAACCTCGTCTTTTGGGCGCGTCACGAATTTCTTAGACCACTTTTCTATTCTCATTCCAATCCTCAATCCAATCGATTCGTCCGCTCTTTTTTTTTGTCTTCATTAATCTCATCCTTCGCTTCCGAAAATTGCGCAAAGACGCGCCTCGATACCCGCCAACATGTCTTTTGGCGGCGGCGGCGGTTTCTCCTTCGGGTCGAGCAACAACACTCAAAACACGGGATTTGGAGGGTTCGGCAGCAATACCAATACTAGTACAGGTAAGTCAGAACTCGGGTCAGGTCAGACAAGGAGGCCCTCTGATGTTTTTCTTTGTGATTCAGGGTTCGGTACAAACACGAGCACTACTGGCTTTGGTTCCAGCACTGCGCCAGCAAATCCATTTGGAGGCAGCACATTCGGCTCTAACACTAGTGGTGTGTGAATCATTCTTTCACTAGGCAAAAAGTCTTGACATTTTTGCACTGCCTGACCTGCGATATCTTCATGTTCTTTGTCCAAGAGTGTTCCTCTCTTGTTGTCGTAAATCTTCCGTCGTAACAAATGTCTCGGTTGAAGACTCCCCAACAAGCGTCCAAGCGACGACTGTCTCCTATCAATTTCACCCTTGTTGATGATACGACTTCTTCATCTTCTATTCAGACCAAAAAACTAACGATGAGTTCTCAAGGTTTTGGTGGCAATACCAACACGTCCGGCTCCCTCTTTGGCAACAAGCCTGCCTCGAACCCCTTCGGATCGACAACCACAAACACAACAGGTGGACTATTTGGCGGCTCAAACACAAATACTGGATTTGGGTCAGGAAGTGGATTTGGAAGCACCAACAATGCCTTCGGTAATAACACTGGGGGTTCAAGCTTCAGTTTTGGAAGCGCGTCGAAACCTGCTTTTGGTTCCGGTACCAACTCGACTCCGATGTTTGGTCAAGGAGGTGCAGGGACAACTGGCGGTTTTGGATCGACTTCAAGTCCATTTGGTGCTGCTGGCAGCGGAACGGCTCTGAGCAATCAACCTGTCCCTCCATCTGAGGGCACCGCTTCCACGCCATATGCGCCCACGCTCGAAAAGGAAGCTGCAGGCCTATCCAGTAACTACCAGAGCATCAACTTTATGCCACCCTACCAAAAATACTCATTCGAAGAGTTGCGACTAGCAGATTACAATGCTGGCCGCAGGTATGGAAACTCCACGGGCCAGGCGGGTGGGTTTGGTTCAAGCACTTTTGGGGGCTTTGGCACAAGCAACACTGGCTTTGGCACAAACACAAACACGAATCCTTTCGGCACGACAACCACGTCCTCATCAGGCTTCGGCTCCAATACTGCAACGACCGGTTTTGGTGGCGGTAATAGCCTGTTCGGAAACAAGCCTGCTGGTACAAATCTGTTCGGCCAGCAGTCCTCTGCTGCTCCTTCTAATACCCTCTTCGGAACCTCCAACACTGCGACAAATGCATTCGGTAGCGGGAGCACGGGGTTCGGGTCAGGAGGGGGTCTCTTCAATCAGAACCAGAACCAGAGTAAGCAAGGATTGTTTAACACCTCATCAAGTACTCCCTCGGCATTCTCGTTCGGCAACGCCAACACTGCCAACACGAACACCGGAAATGGTTTGTTTGGCACTAACACCAATACCGCGAACACTAATGCATTTGGTGGGAATCAGCAACAACCTGGAGGAATGTTCGGGAACAACGCCAACCAGCAGCAGCAAAAACCCTCACTTTTCAACAACACAGCGTTTGGAGCATCAGCAAATCAGAATCAACAGCAAGGTGGTCCCTTTGGCAATAACAACAACGCACCCACCGGTGGTGGCATTTTTGGCACCAACACCAACGCCAATACCGCTACCAGTGGTGGTATATTTGGCACTAACAACAACACCCAGGGTACGTCTATGTTCGGATCTAATGCCAACAATCAGCAGAAACCGGGTGGTATATTTGGCGGGAGCACATTCGGAAACACTGGCACCAATACTGGTGGAGGTATTTTTGGAAATTCCAACAACCAACAACAGCCAGGAGGCTTGTTTGCACCCACAAATACGAACACAGGTTCAGGGTTTTCCTTTGGAAATACTGCCAACAAACCTGCCACTGGTTCTCTCTTCAATACTACGAACAACCAGCAGGGCGGCTTCGGTGGCTCAACTGGTGGCTTTGGAGGTCTGTTCGGCACTTCCCAAAATAACCAACAGAATCAACAGCAACCAGATTTCAAGGTTTCGTCCTTGAATGACCCCAATCCCTATGGGCAGACCTCTATATGGACTGGGCTGCCCGTGCCTACACCGGATAATTCAAAGCCACTTTTCACACCTTTGTCTGCCACCCAGAAGTTGAAGGAGAGTCAATCAAAGCCACCGCCGAGCCTCAGACTCAATCAGTCTCGCTACATGACGCCACCCAGACGATCTGGCTTCGGGTTCTCTTATTCGACCTATGGCACACCAAACAGTGCGGCCAGCACACCTGGCGGAAGTGGCTTAAGTAGCAGCATGTACGGTAGCCGTTCCTTCAATGGAGGCAGCTTCGGCCGCTCATTTGGCAAGAGTGCATCTACCAACAATTTGAGGTCTCATTTTGCAGGAGACGGCGAAGGCGTGCTTAGCCCTAATGCGTTTGCTTCCACAAATACCAGATGGTCAAGTGGAAATATGCGTAGGTTGACGATTGATCGGAGCATCAGAAACGATCTTTTCAGCCGACCTTCACTCCCTGCTTTCCCAACAAATGCTCTCGGCCAGTCAGTCAATGGGAACAATGAAGTTGCCGTTGTTACAAATGGTGAACCGTCGTCGACCAGCGAACCGGCGAACAAGCTGAAGAAACGCGTGAGCTTCGACAAAGATACTACTGGGGGTTCAAACGGGGCGTTGAACGGCGAATCCGGAGCCTTGGTGAGAACCGAGAGTGACCAAGACGAGGCTGATGGCACTGCAGCTAGCCGAACTGTAAACGGCACGGCAACACCCGAGGCCGAACCAGTTCGCGGCAATGAGCTCGCTGTTGTTCCAGAAGATCGCGAGTCTGATGACGTGATCTCCAGGAAGACGACCGTCCAAGCCAAGCCAGATCCTCAACCCGGGGACTACTGGATGAAACCAACTCGTGCTGAGCTGAGCAAGATGCCTCGTGAGAAGCTGTCCCGATTTGTCGGATTCGAGGTTGGCCGAAAAGGGTGTGGTAAGGTTGTGTTCAACGGTCCTGTTGATCTAACCAGCATCCCTCTGGATGATCTCTATGAGAAGATCGTGGAAATTCGTCTGCGATCAGTCACCGTCTACCCTGATGCCAGTTCCAAACCACCAGTGGGCAAGGGCTTGAACGTGCCGTCGACAATTTCCATTGAGAACTCCTGGCCGCGATCCCGGGGTCAGCCTTCTTCTGCCACAAGCGGACCCATCTTCGAGAAGCATGTCAATCGTCTCAAGAAGATGCATGGTACTGAATTCGTGAACTACGAAGTGACCACGGGTGTGTGGACGTTCCGTGTCCCTCACTACACCCGCTATGGTTTGGACTACGACGAAGACGACGACATGGGCCAGAGTCTGCTGTCTGCTCCCCCCGACTCACTGAACAGCGCCCGCTCCACCGAAAGTTCGGGGATGGACGTTGACAGTGAAGTACATGATGACGACGAGCTTGATGGCAACGATGATACATTTGCGTTCAAACAAAAAACTCTACCTGGTGGGTATGGTCGGCAGTCCGTTGTTGACTATAGTGACGACGTCCCTGCGGCTCAGACAATTGAGGAAGGTGCCGAGGGTTCTGAAATGGAACAAGACGATTCCGACTACGAAGACACCGACAACGAAGTGAGCATGGTAGGCTCATATCCTCCACCTATTGTTAGTCCCAGCAAACCGATCCTCAAGCCGAGCACTGCCGGCACGCCCGGCAAGGCGCTCATCAACATTGACGGGGACTGGGCGGAACAACTCCAACGCACCATCAGTCCACGAAAACAGAACCGTGATGCTCTTCGACAAGTGCAGAGCAAAGTCCTTCTGGACCGCACGTACGAACCAATGAAACCGAGTTTTGACTTCAACAAGAATGTCAATAAAGGTGAATTTCGAACGAGTATCGACATTATGAATTCCCTTTTCAGCAGACACGAGGAAAGAATGGCCGAATTGAAGGGAAAGAAGGGAAAGCCGCAGGCTGGTCCGGATTTTGAGGTTTGAATTCCCCACCCCTATTCTTTTCCCTCCCATTCCTTTTGACCTCCTGTGCCTTTGAATCCTGTGGCCGTGATCAGTCGGTTTGTCATGACATGGAAGTGAGGACGTGATGCTCGCATCATTACACAATGTCCAGGGCTCGGAGGCACATGTTGCGGTCACCGATAGCACATATATATGTAGGTAGTTTAATGAGAAACACATTTACTGAAACATTTCATGTTCTAGTTCCCCTATGCAAAGCGCGCGAAGACATTCGAAGACCAAATGCGGGATGATTCCACTGAGCTTGGTGAAAACGATAAGCTCTGGCACGCGAGTTTCAAACCTCATTTCACGTCTACCGGTCAGCTTGTTTACAAGTCATCCAGCGCACCTGGCGACGAAAGGGATTGGATCGCAAAGGTACTGGCGCAAAGCGAAGCTACGGGTCGGGAGGTTCTGATGACTTCTCTCCAACCAGTCAACATTGATAATGTACGGGTATACAAATATGTCCGTGTTCGTCATATTGTCTGACAACTTCATTCAGGTTACTACGTACGTCAAGTCAATCTTGACAGATGCTCAAGTGGTGCTTCTGGACAATGTTCCCCTGGTCAAACACGATGCCATCTCGTTCTCTCAGGTCAAGAATCACCTCATACAGCAGCGCTGTCCTCCCGACGAACTGGACATCTACGAATTACTTCATGTCCTTTTCGATGACTACGAGGACGAGTTTACTCAAGGCCTAAATCGCCAGCAACACCGTGAGTTCGAGTTGCGCATTCGCAAGGATCGCCTTTCGAAGTATTTCTCGGAGCTAGTATGGCGCCGCCACGGCGAGCGCATCAAAGACGCCTCCAAACTCAACGGCGCAACAGCAGCCATTATGCAACTTACGGCGTACGGCACTCATGCTGCGTGTGACGCGCTCATGCAAGAGAAGGACTTTCACCTTGCATTGTTGGTCGCACAAATCGGACAGGCAGATGCAGCTTTCCAGGATGACATGGCTGATCAAATCTCTGCATGGCGCGGACAGGGGGTCATTTCCGAAATGAGCGAGGAGATACGTGCACTGTACGAGATATTGTCGGGAAACACCTGCATTGTGCAAGGAAAGCAGAATGTGCCTGTCGAAGATCGGGCGTCGACCTTCGCCATCTCTGAAAAGTTTGAACTGGACTGGATTCAGGCTTTTGCGTTGTGCTTTTGGTATGGAAGGCACAAGGACGGAGAGATCTGGGAAGTGGTCGCGGATTTCCAGGAGAAGTTGAGTTCAGGGCTTGAATCGGCTACGCCTCTGCGTGGGGAGCACGAGGACGAGGATCCTCTGTGGGTGGTGTTGAAGATCTTTGCGAGCAATAATGGGTCCACCAAAGCCAGGGCTGGTAGCAGGGCGACAGCTTCTGCCAGCGGTCGGGTCCAGAAGCCGGTACTCCCTCAGGCTCTTTCGGCTCTGTCACAGCCTTGGGATTCTTGGAGAACTTTCCGCCTCCATCACACCATTGTTGCCACGATACCAGGGGTGTCAATTGACCAGGACAGATCCGACGACCTAGCCATGTCACTCGCTTTCGAGCACTCGGCACGCACAAATACGCTGGGCGCGGTCTATGCACTTCTCCACCTCTCCAAACCATCTCAGCGAGCTGCTCAGATCCGCCACCTCTTCAATCGCCATGCCGCAACATTACCGTATGCGCCACGTACCGACAGCGCCACAGCCAGTCAACATTCATCCTTGTGGTCCGCTTTCACTGCATCTCTCCGGATTCCTGCGTCATGGATTCACCAGTCCAAAGCTCTTTACGCGCGTTCATGCAATAATCCCCTTGCAGAGTTGAACTATCTCTTGGCGGCAGGAGACTTTGGTAGCGCTCATGATTGCTTCCTTCACCGTGTAGCTCCACGACTGGTCATTGACGAAGACTGGAACACTCTTCGAGAGGTTTTGGGGTGGTTCGGAGATGAGGCAGAGGGAAAGGTCGATGCCGCCGTGGCCAGCGACAGCGCTACAGGGTCAACGGGATGGAAAGACGGCGGACAAATCTACACGGATTTTACAGAACTGATGGCGCTGATGGATACCTCTCAGTCACAACGACGTAGTTCTGCCGAAGGCACGTCGAAGAGAACACTGCTTGCCCGACTTCAAGTGTCACTGACGGAGTTGAACGCACGATTTAAACATGCGACGACAGGCCCTAGATCGAGCCACACAGACTTGAACAAGGACCGCGAGAAGCTTGAGGAGATGGTTGCGCTGCGCGAGATGGGACGAATGGTGGCAAAGGCTTTGGAGCTGGAGCTGGAGATGGACAATGGCGTCAGTGAGCAGGTATGTTGCCAAGTATTTGATTTGCTATTGTTGCATGTGAGCGGTCTACTGACGTTACCTGTGCGAGCAGAGACATATCCTCGACCTTCCCCTTACGACGGACGCGAGGCTTGTGCATGCACGAACTTTGGGGGTGGATTATTATCGTGGTGTGATGGCTATGGCACGGTGAATCTTGTGAAGCAGAGTTTGCTGCAGAGATTGGTCTCACAAGGACGTGGGTGATTTGGTGTGAGAGATGATAGAGGGCCGGGGCGTCGACGACGCAGGACTGGTTTAGATTTACGAACGGACGGGCGAGGAACCTTGGAATTTTCAGAATTTTCGAACTCGGTCGTTCATTCTGGAGAGGATGAAGACGGTTGAACCTAGAATAGATTCACAGGAGGGTCTTGATAACGAGACATTCTCGTGACCAGGCGGGTTTTACTCGGTGCAGACAGGGGTGATGATTCGTAATGAAAATGTCGGTTAGTTGCGAGTGAAGAAAGCAGACTCTTTTTCCAGCCAGCTCTTACAAAGGGATCCTACTTGTTTTTTTTTTCTTCTCTCTGTTGTGTTCTCCTACAGACCCGACTCGCCGGAAACAAGTACGCCGGTCTATTTATGGTTGACACGAACGAGTAAAAAATCCGGGTTGTATCCATATCTCCAAGTAGAACTTCACTACCACTTCCTCAACCCTTACTTTTTCACACATATATCAGCCGTACTGTATGATTTTATCTCCGCAATCGACCATAGGATGTGGAATACAGGGCTTCCCGTTCGCTCAGCCGTACTTAAGCCACATGCCGGTCAGTTAGTACTACCGTGGGTGACCAGGTGGGAATCCTGACTGTTGATTGTTTTTGCTTCTCAAGTTTTTTTTGCTCCGGAGATGTTGAGGTTTGTTATAGATTTTTGATATACTTCGGTCTGTTGTTGCCAAGGAAGATGGTTGCTTGGAAACTAATGCGGCCAGGGTGGTCGGTTGGTCACTTGGTCACTCGGTAGATAGGGTGTGCTGGGTGGTCGAGCGCGCGGGCACACAAGAAATGTCGTGTGGGGGTGAATAATGAGAGCTGGAGTTGGAGCATTGCAGAGTATCGGAAGAATATATTCTCCGCGCCCCGAATATCCCTTGGAAACTACCTTGTACAAGCCTACATAATTTTTGGTGCCCCATAGTAGTCGGTATATAAGTGGATACACCCCCTGAACGTGGACACAATACCTCGTACCAACGTAAGATACACTGTATATACCCCGTTCATACCCCTGACCATGACATGACATGACATGTCTACGGGACATGCAGGAGTCATTTGTTCGCGTGCGTGGGCGCTGACCGCTCGCTAGCTAGCTCTTCAGGTGGCCGGTAATTGGTAGCTGGTGGCTGGTACCTGGGCTGGGAGGTCTTCACCTCACCTCAACTCAGGGTGGAGGATCGACTCAGTTCTCAACGGGTTCTTCCCCACAGGTTTAAACATACCGAGTACCTCGTAACAAATCATTTATCCAAAACTATAAACGTACGAGGCACGAAGTGTATATATATGTATATATACCAAGGACAGTTGTTAGTTCTTGAATAGTTGTCGCGAGTCAGGCAGGGGTTCCGCAAACTCTACTCCACCTATCAGACCATCCAGAGGGAAAAAGGTAGACGATGAAATTTCAAAATATTCTCAACGCCGGCCTCCTCTCGGTATTACCGTCGTCGTCTTCGTTCCAAGAACCTCCCTACACAGCCAGCAACCTCCCCTTCACCATCACGCCGTCAACACCAGAGAAAACGGCCAAATACACTGCGCCGGTGTTCCCCATCGCACCCTTCGCTAAGTACTTGCACAACCCGATTTTGAGGCCCAACCCGGCGGCGAACTGGGAGTCAGCGTACCTGTACAACCCGACGGCGATTGTGCTCAACGAGACCGTGTTCCTGCTGTACCGGGCGCAGAACGCGTCCAAGACGTCGTCGATCGGGCTGGCCTGGTCGAGCGACGGCGTCAGCTTCACCCGCCTCGACCGCCCCGTCGTCTACGCGACCGAGCCGTGGGAACACCTCGGCGGGACCGAGGATCCGCGCATCGTCCGCGTGAACGGCACCTTCTACCTGACTTACACGGCGTACGATGGCGTGACGGCACGGCTCTGTCTCGCCACGTCCACGGACCTGTTGCACTGGCAAAAGTACCCGCCCCTGTTCCCCTCGTACCGGGACGTGGCGTACTCGGATATCGACGTACCGTCGCCGCGCATCGATTGGTCCAAATCCGGCGCCATTGTCAGCGAACCGACCCCAGACGGCCTGTACCACATGTACTTTGGGGACAGCTTCTTCTACCACGCCACATCGCGGGACCTCTTGAACTGGACCGCGCTGCCCGCCGACCAACACTTCGCAGGCCCAGTCAACCCGTGGGAAAACGGGCTGATCGAACCCGGACCACCGCCCGTCAAGACGCGGGATGGGAAATGGCTGCTGATATACAACGGCATGACGACAGGGCGTGTGGGGTACCCGCAGAAGCAGTACTCGGTGGGCCAGATGCTCATCGACCCCTCGGGCTCGTTTCGGCCGACGCTGAATGTGAGCGATGGCGCGTACCAGCCCGCACTGAGGGATGGGCCCGTCGCAAGGCTCGAAAGGCCGATCTTGGTGCCCGAGGCTGACAACGAGCAAAAGGGCCAGGTGGACCAGGTGGTATTTGCCGAGGGGCTGGTGCAATTCAAGGGCAAGTGGCTCCTTTACTTTGGTAAGTGGGAGTTGTCCCTTCCCGGGGAGACGACGGTATTATCGTATCTGGCTGACCAGTATCACAGGGCAGGGAGACAGTGAGTTGGGTGTGGCTATCGCAGATCAGCAACCGTGAGGGTGACCGGGGCGAATGCCTCGCAAAGGTCGAGCTAGGTGTGCAAGTTCATGTTGCTGGATCATCAATACATGGCCTGGGTAGATTCAATGACGAAGATTCGGTCAGATTCATGCCGTGAGCCTCACCCCCTCCTGGCTCATAGTCCTGCCATATCGTCTGCGGAATCCCGAGCTCTTGTATATCCTCATCAGAAAAGCCGCCTGCTCGGAGTGCATCAATTCCGTGGCTGTAAAATTTCACGTTGACTTCGTCTTGAACCTGTAGTAAGTTCAGAGCGTCGCTGTGGTCCATCCAGCCACGGTCCCAGAAATCTCCCATGATTTTGTCTTGCACCGTGTTACCAGAGGGTTCTAAGGCCACGGTGCGCCACGCATTTGGCGGCTCAAAGACCACCAACAATGGTCCATCGGTGGCCGACCCAGCCTTGTGTAAGAGACCAGCCTCCAAAGAGAGACCTCTCTATATAAGAGGATATCACTGGCTCTGATACGGACCAGAACGAATGATTGGTCATAGGCCCTTATCCTTCGGAGGGGTTTCCAACGGTCATGATATTCCCCTGCTGAGTATAATGGAAATTGAATGCAGGTGTCGAGGTCAGCTCCAGCCTCGATGAAAGCGCGGGTCGTACGTTCTAGTGGACTAGGGTGCATGTTCAGGACACTGCAGGTCCATATAGTGCTGTACTTCGTCGTATCCCCGTCGGCCGGATCGATGAGCAACATTTGATTCGGATCTGCTCCCAATGCCAGCAAGAGCTCTGCATTTATCACGTCGACATAACGATTGATTACCGACATGCGGCAAGCGTAGCCAAGAAGGTCAGTCAAGTAGGCTCTATTGTGAATCAAGCCTGAGCGTGTCAACTTGTGTTTTGTGTATGCCGGATGGCTGAAGGGAGCAAAGACTTTGGTGTAATCCAGATTTCCTGCGTCATTGAAACATTCCTGCCACGCCCGCTGCATCTCTTCGCCAGAAAAAACACCCCAGGGCCTGAGTTTCTCGAGTATCTCCCCCAGCTGCACAAACATTGCACAGGCAATTTCAGGGTGATTGTCTAGGTAATTATCGAACGTTGAGAGATTTGAGAGATTCAAAACATAGAGTGTGTGACTTAAAATATATCGTTCTACCGATATGGCGCCCAATAAGATCATAACAAACGTAGACTTGTATCGCATCATGTGAAGCTCGTGGTCCATGAGAGGTTGAGCTTGGAGTAATTTCTTGCCGGATTCCGTCTCAAGATATTCTCGGGCAGTCCGGTGCAGAAACGACACATACAGCTCTCGGTGATTCTTGCCGATCTCAATAAGTCTTTTCATGGTCTCTGGATAGTGGATGAGGTCGGTGTCTCCATCTTCCAACCCCCAAGGACTTCGAACCTTCGCATTCTCATCGATCCATGCATGTATTTCGAGAAAGCCCGCGCAGCGTGTGAGTATCTTTTTCTTTAATGTTTCAGCATTCAATTCCTGTCCCAAAGTTTTCAAGTCGCATGTTGCTAAATTGTCCAAATACGATTCCTGTAAAGTTTCGTCACAGGCAATCGTCATGTCAATCAAGGAGCAATTAGGATATTGTAGGACATATTGCAAATACGCTGCAGCTTCCCTCGCGTAGAAAGGGTGGTCGGCATCATTCATGCGCTTCCACATGTGTTCATAAAGATTGAAAATCCCTTGCGGCATTTGTTGAAGGCGTCTGACCAAAATCCGCCAGTCATCATCTTTCCGAATGCCTCGAACAAGTGATTCGACAGTCAGGCGGACCCAAAGAAAAACTCCTTCTGCCCTATCCACAACTTCCCTAATTAACTCATGCATCTCTTTCGAGGCTGACATTGCGAGCCATTGATAGTTGTCCGATGTTAGGATCTTGGTGAGCTTGTCTTCGACGTACCGGGTAATGTCAGACTCGGTAAGATCTTGAAGTCTCAACTGTGGACAGGTCTTGTACAGAGAATCGAGACATGCAGATGGCCGACTTGCGATGCATATTTTCGTCTTCTGGCGGTGTCGGAAAACGCCAATAATATCTCGTATGGCTTCGAAGTGGTCGTCCAAGCCTTGAAATTCGTCTAAGCCGTCAAGAAAGAGACAGATAGGATTGCATATTCCTTGCACCAGCGACTGGAGAATTTGCCGCAGCTGCTTTTGGGTCCAAACAGTAGGTAAAGGTGGTGAGATCTTCTGCAACATGGTCGACCAGATTTGGATCGAGGTGGTAGCATCCATTTCCTCGAGGATTTGCCAGATTATAGAACGTAGAAGTCCGACTTGACTCTTCTGGAGGTCGACCCCTGCTTCCCAGAAAAAGAAAGTAATGATAAGTGGTTGTTGGCCGGCGAATTTATGTTCAAATGCTTCTCGTGTTCGCTCGTTCTGGACCACAAAGTTCATCAGAGTACTCTTGCCCGAACCAGGTTTCCCCAAGATCCAGTAGATTGGATTATCGTCTTGTGTCCACAGCATGAAATTGTCCCATGGGCGTTTGGTATGTGCAGTACTATCGAAAATCCATTCAAAGGTTTTCCTGTGTGCGTCTTCGATGGTATCCTGCCGTTGGTCAATCTCCGGAAAGGACAAACTTTCCCTGAATCTGTCAAAGTTTGCCTGAGCTGTCCTGGCATCGACAAAATCGTCGAATTTTCTGTCGATGTGGCGCCGCGTGATATTGTGTTCTAGAATTGTGTGAGCTTTGACGTCTTCGGCGGTTGTCTTGATGAGGCTGTCAATCCTAGTATTGCCGGCGACAATCTCAGAGTAGATCTTCCACTGCCAGTCGTTTAGTTGATCCAGGATATTTGTCTGCTGCGCTGCCAGAGTTCCCAGGTTCTGGCTAGAAAGTTCATCAGTACACACCGATGGAGCATCATTCCGGGTTGGCTAAATAGGAGTAGCTGACACCATGGAAGAGCCTTGTAAGAGATACATACCTTAGATGGACCAGGGTGGCAGAATCCAACACTCTGGCACATTCGTCGAGTTTGCGCTTCAACGCTTCAACGTGATCTGATTTCATCTTGGTTCTGAAGCTTTTAGTCCAGGCGGAGAGCCTGCTAGAACCAGGTTTAACCGTGATCTTTTGCAACTCATCCTCGAGATCTTTTGCTGCCTCGATGCAACTTCTGCTCAGCTCAGCAAGATCCACGCCACTCTCTAGGAGTGGGAAGTGCGAGGCGCCTGACAATGAGTTTTGCAGGGAGTTGTGACATTTCATTAGGTGCTGGGTGCTATGTCGCAGCTCGTCGGCCCTTGCTGTGGTACCAAGTTTGCGAAATTGCGTGAAGATCTCGTAGACTTTCCGCGAAGCATCAACGACCTGAATCACGTTACATGCCAGCGCAAAGGTGACCAATGCTTCCATCTTTCCGAACTTGAGCTCTCCGCTGTGAGGGGAGAGTAGGTTGTTGCCTTGTAATACTCAGCCTTATACGAGAAAGTGGCAGGGGACTCGGCCTAGAACCCTGGCTAGAGGCCCTTAACTGCACATTTGTTCGCTGGTACAGGAAGAGGATGATATTTGAAGAGCGAGATGAATTCTGCATGATGAGGGAAAGAGAGGAAGAAAGAGAAACAAAAAGAGAAAGAAGACGAGGTGAAGTGGTGGAAATGAGGCTGATTTCACGTCCACGCGCCACGTCAGGCATTAATTCTTAATTAGTAGCACCGCCTCCTGCCCAATCGGGAGAAGGAGCTGTACAAGGCAGAAAAGAGCAAGAACAATATCCCAGAGAGAGCAAGGAAACCGTAGAAAGGAACAAACAAACAACAAAACAGAGAGAAACCTCAGAGTTGTCGGGCTGAATCCTGTTATTTCGGTATCTATCCCTAGACTGCTATCTAATTGCATGACCATCCTTGACTTGTCTTCCTGCCTCTTCGTAGCTCTCTGGCAGGACAGAGCAACGCAAATCAATAACAATCCAGATGATTCGAATCCAGCCCACGGCTTGGTTTCTTTTTTTGGGTCTTTTTTCTTTTCTTTTCGAGTGTTGAGGATGGGGGACTCGGAGCAAAGCTCACAAGCCCGCCCCCTCTCACCACAAACCTCTGCATACCGGCGAAATCGGATGCTGCATGCTGGAATCCGAACCACCAGAGGTAAATGGAAGAGGGAGCCTTCTTCAAAGTGACGTCAATGGCGTGCTGACCTCTCGCATACCCCGACTGTATGACTGGCTCGTGGGAGACATGCATTGAGAGCCCAATCATGAGTTGACGTACACAGCCGAGTCCTGCGGGAAGCAGCATGCCAGATATCACGTCGAAGGCGAGCTCATTCGTGTTAAAGTCAGGTCCGTTCCATCTTGCCATCTCACCGAAGTGACTGCTTTCGACTTTCTCCAAAGATCAGTGAAGAGACAGTGACTGCGGTTGAAACGCAAAGTCTCCGAGGCGACAAAAGGGAAAGGCTGAACTGCAACAACGAACGAGGGCCTCAACATCCAAGCACACATCAACAGCAATCCATGAGATATCCCTCGAGACCATAGCTCAACAACAAAAAGGGGTCCGGGTTGGAAGAGCCTACACAACATCATCCAAGAAGGATGAAGGGGGCTCTAAAACCAACATGTATCCGAACGTCCCGAGCAAGACCTGCTTCGTCCTCGAGATACCACTTGCGATTCCCCTCTTGAACGAGAAGAATCAAGGGTATATAGATCGAAAGGACTTATAATTCCACTCCATCACGCGACTCCGGCTGCGATAAACCGGCACAGTGTTCTGGTCGCAGCACCGAAAACCTTGCTTGACACCTTGTTACAGCAGTAACAAGGCGCGACAGCCACTGTAGGGATGAAGGGCTATCGGAAGGTCGGCGGAGAACAGAACAGGGCATCTCTCGACCAAAGGACGAGAGAACCACGCTGTGCCACCGGAGAAGGGGCAGGGAAGGAACTCGAGTCCCTCGGTGCTGACCTTGAGGAAATCAATCGTCTTTGCTGTGGCTTGAAAAAGTAAATGCCCGGGCATCTTCCTTGTTTCTTTTTCTCGTTGCGACATTGTGCCCGGGCGGTGATCAAGCTGTGACAAAGAAGATGTCCTCCACAAAGCATATCGTCATTCAACATCACACGCGCATTACCAATACCACCCTTTATGCTCTTTCATCACCGATGTAATCAATCGGAATTCCATGATTCTTCCACACGTGTTCCATTACTCTCCACTGCGTCGCAACTCGTGACAGATTTCGTCCGGTTGAACGTAACGTGAAGGTTTTCTGGTGCTCAAAGTGATTGTCGGACCTATCTCAATTTCTTTTTTCGGGCGGTTGTAGTACCGAAAATGCAAAAGCTCATTCCATGTTTTCATCTTAGGCTCTATTCCAGATGCCTCCATGTTTGCTATCCATCTGCGACTGCTCCGACTCTTGGCACACTCGATGCCTCGCAAATCCCAGCTTGGAGTCTTGATAGTTCTCCTCAAATACTTCGGCTTTCTCGGGAGGAGTGTACTTTGGGGGAGTGTACTGTGGCGCCGGTGACATTGGTCGTGGATTGTTGACATTGCCTAGTGGGATGTCCACAAATTCAGCATGTCGCCCTTGGTCGTCAATGCGAGAGCCACTACTTGTTCCAAGGCTCGAGGGGAATGCTGGCGCACCGCCTTCGCCACGGACCTTATTACGTCTACCCCAAAGCATCAGCGCTCGGACGATGCCCATAAGCACCACTGAAACCCAGACGAGCAGAATGACCGTTGAAATGATCGCTTCCGTCCGGATTGTATCCTCCACTTCGTCGATAAACCTTGCGACGGCCTCGGAGATCTTGTCGCTTGTGGTGTCCCCTGGACTCGCGAGAAAAGAGTCCGAGGGGTTACTCGAGTCCGCCAGGCTGGCGACGGCGCCAAGGCTGAAAGTATCGTTCGGAAGTAGGGGAAAGTCGATGTGCGCATTATCATGAACCCAAGTGAGACCCTTTTCGATTCCCTGGATCTTGAGCAAGATCAGGCAGTTGAGAACTTCCATGATAGGGTCGTACAGTATAGTCCCGCCAAATGTGGTGTTGAGAACCTTTGTCGTTTCATCCACGAATGTGTTTAGTGTGTCATTGATCGCACTCGTGGATGTGTTGACCCATCCCAGCATATTTTGATTGATGTCCTTGCTTGTGGCGGCAATCGCTGCATTGGTGCCAATAGCCCATTGTTCGGATGCGTTGTTGAGTTGCGCAACCACCTTGTCAGAAAAGGCACCCACTTGATTCGTGAGGTCTGGGACTTCCTTTTCCAGAGCATGGAGCAGGATAGCTTGACAGGCACAAGAGAACAAACCTGCTATGGCGAGAGCCAGCACAAACAAGGCAGCGTCAGAGGTGGCGTATGCAACGACCCAACGAACCAGGTCCTTTTTGCGCTGAGACTGGAATGTGTTGGATAGCTTGATTCCAGCTGCCGAGGTGTAAGGGCGGCTGACCAGGTAGACAACGTCCAAAGAGTCACGAGCGTCAGAATTGATCAATTGACTGCGCTGTTGCATTTTCTGCCATCGCTTGATTTCGCGCCACGCCATCGGGACCATGGCGAGGAGTGCTAAGGTAAGCAGCACGCCAATGAAAATTCTGCGTGCGAGAGCAGCCACATCGACCAGACCGTCAAAGAAGTCATTGATCCCGTCGTTGTCACTGCAGAATGTAAGTTGTTCTTTTGCGGGAACCGGGAACAAGGATCTGTTGAAGGTGTAGTTGCCCACATACTCGTTCATGAGCTGTTTGACTTCTTCAAAGGGGAGGCGGATGATGCTTTCCGTAAAATTCTTGACCTGGGCAAAGGTAGGAATAGAGTTGTTGAGTTTCTGCAGGTCGGCGTCAAGGTTGGCTGGTAGTTTGAGATTTTTCAGCGAATTCATTTCGGAGGTGAGATTGAGAGGAGTCGGCTGGTCAACAGTTTGGCCGAAGGCAATAAAGCTCTCGAGTTTACCGATGAAACTGTTGTAGGCATCCTCGAATGTTTTGACAGCGCCCGACAAGTCATTCCCGAGATTTTGGGTGAGTTTGTTGAGACCATCTTGAGCAGAGTCGAGGGTTCCGATGACGGAGTGCAAGCTGCCGCTGACAGCAAAAGTGATCAGACAAAGGTAGGTGTTGGTCATCATGCCTATCACGAAGACCACAATCTCTTCCACTGCCGTGACACTCATGGTGGTCATCTGAATCAGACCGTTGACCGACTTTTCGATCCCGGAGGCCGCCACTTCGTTCACGCCCTGAGACATGTAGTGAGGCATAGAAGCCATGGCGGACCCCATCGACTCGACGTCGGAACAGGCGGACAGTGCTTCGCGTCGTGCAGAACCCAGGTTGCTGTCAATCCCCGAGATTGCGATGAGGGTGCGAGCCAGAATAAGTAGGAGGAGTATGGTCCATCGATTGAGCCATATCTGTGATAATCGAGCCCGGAGGCCAAGGTAGGGTGTGATGGATGGTGCAGTGTGTGGTAGCGGCCGAGGTGGGCCTTGGTCGGAGTAGTAGTCTCGTATCTCATGGCTGCCGGCAGGCATGGATGGAGGAGCGCCAGCCACAAGGGCCGACGGGGCAGACATGGTGCAGAGATCGACAGGAAATTATCTAATATCCGAGTTCAAGTAAGTATGTGGGTCGACTTGAAGGTCTTTTTCGATATGTGGAAGTAGATGATATTGCGGGAGAAGAGAAGGAAACAGAGTCGGTCAAGAAGGTGGTGGTACAAGTGACAAGGCAGGTTAACTGACAAAGGCAGTCATCAAGACTTGAGGCAGAGAGAATGCTATTTATGACACAAACAAAGGAGATTCGTGACATGCAAGAAAGAAAGAAGCAGCTGCTAGCAACAGAGAGTCAAAGTGAATGGGGAACAATAGACAAAGGATGGTGACAGAGGGAGTAGAACAATAAGAACAATAAGACTCGATAGAAATGATGAACAGAATTCTGCCAGTACGTACCGCTTTTCCCATCGACCTCGACCCCCATGCTGCAGGGCGCACCACCAACATGTTACAAGAGGCTCTTCTGAACCTTCAGACAAAGATTGAGCGTGTTTCAAAAGAGTTGCCGCATGTGGTGGTGCAGGATTCATATCGGCTGGTGGTGATATTTCCAGGCTCAAAATTGGCGCGCAGTCCAGAAATAGCGCCACCAGGCTGAAGAAGCGCCCACCAACCATCTCATTGACGCTGCTTCCACGTCCGACACGCGCTCGCACGTGGTCGCCGATATTGAAACAAGATGGCGCAGTGGACTCCTCTTCAGATTGCCTCGCCATCTCCCCAGCTGCCACCAACACCCCGTTCCAGCACCGCAGGGACCCGTCATGGTGGTGACGTAACTCGGAGTACATGAATTGCCGCCGAGGACGTGATCAGGGGTAGACCGACGGACGCAACGCAGGACGAGGTGGTGGTGCAAGGCTGGGAAGGGAGACACCGACGAAGCAATCCGATATTCTCAAATGGTGCCTATCGAGAGGAAAACAATCGACGACGAGGTGAGACGAGAAGCAGGGTTTTAAATGATCGTCCAAGTTTCGGAGGAAAGCAGCCACGGGATCGGCAACTTGTTTTTCCTGTGGCGTTTAGGAGAGCGGGGCGGCAGCCACGGTGATGTCATTGCTTAATTCAGGCTCTCTGTGAGCTTTACTACTTTAGTCCTAGTGGCTCTTCTTGCATTGATCTTCCATCCTCCCACTATATCAGCCACGCGACGAGGGCTGCATGCAATAGTTGGTACCTACGGTGCTTGCACACTAGAAGTCGAATATCTCCTGCGTAGAAACCCGACCCCCTTATGTTAACTTGAAGCTATGTTGATCGACAATGCGAGGCGTCGAACGTCACTAGCACACCCACGTCATTCCCTGTAATATGGAGAGGTTGTACATCATCTCGGCCGGCTCATCGTCTGTGTAAGAAGTAGACCCAGCACAGCCTCATGTCTGGCAACGGAAGACGCTCTGCTCCATTGCAGTTGGCTCACAGACCTGTAAATGGCGGGCACGGGAAACTTGGTCGAGGGCCCAAGTGCGAATAATAGTCAGGGCGCGAAGGAGGCGGCGATTCACACCAACAAAGACGTGTGTAAGTGTACAGCGATATCATGCGAAGCTTTGCAAGGTTGACGTTGATTCCGGATCAGGTGGGTCACAAGCATGTGCGAAAGCTGGCCAAGACAGTTTGGTGAGCAGTCCGGACGTCGAAGAGGCGAAAGCATGGTCGTCGAGGGAGTTCAGAGGTCATCCAGCAGCGGCGTCGGAATTCCGTTCACGAGCCAGGTCACGCTTGGTCCACTCAACGCGCCTCATCGTTGCTCACCTTGACCTTGGCCACCTTGTTGTTGAGCTGCCATGGCTGCATACCACATCTGAAGGTAGTTCTGGTAGCCACCATATGCAGCATATGGGTCTGCATCCCCTGCCGCTGGGGGTGGTGCAACGCCTTGTGCAATACCACCGGCAGCGGGAGGATACACAGGCTGCTGTCCGGGATACCTGTCCGTATAGTCGTCGCGACTTTCACGTTCACGAGCTTGTGTCCGAGCACGCTGAACCAAATTAGTGAATATGCACCACCAAGTATCACGCCCAGGGGATCTACCTACCACAACGTCGACTTTCTCCATGATCGCACGTTTGGCGGCATCAATGGCGTGCCGGCTACCGATAAGACCAATTTCGCGTTCAATATCTCGTCCAGCAGCAGGCGAGACATTGATCTTACACCCTGTTTGATTCTGCATATCACGGATAGACTCACCCCCTACAGGGACATTAGTCAGACGTTGCACTTCAAGCTGGTAACCGCAAACATACCTTTGCCGATGATCATACCCACCGCTTCGCCGGGTACAACGATGCTATCGTTAATCTTGCCGTGCGAGTCCTCTCGCTCACGGTGGAGATCTTTGATGCTGATACCTTTCTGATCACTCTCTACAATCTCAAGGATCAAATCTCTTGCATATTGCTGTGCCGACGCACTGCCAATCAGGTTGACCGGTCGCATACCATTCACGCTCTTGTTTTCTCCAACGATGTTGACATGGCATCCACTTCGATCTTGTAAATCTCGAATAGTTTCTCCTCCTCGACCAATAATCAAACCCACGGTGCGATCGGGGACCATCATTTGAAGGCTGTCGCCTTCTTTGGTACTCGTGACCTTGGTTTGGTTGGTGCGGGGCTTGTCCTGACCCCTCTTCACAACTTCGTTGTCGTCAATGATCCTGAAAATCTCGGCCTTGGCCGCTGTCCGGGCCGCTCGACTGCCAGATATCCTGCAGTGCCGTTGAGGTCCGGGTACTTCGGGTCCGTCCATGAATTGTACACGAGCGCCTGTTGTGTTTTCGACTCTGCGTAGGTTTTCTCCAGAACGTCCGATGATAAGACCTACCACACCTTTGTCGAGAGGTAGAATTTCTGATTCGCCTTCACCTCCTCGGTCAAGCCCAGGTGAGCGATCATCTCGATATCGTCCAGGAGAATAACGTCCGCCTCTTGGAGAAAAGGAGCGCTCTCTATTGTAACCGCGCTCGTTCCCGCGTCGTTCATCCCTGTAAGTATTGTAGGCATCGCGATAGCCCTCGCGGTGGGGGGGAGACCGAGAGGGTGACCGTGAGCGTCGGTACGTTCTGCTTCCAGTGCGAAGATCTGATGGGTTCATAGGTGCTAGAAACAACTGTCAGTTGACGCCTCAGACGTTTGGACTGGTAGAACACACGTCTACTAGGATCATAAGAGATGCCCTTTTCGGCAGCGATGCCCCGAGCTTTGGCGACAGCATCGGCAATGCTGACAGAGCCGGAGCTGACTGGCTTTATGTTGGTCAAGTCGACACTCCCGGAGTGTATGGGCTGAGGGAGTCCGTAGGGCGGTGCGCTGCCAGGGGGAGTGGCGTATTGAGGTGGAGGGTACGAGGCACCAGGAACAGGTGGAGGGGGAGCGGCTTGCGGAGTGCTACCTTGCCTCTGTGCCGCCAGCGCGGCGAGGATATTGCTAAGGTCTGCCATCAACCTTGAAGGTGCAAGAGAGTGCAAAAAAAAAAGTCAGGTCGCAACAACCAGAGACAAACTAGGTAAAAAGAGCACGCAGTCGAATAAGAAATCTCATTCAGAATCAACGAGGTGGGTGTTGGTGCTATGAGTTTCAGGTCAGAAAAACCCAGGCGCTGCAGCCACTTTCTGGCGCAGGTGGGGGCTTTGAATTTGGCCGAGATCACGTGCTTGGACTAACCGTAAATAGGTATCAAATTTCTCAGCCTTGGGAAGTAATAGAGTTGGAGGGCAGCCCGGTTCCAACGTCGTTACTCCCTTCACAACACAATCAACCATATCTTGATGGACAACGCATCGTATGGCGCGTCATATACCTAACAAGCAGTCCAGTTGTCTCCACGACATTGGGATATCCTGTGCACTCAACCCTCGTCCGTGCCTTTAGGAGGGCTTTGTGCTCGATCAATCTAACAGCATCCCAGTGCTTTAGCCAAAAACAAAGAAAACTCCAGCACTGATGTAGGTTAAAAGTGCCTAGCGAGTGTAAAAGATAGAGCACTATGGAACATTAGCCAGCAATACCGGCCGTGGGTTGAGGCCACTAGCTTTCTCTCGATCTCCGAATATATGTGTACACAAATATACATGACCTGGGGCACTGGTAAGCAATGCAGTTATGTGATGTGCACCTTGAGAATTTCAGAGCACGTGTCCATTTTGTGCCGGTACTCTTCAAAGGCCTATGTTGTTTTCTCGGCCTGTAGCCGACTGTGATGAATCTCATTCACAACCTAACCTGCAACTCCATGCCTCCAAAGCACTGAAACCGCGTCTTTTGTAAACAGCTGCAGACAAAAGCTCTTCTCAAAGAGGTCCATGCCGGCCTCGCTCTCTGACAATGTCAAGCGCGTAAGCAGCTCTCCGAGTCATCGCGACATACATGCTGATGTATTTCATCACTGGCAGGTCAGACAACAAGTCCGAACAGCAGGACGAAACCAAGCGACACACTCTGAAGCACTCCCACGCATTTGTGGCTCACACCTCTTCGTCCTTGAAAGATTCAAAACTCCTGTGGCCCTCGAAAGGGTCACGGGTTCACACAGTCGGCGCGCAGGATGAGGAGCTGGTTGCTGTAACTCGCGCTCTGGGCGATTTATTTCAGGGTAGGGATGCCGAACAAGTCCTTGCTGGCTTTTGCCAGAAGGTATTCCTATTATTCCAGACAGACACAAAAGCACTGGGTATAGCAAGTGTCATTGCGGAGCAGCTCTTCAAGAGTTTCGACGACAATGGGTCATTCGGACGAGAAACGATGCCCATGGGTATTCAAGGAGTCCAAGAATTAAATTGGACCACCCAGAACGAAGAGCTAGCTCCCCTCCGCAAAGAGTATCAGACCAGGGTCAAGGCCGAGGGTGGCCCATTACCACCGTTCTCCATGACAGATTCAAAAGGAAACCAGCTTCTCTTTGCTGGACTGGAGGAGGAGACGTTGATCATCATCGATAAGACAATGCTATCAGCAGGTCTTGTCAGATACCGCCATCATACTTTCGACATAGGCGTAAACCGGGCCAAATGTTCGTGGCAGCTGTTCGTCAAAATCAAACACCGAGATTTTTTGCGCTCGTGGTTTCGCACTAGTGCAGCACCAATTGTAAGTGTTGAAAGTCCGTTCCGACGAGTGAATTCTTCAGGCTGACTCCATGCAGCAAGATATGGCTGTGGCTATTATGTCGGCAATGCGAATCTTTTCGGAAGCCCGTTGTTTCATAAATGAACCTGGCAGGCGAACAGAGGCAGTCATTTTGGTGGAAACAATCAGACGATGGGAGTTTTACATGAATTCGACCGTGATTGATGATGATGAAGGAACTGCCGCTGCTCCAGGAACGCTCACCCCTAGTGATGTTGTCGTCTGGGCGCACGATGGCAGTGAACACAATGTTTCTGCCAGTCCAAATTCTCGTTCACGCTCAGATAACTCCCATTCACGACCAGCCACATCTTCGTCTTCGTCGTCTTCGTGGTCTTCTGGTTCTTCTTCCTCATCATCAAGCACAATGGTCAAACGGGCCATCCCAGATTCCACTGTGAATATGCAGGCCAGTTCCACAAAGAAGGGCAAAAAGAAGCGATCAACCAGAAAGAAACCGCAGAAAAAGACGGCACCCCGGGACCAGACGCAGGCAAACGAAAGCCCAGGAGACAAGAGCTTGTCTGAGATCGTGGACAAGATGGCAGACGCCAAACTCGACGCACCGAACGATACACCACCATCAGCGTCTGCTGTCCAGCATGATGGAGGCAGTCCTACGGAGAATTCGAACGTTCCTACCTCGATGAGAGTGAAGCGGAAGGCTAAAGACGAGGAACTCAGTAAGGCTCGAACAACCGAAGGACTGGGAAGGGGCTTCGGTGATACTATTTCTCGACGTTCGAGTGATTCTGACCGAACGGTAACTCCAGCAGATTTCTCCAATAAAGATGTCACCGGGGATTCTTCTAGCAAAGGTCAACAAGGAATCCAAAAAAGTGGAGATGATGATGCAGTTCTTGATACAAAGGCCAAGGGACATACCAAGAAGGAAGACAACAACACCACAACAACTTTGACTGAATCGTTCTCCCGCGAGGTATGCTCTTAATCCTTTGTGTCATTTTGGCTGGTCTCTGACCCAGTGTTTGCAGCAGCGTTCCCAGCCTGTGGACCAGGGGCATCAACACCCTCCTGCTGCGTTCAAGTTCGACAGCTTTGATCCACGTCTGCGGTGTTTGAAACCTGACTGTCGAAACATGACAAGTTGCTGGGGTGAGTTCGTGTTGCGACCTGACCCAGCTGAGGTCAAAGTCCAACCATGGAAGCCGTGCTAACCTTGGGTAATATATTAGATTGCGCCGTAGTCATCTGCCCTGCCTGTGGCACTGACAGCTTCACCCGCTACTGCAGAAAGCAGCACCTGTACGACGACATTCAACGCCACTGGGCCATGGAATGCGGAAGGAACAAGATCAAGGGACCGATCGACCGGAACACGATTCGCCCCAAACAACTCCCCAAGCGTCCCTACACTTTTGGCCAATACCATGACATGGTCGAGCGTCACAGACAGGCGGTATACCGCGCGATGGAGGATGCCGACTTCTTCATCTTCAACGACGTCGAGATGCTTGATGACAGCATCGCGCAGCCGACACAAGAGCAGTGGAATTCGGTGCGCGGAACAGGTGCTGCGGTGTTACAGATTATCTTTCCCGATGACATGACGCCGCACTCCGACCGGCAGGTTTTCAACTACCACATTCAGCGCATCTTGTCGGTAGGCAAGCCGTTGGCCGAGGACAGTTGTATGAGAGCGATGGAAATGATTCGCTCGGCGCTGGTCATGTCGGGCAGCTGGAGGGAGGAGGTATTGACTTACCTGTGCATGCAACTGACAGGTGAATGGGGCAATTTCAAGGTGCCAGAGCGCTTTTACAACGTCGAGCAAGTGAACGGAATGTGGCAAATGCATCGTGTCCTCATGGCATGAGTTCCGACGACCGCGGCCGCCGGGTGAGGAGGAGGTTTGCTTTAGCATTGTACGATAGAACGATGAGCTGCGATCAAAGGGCGATGAAAGCCAGACATAGTAACAGAGAGAAACCCAACCTTCAGAGGCATTGGGATAGAGCCCAAAGATCAACAAAGACGCCGTCGATTCCACCGTTGTACGAGGTTGTTGTATCTTGTCGCCTTCCTCCGAGCCACCTTGTCTCTTGACCATCACGATCCATTGTTCCCGACTCTTGTCCAAGCTGCAAAGTGTATGTGATAGTCTTTCAACAATGTAGCGCTCGTATTGTCGACCGCCGACTCTCCAAATTTGCGGGATTAGGTCAGGGCCAAAGGCTTCAGCGGGTATTCTGATGGCATCGGGTAATAGCTCGATAGGTATGGGGTTGTCCGATCACGTTGACTGCGACGGGAGAATAACAAATTACGTGCCGTACCAGTTGTTATCGGAGGTCGCCGCTCGCACATCAACAACTGGAGTGGAGAGGAGGGGTTGAGCGGGTGAGCGACCCTTGTCGACCATTCCACTGCGCTTCATTCGCCCACTCGCACCGAACTTCCATCTCACAGCATCGATCAACGTCAGATGGCTTTACGAGATTGGTGAGCTATCGTCTGGTTGCAATTGTCTCCTGTCTGATTCGTGCATTGTCGCCCATCGCGTCCCATTTCCCTATCAATGCCATGCAACACATCGCTCCCGCACTGATCAAAAGCTTCAGGGACTGGCTGATAAGGATCTGGTTGTCTCGAACAAGTCTGTCCTGTCTTCCCAGCTTCATTTCTTCGCCGGGCTGACTCCGTACGACATTTGATCCTGCCCTTGAATTCTCCGACTCCCTTCTTTTGCCTCCAAGTTATAGAAAAGTCCCAGTTTGGAATGCTAACCTGACAGGGCTCCTCCATTTCTTTTCTTTCCTTCCCTCATTCTCACTCATCCTGCCGACCACGTATAGTCGAGATGGCGCCTGGCGTCCTCGAACCAGCAGCGACTGCTGAAAAGGTTGTTTCGCTCGCGTCCCTTACTGAAACCTACGACGACACACTCCGCTTCTACCTCAATGGCACAAAGGTCGAGCTGGACTCGATAGATCCAGAGATTACACTACTCGAATATTTAAGAGGAATTGGATTGACAGGGACAAAATTAGGCTGCGCAGAAGGTGGTTGCGGTGCTTGCACCGTCGTCATCTCCCAACTGAACCCCACGACGAAAAAGATATACCATGCTTCGGTCAATGCATGTCTGGCTCCGCTGGCCAGCGTGGATGGCAAGCATATAATCACAATCGAGGGCATTGGCAGTTCAAAGAACCCACACCCTGCTCAACAACGAGTTGCCATGGCTAGTGGAAGTCAGTGCGGGTTCTGCACGCCAGGAATAGTCATGAGCTTGTATGCCTTGCTCAGAAACCATGGCCCCGAACCATCTGAGCTGGAAATCGAGGAGAACTTCGATGGCAATTTGTGTCGATGCACGGGTTACAGGCCTATCCTGGACGCCGCTCAGAGTTTCAACAAAGTATGTGGCAAGTCGATCGCAAACGGCGGCTCTGGGTGTTGCATGGAGAACGGCGGCTCGTGTAGTGGAGAGACGCACGGTGCGGATGCAGCAGTTGAAAAGAAGTTCACGCCTCCATCTTTCATCCATTACGACAAGTCCACGGAGTTGATATACCCCCCAGCTCTGAAGAAGCACGACTTCAAACCGTTGGCGTTTGGCAATAAGAGGAAGAAATGGTATAGACCTGTGACTCTCCAACAATTACTCGAAATCAAGAATGCCTACCCCGGCGCCAAGTTGATTGGCGGGAGCACAGAAACCCAAATTGAGATCAAATTCAAAGCCGCACAGTATTCGGCATCAGTTTATGTGGGAGACATTGCCGAACTTCGACAGTACTCTTTTCACGATGACTATCTAGAGATTGGCGGAAATGTTGCCTTGACGGATCTGGAGACCATCTGTGACGAAGCTGTCAAACACTATGGAGCTGTCAAGGCCCAACCGTTCAAGGCCATCAAGAAAGCCATCAGGTATTTCGCCGGCCGCCAAATCCGAAACGTTGGCACTCCTGCAGGGAATCTGGCGACGGCGTCGCCCATCTCTGATCTCAATCCCGTTTTTGTTGCCACGAATTCAACCCTCATTGCGAAGTCTCTCACCAAAACTACCGAGATTCCGATGGCTAGCTTCTTCAAGAGATATCGGGTGACTGCATTGCCAGAAGACGCCATCATTGCAGCAATGAGGATCCCTCTCACCGCCGAGAAGGGAGAGTACGTCAGATCCTACAAGCAATCGAAGAGAAAAGACGACGATATCGCTATCGTCAATGCTTGTTTGCGAGTGGCCCTGGATGACGACTACAAAGTAAAGAATGCCAACCTGGTGTACGGGGGCATGGCTCCTATTACCATCGAGGCCAAGAAGGCGTCTGAGTATATTGTGGGAAAGACATTTACAGATCCACAGACGCTGGAGGGAGTAATGAACGCATTGGAGCATGACTTCAACCTTCCATTCGGTGTCCCAGGAGGAATGGCTTGGTACCGCAAATCTTTGGCACTGGGTTTCTTTTATCGCTTCTATCAGGATGTCCTTCTCAACGTTGAAGAAGCTAGCAAAGGTGCAGACAAAGAGGCCATCGAGGAGATTGAAAGAGAAATTTCGCGAGGCCAGAAGGATCATGATTCGTCCGTTGCCTATTCACAGAAAATTCTCGGGAAGGAACACCCACATATGGCCGCCTTGAAACAATGCACTGGCGAAGCCCAGTATACAGACGACATTCCAGTGCAGAAGAACGAGCTTATTGGCTGCCTAGTCTTGTCAACCAAAGCACATGCCAAGCTAATCAGCGTCGACGCCAGTCCAGCTCTCCAGCTTCCAGGCGTTATTGCCTGGGTCGACAGGCATGACTTTGCCGATCCAACAGCGAATTGGTGGGGTGCTCCTGTTTGCGATGAAGTATTCTTTGCCGAAGATGAAGTCTTTACGGCTGGTCAACCCATCGGCATGATCCTAGCAAACACTGCCCAACAAGCCGCTGCCGGTGCGCGGGCCGTGCTGATCCAATATGAGGAGCTACCGGCCATCTACACCATCGAAGAAGCGATCGAGAAGCAAAGCTTCTATGAACACTACAGATATATCCGCAGAGGTGACGTGGAGAAAGCATTTAAGGAATGCGATTATGTTTTCGAAGGGACGTCGAGAATGGGTGGCCAAGAGCATTTCTATCTGGAGACCCAGGCATCTCTGGCGATTCCTAAGCCGGAAGACGGAGAGATGGAGATCTGGAGCAGTACTCAGAATCCGTCCGAAACACAAGCATACATTGCAAAGGTGCTCGGCGTTCAATCAAATAAGATTGTCTGCAAGGTCAAACGCCTGGGTGGCGGCTTTGGCGGCAAGGAGACTCGAGCTGTTCAGCTCGCCACTATCTGCGCAATTGCGGCAAATAAAGTCAAGCGACCGGTCAGATGCATGCTCAACAGGGACGAGGACATCATGACCTCTGGGCAGAGACATCCTTTCTTGGGCATTTGGAAAGTTGGGGTCAACAAGGATGGTAAACTGCAGGCACTCAAAGCCAACATCTTCAACAATGCTGGTTGGTCCCAAGATCTGTCTGCTGCGGTTGTTGATCGAGCACTATCGCATATTGACGGATGCTACAACATCGCCAATGTGGACGTGGACGGTCGTCTCTGCAAGACAAATACTGTCTCCAATAGTGCTTTCCGTGGCTTCGGCGGTCCTCAAGGCATGTTTATTGCTGAGTCGTTCATGGAGGAGATTGCAGACCATCTGAAGATCCCCGTCGACAAGTTGCGAGAAATCAATTTCTACAAAGATGGTGAAGAGACACACTATAACCAAGCGCTCGAGGATTGGCATGTGCCATTGATGTACAAGCAGATCAAAGAATCCGCCGACTACGACGCCCGCCGCAAAGCGGTTGATGAGTTCAATGCGACGCACAAATGGCAAAAGAAGGGGTTGGCAATCATTCCGACGAAGTTTGGCATTTCATTCACTGCCCTCTTCCTCAACCAAGCTGGTGCCCTCGTTCACATCTATCATGACGGTTCCGTCCTCGTCGCCCACGGCGGTACCGAGATGGGCCAGGGGCTACACACCAAGATTTGCATGATCGTGGCCGAAGCACTGCAGGTACCTCTCACCGATGTGCATATCTCAGAGACGGCGACAAACACTGTTGCCAACGCTTCAAGCACAGCGGCATCGGCGTCATCGGATCTAAATGGCTATGCAGCTTACAACGCGTGCATGCAAATCAACGAACGCCTGGCTCCATATCGCGAAAAGTTCGGCCCCAACGCCACTATGAAAGAATTGGCCCATGCGGCCTATTTTGACCGTGTCAATCTTTCTGCGAATGGCTTCTACAAGACTCCTGATATCGGATATGTTTGGGGCCCGAACCCTTCTGACCCAAGCTTAGAGAACACGGGAATGATGTTCTTTTACTTCACGCAGGGTGTAACCGCGAGTGAAGTTCTTATTGACACTTTGACCGGAGACTGGACTTGTCTACGGTCAGACATCAAGATGGACGTTGGGCGAAGTATCAACCCGGCGATAGACTACGGCCAGATCGAAGGTGCATACGTCCAAGGCCAAGGTCTCTTCACAACCGAGGAATCTCTTTGGCACAGAGCCAGCGGCCAGATCTTCACGCGCGGGCCTGGCGCTTACAAAATTCCTGGGTTTAGAGATATTCCCCAGGTTATGAACGTGTCTCTTCTGAAAGATGTGGAATGGAAGAACCTACGCACGATCCAGCGCTCGCGAGGCGTAGGGGAACCCCCTCTGTTTATGGGAAGTGCAGTCTTCTTCGCCATCCGAGATGCCCTCAAGGCCGCCAGGAAACAGTACGGCGAAGACGACGTGTTGAGCTTACGAAGCCCTGCGACGCCCGAGAGGATCCGGATCTCGTGCGCCGATCCTATTCTGAAGAGGTGCCTGGTGGAACCAAGAGAGGGTGAGAAGAGTTTCTTCGTTTCGATATGAGACGAAAGAGAGTAGGGGCATGTCATCTCTACTGGCACACACAGAGGGAATCTGATGAGTGCCAATAGAGCACGAGGCATCGATTACCTGTGGCAGTATGGTCCAGATCTGGTAGGGGAGCTCTATATCCCTACCCCGTGGCACACGTACATACCTACTTACGTCTTAAATGCATGATGCATCTGTGTCAGAGCTACAGAGCTGCAAAGCCTGTTTGCGCACAAATCACATATTCGATTCAGTTCTGTGTTCAGAATTATAGGACGATAACTCTCCATCGTTCATTTCATTTTCGTGACAAAAACACGTCTCAGCGTTTCATATCTATTCATTACAGCACATAAGCATATCTGACCAAGACTTGGTACTTTTCCCATATGTCGACAAGCGCGCCTCGTCGTCGTAATCATCATCCAGGCCCGCGGAGGTCGTAATGCGTGTGTGTGTCTCTCGCTCTCTCTCTCTCTCCCTCTCTATCTCTCTCTTTCCACGTTCCCTTACCTCCTCCTGTCCTCTCTGTCTCTTGTTCGTAATCTAGCAATCACACTGTACGATACACATCAACAGCTATAGTCATACATGATAGTGTTCATGCCTTAGCGACAGAGA